AATAGTTTATTATCTTAATATTAATAATTAATATAATATACTTTATTTCTCTTATTATTAATATTTTAATTATTTTTATTATAATATTAATTAGCATTATATTAAAAATTAAGTTTAAAAGAAAATCTTAATTTTAAAAATAATACTTTATATAAGTATTTAAAATTAAAGAATATATATTATAATTTTAATATGCTTATATAAGTATAAATAATTATTATTTATAAAAAGTTATCCTTTTAATAAAGTGCATTAAGTGCTTATTAATATAATTATAATTTATTAAATATTATAATAAAAGTCTTTTAAAAATGCTTATTAATATTCTTTAAATTAATATGCATTTTATTAAATATAATCAAGGTTTAATTATAAAAGTATTATTAATAATTAACCTTTATATTAAAGTAAGCTTTAAGCTTTAAATATATATTATAAATAAAGAACCTTATATTAATATAATAAATATAATAAATCTTAATATAATTTTTAAGAATTAAGGGAAATATTATATAAAATTATTTAAGTTTAATATTTATTATTTAATAAATATTACGGAAAATCCTTATTTTATTATTTAATAAATTATATAATTTATTACCTTAATTTTTATTTTTATCTTATATTTTATTAAATTATATATTATTATTAACATTAAAAAGATTATTTATTATTTTTTAAAAAGGTAAGTTTTAATATAAATTATATGCTTATAAAGATTTTAATATTATAATAAATAATAATACTAAGTATAAAGTTTTTATTAACCTCTTAAGGGGAATGCTTATAAATTATTCTTTAAGTTATAAAGTTTTTAAGTATTTTAATAAACTTAGTTTTTATTAAAATAATATTTCTTAATATTTTAAGGGAGTCCTTATATTTAATTAATTAAGGGTTTCTTTTTTATAAAATAATAATTATAATATTTATTATAAGGAAGTTAATTAAATAAAGTTTTACTTTAATTTTATAAATAATTAAGGATAAGGAGATTATAATTTTTAAGATCCTTTGTTATTTTTAATAAAGAGAATTAATTGCTTTAAGTTTTAATAAAAAAAAGTAAAAGCTATAAATAATGAAATTATATTAAAAGCTAAGGTTTTTTAAATCTTTTAAATAGTAAGTATTTCTTAAGTACTTATTATCTTTAGCTTTTAAAATTAAAGCTATTAAGTATAAAACTTAAAAAGTTTATATATATTAGCCGCCTTATATAGTTCCTTTTCCCATTATAAAAGATATTTATTATATATAAGCAATACTTTTAGGTTAACATATTGCTTATTAACGCTTTCTTTAATGTTAATTCCTTTTTTTTAAAGGAATTTTTTAAAGTTTTAAATAATAATTAACTTTTTAAATATTATTATATTTTAAAAAACAAAATCTTTTATAAAGTATTAAAGTAAATTATTATTTATATTTTAATGTTTTATTATTTCCTTTATAAACTTAAGAATAATAGTATTTATATAATTAATTATGCTATTTACCTTTATTATTAATTTATTTTAATAGCTAAAATTAATTTATTAACTTTAAAACCTCTTATTAAGGTTAAAAAGTAATTAAAGTTTTTATATAAAAGCATTATTAATATTTAAGAGTATCTTCTTAGCATTATTATTAAATTCAATTATCTTATTAAGCTATTAAAATATTTAGGTAATTTATATATAGGGAAAAATGAAAAAGGGTAATTAAGGAAATATAATAAAGTTATTTTAAAGCATAAAAAGAAAGTATTAATTATATAATAAAAAAGTATTTATTAAAGAATATTTATTAACTTAAGTAAATATGAATTATTATTTATATTAAAGTAAAGTAATTATAAATACTTTTAACATTAATTATATAATAAAATGCGCTATATAATTAATAAATTTAAGGCATTATTAAGGACTTATTAATTAATAAATTGGATTTTTATAATAAAAAGGTTAAGGCATTATTAATCTTTTTTTATTAATATTAATTATAATATAACTATTAATACTTAATTAAATAAAGTTTCATTATTAATAATTACTTATTTTTATAATATTAATATTAATTATTTAATATAAATATTATAACTTAATTATAATAATTCTCATTATTAATAATTACCGCTTAATTAATAATAATATAAATTTATTACTTACTTACCTTGCTATTTATAATTACTTATAAATAATTATTAATTAATGTTAATTAAGTTAATATATATTAATTCATAGTAAATTAATTATATTTAAATTAATTATATAAAAAGAAGAAGGGTTATAGCCATAAGTTGCAAAACCTTCCTTTAGCTATAAACTATTTAAGGTAATTACATGCTGCCGCACATAACCCTTGCTTGCCAGTGCTTTAATGCCAATTACCCATAATGCCTATCGCCCATAGTGCTGCTATTCCCCTATGGCACGTCCATAACTACATCTTTTTTAATATTAAAAAAAATATCATTATTTTTATTTTTTAAATTTAATAATATATATTAAGTTTTCAATATAAATAAAATAAAAAGTATATAAAAAGATTAATTATAAAATTTAAAATAAAGTAAATATAAAAATATAAAAGTTTTTTAAATTTTTTAAAATTCTTTTTTTTTAAAAAAAAGCTTTATTAATTATATATTATATATTATAAATTTTATTTTCTTTAAGTTTTATTTCTTTACTTAATTTTTAATATAAAAATATTATAAATTAATTTAAGTTTAAGTTATTATAAGTATATATTTATCTTTTTTTTTATTTTTAAGCTTAAGGTTAAATTTATACTTTTATTTATTAAAATAAAAAGGGTTTTATTTTTTATTATTTAAATTTTTAAAAACTTATATTATTTTTAATTTTTTAAAAATCTTTTTTATTATTTATTTTTTTATTTTTTTATTTTCTTATGTTTTTCTTTTAATTTTGTTTATATTTTTTTATTTTTTTATATTTTTTTTATTTAAATTTTAAAATTATTTTTTATATTTATATTTAATTTTTTTTATAAATATTTAAAAATAAATTTATAATTATAATATATTAATATTATTTTTATTTTTATTTTATAATTTTAAAAAGTTAATAATAATATTTAATTTAATATTATTATAATAAATAAAATTAAAATTAAAAAAAATTAATATTTAATATTTATTATATAAAATATTATATATAATTTTAATTTTCTATTAAAAATTTAATAATATTATTATATTATAAATATAATATTTAATAAATATTATATTAATTAAAATTATATTTTTAAATATTATAAAATATTTTATTAAATAAAATAAAATTTAAAAATTATATTTTTATTTTATATTATTATATTAATATTAAATATTATATTAAAAAAAAGTTTTAAAATTTAAAAAATTATTATTTAAATTTTATAAATAAATATTTATAAATAATATTTTTTTTAATAATTTTAATAATTTTAAAATTAAAAATTAATAATAATATAATTTTAAATAATTTTTAATTTTAATTATAAATAAATTATAATTTATAAAATATTTAAAATAATTTATTTAAAAAATTTAATTAAAAATTTAATTATTTAATAATAAAAAATAAATAAAAGCTTAAAATTTTAAATTTTATAAATTTAAAAATATATTTTAAATTTAATTTATAATAAAAATATAATAAATAAATAATTAAATATTAAAAATATTAAAATAAAAATATATTATAATAAATATTTTAATTAATAAATTTATAAATTAAAATTAAGTTTTATAAAAATTTAAAATTAATTATATAATATAAAAATTATATTATAAAAATTAAAATAAATTTTAAAATATTATAAAAAATATAATTTTATAAATTAAATAAATATAAATAAAGTTTATAATAATAATAATAAATAAAATTAAATAAAAAATATATAAAATTTAAATATATTAAAAAAATAATTTATAAATTATATTATAAATATATAAATATAATTAATAATATAATATTTTTTAAATTATATATTTCATTATTTATAATTATTAATTAATAAATAATTAAATAAAATATTTAAATTTAAAAATAAATTAATATATAATAAATTTAAATTAATTATATAAATTTATATATTTTATAATTTTTATTATTTTAATAATAATCTTATATATTATTAAATATATATATAAATATATTATAAAAAATTAATATTTTTTAAAATAAATTTTAATAAAAAAATTAAAAATATTATGTTTTAATTTTTAATTTTATATTTATTTTTTAATTAAAAATTTATTTCTTTAAACTTTAAATTTCTTTTTATATAATTTATTATAAAAACTTTTATTAACTTTTTATATAATTTATAAATATTAATATATTATTTTAAAAAATATTTTTTATTTATTTTTTAATAATAATATAAATATCTTTTTAATTATATTTAAAGTTTAATAAAATAAAATATAATAATTAAAATCATAAAATTTAAAGCTTATTAAGCTAGATAAATCCTCCGTAAGTACCGTAATAAACCATGTTACGTCGTTACCACCTGCTTTATTTTATTAATTAACTCCGCTTACCAGCGCTTCTCCTTTCATTTCAAGGTAGCAACCCATGTTATATAGTTATCACCTGCTCTATTTGTATTAATCATCTCCATCTACCAGCGCTTCTCCTTCCATTTCAAGGTAGGCCTCTTAGTACGTGGCATTGATTCTGGGCACTATTGCTTTTTGCATTTAGCCATAAACCTTTTGAACGGGGGGTAGCCTCGACGGAGAACTCTTACTGCTTTAAGAATCAACTCCGCCTGAAATCATACGAGAAATATCTTTCCACTGATGACAAAGGCGCCACTAAGCCATTAAGTATTCAAGCAAATGAGTGGGTTCCAACTTAAAATCTCTAGCTATAAGGAGAGCTGGTTTCCCAACGCTGGACTCATGAATTTTATCCTCTCTTCTCACGTCCCCGAGGTTAGTCATTTATAAGCTATCTATCGCTGTCTTTCAATATCCTTAAACCCGAAGCATCAAGATGAAGTCCTTTCTTTCTATCTTACTCCTCCTCCCTGCCACTTTGGCGACCGATACTTGCGTCGCCGAATCGGGCTGCGCGGGCTGCGGACCAGTTGCCAGTGCCAGTTTCGTCCAGAGCGGCAATAAGCAAGTCGCGACTGCTCCGGGCTGGGCCACTATGACTGTGTCGGGCTCCACCATCGCGCTTGAGAACCTTTCCGGCAGCACTCTGACCGTATGCAACTATGGGGTTGTCTGCTATTACATCAGTCCGAAGAGCGATTGCACCGTCGGAGAGCCGAGCAATTTCAACGTCCCAATTGGCCTGCAGGTTTGGCAGCACCCTTAGATGCAGATGAGGGAGGGGTTGAAGCGGCGTGGAGGTGGGGGTTGCATTGGGACAACAGTTTGCGAGCGACTGGGAGGTGTGGGAGGAGAGATGTGGGGATGAACGACTGGAGGGTGTGGAAGGTGGATTGGGGAAATTTCTCTGTAGCATCGTATGCTACACAAGATCACCATGGAGCAGGTAGCTTCGCTTGAATTATCCTGGGCTTATGCACCTGGTTGCAGTATCTGTGCGATGCCAGAGGCAACTCCACCAGGGATGTTGAATTGCACCCACTCTTCTGCGTTCGCGTAGTCCCACAATTTGAAATATGAATTAGGAGTGCCGGCCTGTCCCCGCCAAGTTGCTCAGTATGATCCTCTCAGAGTGCCAAATCTATCACGAGTATCAGTGTTAGTAGAGAACTGCCTGGGTGGGCAACAGAACTCGGGAAGGGCTTACCGTCACACCGACTCATGCGCCGGTCTCTGGGTGAATTCATGCCAGAGGCCTGTGTTCACTTTCTAATTCGGTCATGAAGAGTAGTTCTCAGACCTTCGACATCTGCTTCCTAATTTCGCAATATAAAACGAGCTGACTAGCAGCACGAGGAGCATGTAAACCCATAGTTTTGTATCCGACTTTCACCAAATGGATACACATACCGCAATGATCAAGCGATTATGTGTAAAGTCCAAATCCAAAATAGCCCAAAACCTTAATAACTGGGCGTTAGATATCTGTTGACCGATAAGAACGCAAGATGAGTCGCTAAACGCAGCCACGCCTCATTATGTATGTTGCATTACACTGAGACCAGAACAACGTAGGTACGTTGGCCGCCGCAAATAAAGTCCAACACTTCAACTTGGTGCCAATTTACTCATCCTCGGCATCTCGCGGATCATAGCTCTCCCAATATTTCTCGTAATCATCCCATGTCTGAGATGGGAAGGCAAGCGGGACGGTAATTGGGGCGAAAGGGATCCCCTTGTCTGCAAACTCTTGGAGGCGAGCCTTGGTCTTCGGTCGCGTGCTGTTCACACTGTAGACCGAGATCCTGTGACAAGAGCTGGTGACGTGCAGGCCCCAGTTCCATGCGGTCCGCACATCGGGAGGCTGGGTGTTAAGAGAATTGTCCCAGCAGCGGCAGACAATCTCAACCCAGCCCTCAGCATCGCAAGGGAGATCCATCTCCCAGGTTCTCCAGGTCCACTTGCGCTTCCTTGAGAGGTTCTCGACCGGCACTGTGTACCAGTTGAAACCGCCGTCGGATGATAGTTCAACTCGTTCCGGCCAGCGACCGCCACCAGAGTAGGCCCATCCCTTGCAACGAATCTTGCCGTTGTGGATAACGACCTGCTTGGTCCATGGCGACATGATGGCGGAACTGACTGGCATCTCTTGGATTTGAATGCCATCGGTGAGCTTGAAGTTATGCTTGCCAACCTGCTGGGGGAAGTAGAGGTACTCCTGGCTTTGCACCGGTGCGCGAGAAGGGTTTTGAATGGCTTTGATACGATAAAGCCATTTGACGCTTCGGGCGCCGATGTACCCGAACACGACGATGCGGAGGGGGTATCCGTGGATCCGGGGGAGGACTTCGCCATTCATTTCCCAGGCCAGCATGACTTCATTAGCCTTGACCTTGGACCATGGAACACTAACGAGGTAGTTCATGGTCTTGTCGTCCTTGAAGTAGGTATCGGCCCCGTAAAACTCCAAATGTTTGGCGCCCTCGATCAAACCACCGCAGGCTTTGATGACCTTCTTGAGACTAATACCAACATACTTTGCGGTACCAATAGCACCCTCAGCCCATGGAGCCTGAGGAACTTCGTCACCCTGGCCGGGATACTTGAGGATCTGTTCAATCCGGCGGGTCCCGGAGCACTGCATCGTGATGGTCTTCTCCATCCGAGGAAATTCGGACTCGTCCATGAGGTCGTCCAAGGTGAATGATCTCGGGTTCTTGACCAAACCGTCCAGTAGGAAGCTGTAATGTTCTTTCTCAATGATCGGAATACCACCGTGATTTCGAACGAAGTGCAGGGGATTGGGGGTGATTTCTTTGGCAGTCACCAGACGCTTAGGAGGCTCGCCGTTGTAAGGGAACTGAAGAAGATGGAGCATATCCGCGTGTTTCTCCTTCAGTACGGTGTCCCAAGAGTCATCGGGAATCCGGGAAAGGGCGCCGCCGACTGCCTTGTGCCACATCTTCCAATGGGTGCCAGGAAGGACAGGGTTGGTGGCTGGGATAGGACCGAGCTGAAATTCTGGGTTGGGAGGGAAGGTCTGGGACGTCAAGATCTTGTGTGCTGCAGCCTTCTTTTCTGGATGATTCTCCCACTCGACGAAGCTATTCGAGATCCGTCAGTCACTGACTAGATAATGTAGATCGTGAGCGAGTGTAACCCACCCAGTCCAACCCTCACGCTCCTCCGCGAAGAGCTTGTTGCAGTCACCAACGCTCTGAATAGCAGCCTCATCTTTTGTGAGATCACCGAAGATTTGAGGGAGGAGGACTCTGGTCACGGATTCCGTCATGTCAAGAACAGGGAGTTCAGCACCAGAAAGGCCTTGCTCAATCTTCCACTCATCGGGTCTGTTCGTGGTCTTCATGATTGCTGGAGCTATAGAAGAGAGGGGAAAACACTGAGTGATCTTGTTTGCAACGGAAAAAGATATGAAGAGGGGTGATGAGCGACTGTGGATCTCGGGGCACTCGCCCTTTTAGCTCGGAGGTTGAGGTTACCGCTACACTGCAGGGAGACGTCACAACTTGAGACGCTTGCTTATTCAAAAACGAACGTGTAAGACCAAGCAGAGCTCTCCTTTCCAAGCAGGACTGTGCGTATTTCGGGCGATCTGACTGGTCGAGGATTTAGAAGACATTACGCCTACACTCTTCTCTCTGATCAACAAAAAACTTGCTGTGCCTTGGGTAGTGGCCTAGATAGTTTTGTTTCCGCTCTGACGTTACTTTACGGAAAGTCATTCAACTCTGTTGACAAGGGCGCTTTGTGAGTGGCTGCTCACTGTCGCTGTCGCTGTCGCGCGGACGAGGTCCATTCTCCTCCCCAGGTTCCCTCGAGCAGGAAAGGTCGCGCGCAGTAGGATACAATTTGGGACAGCAGTAGCTCGATCTCCGCCCTCAGTGTTACATGAGGTCTCCTGCATGACATCCTCATCCCAGCAGGCAGTTGTGTCGAAGCTCCGACCCAAAGTGTCAAAGCCCCCAATGAGAGGGCAGTCTCCCCAACAGCCAATCTCCATGCTCATCTAGCTGCAAATGGCTTGGTCGAGGCCCATCTGGTGTCACCTAGAGTACACCCACGGAACAAACTTCCCATCCTTTGGGCCGGGGCAACATCGGAATCCCACTGTCTGCCAAGAGCTTCCCGAAAACGTCCTTTCGCGATCTGCCGTTGCAGGTCACTGCATTGATACCAAGACTCCGAGTTCCATCCCACGCTGAACCCTCGCCGTCGCAAATCACACCGCTCGTATCTGCATTACAGGCCTTCCCATTGGTTCCGCGTCACGGGCCGACAGATTTAGCCTCCCTTTTGACGCTTAATGAACACCAGCCTGCAGCATGAAATGCTTCGGCGGACTCGGCGATGATGTCTGCCTGTGTCACTGACCATCCAAGAATAACAACGACGCCGAGATTTCCAACGCTGTGATTATTCCCTAATTGGACGCCCGCTCGTTGATCTTGCATTAAGAACACGTCGTATTCAATGGCAGTATAATTGACATGTTCTGGATGTCATGAAGATGCTCTATATCTGTGTCGCTAGTTCCTGCCAATCTCATAGATTATTTCCGACACCCGTATTCCTCAGATCCAGGCTCCGGCACCCGACCAGCACGGCTCGCCGGCCGGCCGACTGTAATCGCCACTTCTCATCACGAACCGGCTTCGACTCATCAGCCACGATGAACCCCCAAGCGATCGAAGCACCTTTGACACAATCTGCCACATTTCTCGTCTTATCAGCAACAGATGAACCACGTGCCGTCAGAAATATTCGATCCGCCATCTCTAGCATTTCAGACATCACAAAGAACATCTCGACTCGCCACCCGGGTGCTCACCTCTCCTGCACCGTCGGCATCGGCAGCAAGATCTGGGATGAGCTCGCTCAAGTCCCCCGACCGACGGAGTTACGACCGTTCAAAGAGGTCCGAGGCGCCAAGCACACCGCAGTGTCGACACCAGGTGACTTGCTATTCCACATCCGGTCGGAGAGGAGAGACATGTCCTTCGAATTCGAAAGACAACTCATTGACCTGCTGGGCGATGCGGTCAAAAAGGAAGATGAGACGGTTGGTTTCCGGTACTTCGATGCGCGCGACGTCCTGGGTTTCGTCGACGGCACCGCAAACCCCGTCGGCTCAGACGTATCTGAAGCCGTTCTGATCACCCAGGAGGACGACAAGACTAAGTCCGCGCCGGGGGGCAGCTACGTTGTGGTACAGAAGTATCTCCATGATCTTAAGACATGGCGCAGTCTATCAACGGAGCAGCAGGAGGCCATCATCGGGCGGACCAAGTTGGACAACATGGAGCTAGACGACGCCGAGGATGGACAGCAGCAATATCACAAGAGCCTAGCAACTATTGAAGACGAGGACGGGAACGAGCATGACATTCTGAGAGACAACATGCCTTTCGGGTCTCCAGCGTCAGGTGAATTTGGCACGTACTTCATCGGGTACTCGAAAAAGCTCTGGGTTATTGAGAAGATGCTTGAGCGTATGTTCATTGGCAGCCCACCGGGGCTGCATGACAAGATCTTGGACTTTTCGAGACCGGTCACAGGATCCACATTTTTTGTGCTGTCAGCTAAGCTACTGGAGAGTCTTGGTGATGATTAAATCCTAGGTGAAATGGGCCCACCAGCAAGTCTGCTTAGGGGTCCCCCAGGTTTCTACTCGTGGGATGCCACAGCAAGCGGCTTGTAGGATTCAGGAGTATCATTACCAGTCGGTCCTCAGCTCCAGTGAATATTCGCTAAGCTTGAGCAGAGATGATGAGTTGAGTCTTGGTGGACGGAGCCTCAATCGAGCATGGACTTTGAGGCTGAAAACTGCATAGGCTTTGTGATCAAGTACGAATCAAGCGGCTTTGTATTGGCAGCTATATCAAGGCATCAGGAAACCCAGAGCTTGTCCAGTCTATGGGCCAACCACGCTGATGGGACCAGCATCACGCGAACAGAGCGATAGGCTCCGCCAGGTAGAAGCCGGGGTCGTTGAAGCGCAGGCCCTTGTCCAGGGCGCTGATGGCGTCGATCTCAGCTTGCGTCAGGTCGAAGCCGGTGACGACGAGGTTTTGCGCGAGGCGGCCGGCGTTGTTGGACTTGGGGATGACGGCGATGCCACGCTTCGTCGCCCAGCGGAGCAGCACCTGCGCGCGCGTCTTGCCGGTCCTCGCCGCCGCCGCCTGCACGGGCGCCACGTCCCACAGCAGCGGCGTGCCCTTTGCGCGCCGGTGGAACGCGGGCGGCAGCTCCAGGAAGGACTGCGGCACGAAGGACGAGTAGGCCGTGATGGCGGTGTGCTTCTCGTGCGCCAGCGTGACGAGCTCCTCCTGCACGAGGTAGGGATGGTGCTCGATCTGCAGCGACGAGATCGGGTGGCGGGCGTACGTCTCGATGTCGCAGAGGGTCTGGGCCTGGGCGTTGGAGATGCCCATGGACTTTGCGATGCCGTCGTCGACTATCGACTCCAGTGCCTGCCACGTCTCCTGGATGGGAACCCTGTCCAGCTCGATCTTTGACCGATCCGCATCCATCCACCACGCCTAGGGCTTTTGGCCAGTACGGGCTCAACATTTTTGAAATTTGACTGACGAGATTGGAGGATGGGACGGGCGGTGTACAACTTACTGGGTAACGCAGAGTCTCTGGGTCAATGTACTTGAGGGCAAGCGGGAAGTGAATTAGGTACAAGTCGATGTAGCCAAGTCCCCACGCTTCGTTTTGTGCCTTTGCCATTTGGATGGCATGCTCCTTACGGTGGTAGTTGTTCCACAGCTTGGTGGTGATGAAAATGTCCTCGTGCTTGACAAGGCCTTCTTTTGATGGCTCGCTGGATGCCTGTTGGAATATTCTAGATATCTAGGCTATTATTAATACGGGATATCCTTTTCCCCATACGTTTGCCACTGTATGGAGGATAATAACTATACATAGGGGCCTTCCCTCCCATAAAATAAACATTAGCTAGCCTAATAAACCAAGCATTTAACGCTATTATTTTAAAGGTTATAAGCCTAAAGTTAACCTAAAATAGCAACGCTAACTTAATACAGAAAATATATATTATATAATACTCTTAATTATTATTACTTTTTAAACCTTTTAAATAAATAAGCTTTATACTTTAAAATAAACTTTTTAATTAATTACTTAATTAAATTAATTAATAAGCCTTTAATTAATTAAATCGCCCTATTTAATATTATAAATTAACCTTATTTCTTAACCTAAAGCTTATATATAAAAATTATACCTTCTTTATTTAAATACTTAATTATTTCTTTATTAATACTTAACTTACTTATATAATTTATATATTATTTAAAAGCCCTTATTAAAAATAATAAAAGCATTTCTTTAAATTTTAAAAACTATATTAAATTAATATTAAAAACGCAAATTTTAATAAAATTATAATAATCCTTAAACTTTCTTAAAAAATACTTAATTATATCTTAGCCATTTTTAATTTATAATACTTTAAAAATATGATATTTAAAAGCCCTTCTTTTTTTCTTTATAATTATATTATTTTAATACTTATATTTTTATTTCTTAACTTATTAAACTTATTTAAAATTTATTATATCTTTCTTTTTATTATTTTAATTATTTTAATAAATATTTTATTTATTTTACTTAAAATAGCATTTCTTAATAAATATAATATTTTACTTTTTAATAAAATGAAAAACTATATATATTAAAATATTAAAATTTAAGCTTAGCTTAAAAAAGAAAATATTATTAAAAATAATTTTAAGAATTTTTTTTAAAGCTTATCTTTAGCTTAAAATAAAAAAGCCCTTATTAATATTAAACTTATATATAAATAATACTTAAAAAGCATAAAATATACTTAAATCTTATTATAAACCCTTTAAATTTATAAATTAATATTTATTTTATAAAGAGTTTTTTAATATTAATTTTAATAATTTTAAGATTATAAAAAAATATATTAATAAATTAAAGTTCCTTTTAAAGGATTTAAAGGCTAATAATATAATTTTTTTTAAATAAATTATAATTAATTAAATTTTTTATAACTTAAATAATAAATATATTAACTTTATTTAAAATATAACTTAAAGTTTTAAAAGAAATTTAAAAATTTATATAATTAAATTTTTTTTTTTTAGCTTATTAAATAAAAGTAAAGGAAAACTCTTTAAATTATTTAAAAAAGCTTTATATATAAAAGGTTAAAAGAAATAAAAAAAAATATTATATACTTTAATTATAAAATAAAGTATTATACTTAAAAAGATTACTATTTTCTTTACTTAAATAAGGTACTTATTAATTAAAAAATAAATAAATAAAGAAAAGAAAAAGAAAAAAATATTTTTTAAGGAAAAATATAAATTATAAGAAAAGAAAGAAAATGCAAAAGCAACTTTTAGCTTTATTAGCTAATATAAAGTTTCCCTTAGCTTTAAAAAGCGCTTAAGAAAATCCTATAACTTATATAGCTATAAATAATTTAATAAAGAATATTAAATATAATAAGAATTTATTAAATTTCTTATAACTTTCTTTTAATAACTTAATAAAAATTAAGATAAATAACCTTATATATATTTTATATATATATATAATAATAATAATAGCTAATAATAATAAATGTATAAGAAATTAATAATATATAAATTTTATAAAAATAATTATAAATATTATTATAAATATAATAAATTTTAAAGATATAACGTGGTTTACTACCTTGTGTTTGATATTACCTTGTGTTTGATTTTTATTAAGTTTGCTAACTTTAGCCAATCCTAGCACCTACTTAATGCAAATAATTTAATTAAATTTAGCATTAATTGGTGCCAACTGCATTTAACTCCTTATTTATAATTAATTTTATTAATTTAAAGTAATGTGGGTAGTTGTATTAAAGTTTAAAGTAGTTGACTTTTAGTGGGTGGGGTTGTTTTTGGTGTAAATCGCGTTCCCATTTTTCGCGTTAATCTTGCATTACTTTACCTATTTAAATAATTAATATGTTAGGAATTAATAATTATAAATATCTTCCTTATTAAATAAATCTTAAATCTTTTTAGCTATTAAAGCTATTTAAGATTTTAAAAAAAATTATAAAAAACCCTTAAGTACTGCTTACGCTATATGAATTTATCGCGTCCTTAAATGAATTTTATGTAAAAGGATGAATAATTAACGAAATAATAAAGAATTATGCATTAAATAATATAAACTTAACTTAATTAAAAAGTAAACGCTTATTTAATATATTATTAATTAAGATATTTAAGGATTCCCTTTATAACTTTCTAATATGGAAGATATAGTTAACCTTTTGCTAATATCGCAAGATGCCAAACTTATTAGCAAGCATTAGGCTTAATGCTTTATAAATTAATAACTTAACCTTAAGATTAAGTTTAATCATCCTTATAACTATTAAAGGGCCCTTTATAAAGATTTAAAGATTATTAAAAACTAATTTAAATTACTTTGCAATATAATAGCTAAGTATTAAATTATTAATAATAATCTTTATAACTTTAATAAAACCAGCTTTATAATAAGCATAATTGCTATATTAATAATTATTATATATATTAATAAATATAAAAAGGCTAAATTAATTTAGCTTAGTAATTAAGAATAAGTAATTATTATTAAATGCATTAATATAAACAGGTTATAAATCCTATTATTTATAATTATTTAAGGCATTTACTATCTTATTAATTAGGCAATAAAATTAAGTTTTTTAAATAATTAAGTTATTAAGCCTACTCTTAATAAATAAATAAATAATAAAATTAATTTAAAATAAATTTAATATTTTAATAAGCATATTAAATTAAAAAAAATACTAATTACTAAATATTAATTATAAATAATTATAAAATCTATATATTAACTAAGTTTAATTAATATTATAAAGATAATAAGATTATTATTATTAATATACCGCTATATTTATCTTACTTACTTTAGCTATTAAATATTATATTATATTTGCCTTTAAAGCATATATATAGTAATTAAATTAATCTTTTTATTTAAGCCTTTATTAATTATATTATTAAATTTAAGTTCTTTCTTATATTTAAGGTAGCTTATAATAAGACTTTTATAATAAAAAATATTAAGTTTATATTTAAAGGAGTTGGAATTTTTTTTTAAAACCCTAATTCTATAATTTTTAAGCTTAATATCCGCTTATAAACTTTTATATAATCCCTCCTCATTTCCTTTTAAAAATAAAAGTCTTAAATACCATTAAATACTTAATAAATTATTTAATAATTAAGTTTTATTAAAGGTAAGATTTCCGCCTATTAAGAAAGCTCCCCTATATTAATTATAAACGCTATTAATTAATTAATAAAGAGTATATAAGTAATAGCATACTTACTTACTATAATAAGCAAGCAAATCTATATACTTTAAGAGGCTAATATAGCGCTTATAAAACGCTAAAGGGCTAAAAGAACCTAAGTGCAGCTTAAAGAAGCACTTATTATTAAAGAATCCTATATTCTTATTTAAGAAAAATAAAAGGGGAAGTAGCTAGCTGGTAAAATTAATAATAATGCTAAGGAATTAATTTATAGCGAACTAATTAAAAGATAATATAATAACTATGGTAAAATTAAGTATAATATAAGAACTTATAAGAAAGATAAAAAAGGGTTTATTTAATTAAATTTTAACTATATTATAATAAATCTAGCTTAGTTAGCATTAATTAATGTAAATATATAGATGTTGGTAGTTTATAGCGAATTAACTTTTTAAGGGTATAGTTAGCATTAAATGATATTAAATGCATATTTCCCATTAAAAGTTAACTAGTTTAAATTAGCATTATAACTACGTTAATACCTTTAAATTAATAAAATTAATTATAAATAAGGATTTAATTGCAATTAGCATTAATTAGTGCCAAATTTAATTAAATTGTTTACATTGGGTAGGTGCTAGGGTTGGCTGAAGTTGGCAAACTTAATAAAAATCGGATATAAGGTGATATTAAACATAAGGTGGTAAACCACGTTATACCTTTTTAATATTATATATATAATTAATAAAATTATAAAATAAAGTAATATAAATATTATATTTATAAATAAAATAAGGGATTTAATAAAAAGATTTTTTAATATATATTATATGCTTTTTTTAAGTTTAAATATACTTAAATATAAGTATATAAGTAATAAAATAAAATTAAAATTAAAAGGAAATATTATTAAATTATACTTTTAAGAAATAAATAAGTAAATAACTTAAAAATATTAAAAAGATAACTTATATTTTATAAAAATTAATATAATAAAATAAATAAATAAGCTTAAATATATTTTTTAAAAAATATATATAACTTAATAAAATTTAAATATAAATAATAAAAATAAAGAAAAAATATATAAATAGCATTATAAATTAAGTTATATAAATATTTAAGCTTTAAAAATATTTCTTTAAAAATATAAAATAAATATATTAATAAATAAACTTATTTAAAAATATATAAATAATTATAAAATATGCTTAAAAGCTAAGCATATAATTAAAATAAATAAGATTAGCTTAAATAATTAAATATATAATATATTTAAAAAAGTATATAATAATATAAGCAGTTCTTCAAAACTTATATATAATAAATATAATTATTATATATTATTCCTTAATAAAAGAACTTAATATTTAAAAGCTTCTTTGCTTAAAAATAAAGGTAAAATATTAAAAGCTTTTAATAATTATAAAAATAAGTTAAAAAATTAATATAATAAAAAAATAAAAGATTTAAAATATTATTAAATAAATATTTTATAAATTATTATATAACGCTCTTATATATATAAAAATTAAATAGCTTAATAAAAAACTAAATTTAATTATAATAAATAAAGTAAAAAGCCTTTTATATATAATAAATTTACTTATATACTTATAAAGAAAAGCAATAAAATATATTATATATTTATATAATATTATGCCTTATAAAAGCTTAAGGTATAAATATCTTTATAAGGTAATAAATAAGAAGAAGCCTTATATAAATAACTTAAAAATATAAGGCTTTATTATATATTTTTAAAATAATAATTATAAAATTAAATTAAAACTTAAAAATAAAAAGGGCATATTATTAAATATAATCTTAAAATTAAATATATATTAAATATAAAATATAAATAATAAAAAGCTTATATTAATTTAAAATATTTAAATATTAAAAGGATAATATATAAATAATAATAATAATAATAATAATAATAATAATAATAATAATAATAATAATATATATTTTTAAAATTTTAAAAATAAAGAAAAGAAAATAAGGAAGTAAATTTTCTTTTTATTTTAAAGAAAATAATAATTTAAGGGAATTTTAAAAATTATATATACATATATTATATAAAATATATTATTAAATAATTAAATATTTATATTAAATTCCCAAGAAAATATATTAAAATATTGCTTAATTATAGCTAATATTAATAAACCTTCTTTTTTAAAAAAAGTATTAAATAACTTAAAAAAACCTTTATAAGTTAAATTTATATTAAATAAAACATATAATTTATAAAAATAAAATACTTATATAATAATAAATTTATTACTTAGCTATATAACTTTAAAGGGAAAATAAATATATATATAAAAATTTATAAATAACTTAATTATTATAAAACTTAATTAAATAATAAATAATAAAAATAATATTAAATTTAAATTTAAATAAGTTATTTAAGGATATAATTAAAAATTAATCGTAAATTATTTAAAGACTCTTTTTATAATTTGCCGCCTTAAAACTTATATTATATTATTAATAATAGCAATAAATAAAGAATATTATATATATAATTATAATATTAAAAACGTATTTTTATACTTTAATATTAATTTTAAAATATATATAAAATTATTTATATATATATATAATAAATTAAAATATAAAAATAAAGTTATAAAATTAAATAAAGCTTTATATAAGCTAAAATAATTACTTATACTTTAATATAAATACTTAAAAAATATATTAATTAAGTTAAGATTTATTATTTATTTATATAATAAAGGGGTATTTATATACCTTAATAAATAAATTATATTTATATATTATATAAATAGTATTATCGTTATAAAACTTAATAATAATAATATAAATTTAATAATTAATAAATTTCCTTAAAAGTAATATATATATATATATAAAAAAGAAAATAAATAATTATAACCTAAAATAAATATATAAATAAAATATTAAAAAGATTTAATATAAAAGAAAAAGTTAAGAAAAAAGAAATAATCCCTTAACTTATATTATATACCCTTTATAAAGAATTAAAAAAATATATTAACCAAGTTAATAAAAATATTATAAAATTATATTAATAATAAATAAGGTTTATATTATATATTAGCTTAAAAACTAGGTAAAATTTAACTTATTTTATAAATAAGTTAGTTAAATATATAGTAAACTTAAGATTAAAACATATAAAAGAATTAAATAAAATATAAAAATATATATATAAATTCTTATATATATTTAAAATATATAATTACTTTAAAAATAATTTATAAATAATAAGCTATATAAATTTAAATTAAAATAATAATATATTTATTAACAAAATACTTTTAATTATATATTTAACTTATATAATATTAATAACAATAATAATAATAAAATAAATTTCATAAGCTAAAATTTTTAATTATAAAAAACACTAATACTTTCCTTTATAAAAGCAAAATATATAGCTTTAAGAAAAGCTATAAAAAAAGTTAAATATTTATATAATTTACTTAAATATTTTAATAATAATTTAAATATTAGCTTCAACCTTAAGCCTTTTACTACATATATAAATAATAATAAGGCTAAGAAATTAGCTAAAAATACCTTATTTTATAAAAAAATTAAATATATAAATATTATATATTATTATATAAGAAAAGTAATAAAAATAATAAAGTAATATTAAAATATATAAATTTTAAGCAGAATTTAATAAATTAACTTATAAAATTAATAAATAAATTATATTATAAAGAGTTTAAAGAAAAGTATAATTTTATAAAAAAATAATATAAAAATATTAAGCTAGAAAATAAAGAGATTTTCTACTTATATTATAATATATATAAAATAAATTAAGGTGTTTACTTTTTAATAATTAAGGTTAAGATTTTTTCCATTATTTATAAAATATATAAATAAATAAAGCAAACTTAATTATATATATATATATAATATTAACTTAAATATTAAAAGTTTTCCCTTAAAAGAAATAATTAAAATAATAAAGGTTTTTCTTAAAAATAAGCGTTATTTATACGGCTTATATATATTATATATATATATAGTTATAATATACCTATATTATATTTATATATATTTAATTTTATATAAAAAATGTATTTTTATAATATATATAATATAAATAAAATAACGTGTGATTTTAATATATAAAAATGCCGTAATATATTATAATTATAATAAAATAATTAATAAATTTTATATAAAATTATAATTTAATATATAATACCTTATTAGCTATAAGTTTAAGTTTAAGTAATAATAAAATTTTTAAGTTTTTTACTTAAATATATAAATATTTAATAAGTAAGTTTTTCCCTTTTTATAAGGTTTTCTTGTTATATAATTAATTATTCTTTTTTTATAAATTAAATCCCTTATATATAAAATAAAATAAATAAAAGGGAATTAATTTAAGGGGGGCTGTTGAAATATTTTAAATATTTAGGCTATTATTAATACGGGATATCCTTTTCCCTATATGTTTGCCACTGTATGGAGGATAATAACTATAAATAGGGGCCTTCCCTCCCGTAGAATAGACGTTAGCTAGCCTAATAGACCAAGCATCCAACGCTATTATTTCAGAATGCCCTGGCCGGCTTCCTTTTCGTTCTGGTAGTCGTATGCACCATCGAACAGACGATATCCAACTTTGATGGCCTGGTCTGCGTCAGCGTTGATCCTTGATCATGGACTGGATTCGAGGGTAGCGGGCACATTGTAAACGGTGTCGGCCGCTGTCTCAGCCGGCACTTTCCAAAGCCCGAAATCGACGAGGGGCATTGACTGGCCTGAGGCCAACTTGATTGTGCTTGGCGACATTATTGCTTGATATATGTGTCTGTGTATATGTGTGTATAGAGAATCGTTCGTTCGGCAGGGCTGGTGTGATCCTGCCAGATTGTGAAAAGGCGATGTATTGCTGGAGCAAAATATCGAGGCGGCGACTGTTGACTGCGCAGGGTTTGAAGAAAGTACAAATGAGGAAAGTACGAATCGATAAATGTTGTGGAACTGAAGTGAAGCTCAAGCTCATTCAAGCCCTCATTCATGACTCTGATGAGGCAGTTATACCAAAGAGGGAATTCTAAACGCGGCCCCACTGTGTAATTCCGTCTCTGGTCCGGAATAGGAAAAATGAAGCACGGCTTGGCACCCCGCCCTTCCATACGCACAACACACACACAGCCCTGCGATCCGCCGTCCAAACGTGTGGGGGAATCACAAGCGCAGCGGGATCCAGCCGCACCATGTGTGCCATGCTTGATGAGTGCCGGCGACGGACCAACATGCCATGACCGTGGGCCGGATGCCCTCTCGTCCTCGCCTCATCCTGCACCTCCTCCATTGTCGTCGTAGTACTCGATCCCGAGCCGGCGTCGGTCGTACACGGGCTGCCCCTCCTGCCGGGAAAAGCGCGGTAAATGTGGCGAGGAGAGAAGCCTTGAGTGCACGCTGCCGTGCAAAAGGGCTCCACTATTGCTACGCTTCCCGGTCTGCCTTTTTTTTCCTATCAGCGGCGGCAACGGCGGCAATAAGCGGAACGAGGATGTAACCGCCGGCTCGCAATACGAGCAAGAGATGTATGCGCACGACGGCGCTGCCAGGAGCCAGCGTATCCAGCCGAGTGGTCCTCGTCCCAGTCCCAGTCTGGATTTTAATGTGAGCCTGAATCTGGATCCACTAGCACCTACATGAACATCACCACCACCATGAGTAGCAATGCTCTTAAAAGCGCGCATCACTGCAGGTGTCGTGCCGAGTTCTCGTGAGCCGGATCCGAAGACGTTGACTACCCCGGCAGACCCGATTTTGCATCTCGCCGCTCCGCCACGTGAGGATGCTGAATCAAGATGGGGTGAGCGAGAGCCGTTCATCTCCATGCACAGCACAGAGCCATTGAATAACCCGAGCATTTTCCGCCCTAAAGTCGCCTACCCGAGCCACACAAGGACAAAATAGGGTCCGGTCGGCGTCCCATCGTTCGTGTTGGCAAGCCTGCCTCTCATCAGGCTTCAGCACGACGTGGTCAGGACCCGCGCATTAGAGCTGTCCCACCGGCTATCCGTCGCCAGCGTCTAGACGCAAGGAACGTTGTGATGGGGCAGACAGACGGGTGAGCACGTGGAGGACCTGCACCACGGGGCCAGCCCCTAGGGCAGTGGAAGTGCATGTACGCGTATGAAGCTCCAATATAATACATCGTAGCCACAGGTCCAGTGACAGCTATGTAAGACTGTGGTATATCCTCTAAGCTTTCTAGAGAATTTTCACTGCATAAAACTTTCGACTACGGTGCAGGGGTAAAGGGCGCCCGGTTCAAGTTACATCTCGAGTGGATCACTTGAAGACGAACGAATATATCAGAGATGTCAACGGCCAAGATTTGCAAGAGTTGTGGCTTAGCTTATCAAAGGAACCGCCGCCTAGCTAAGTTATAATGACATGTAATATAGTGCGATAGACACGAGTGCTATATGTAGGGAGAAGTGAATTGTCCAAGAATAATCTTGTGCCTCGTTCAACATTGAGGCCTCTTTCTCAAGCCTTGACCGTCGATCCGACAGGCCCAAAGCGAATGTTGGACCAGACCACCTGACTGTTTGTATGTCGTCAGCACCGTTGCAACAATTCATTTCAAGGGAACAAGGGAAAACTCACGCGCTACCGTATTGAGATTCCACATCAGATGGGACGCCGGAGGACTGAGGGCAGTCGCCACGGTCGCCGCCAGGCTGCCCAGCCTTCTCGGGTGGGTAGCTGGAGTCCAGCCAGAGCATGTTGGCGTAGTGCTACGTGGCATGTCTTGTTAGCTGACACTGTGGAAGGCTGTCTGATCTCCAGGTGGTGTGGGTCATGACTTACATCGTCCCAGATGGACATAACCAGTACCATAGGCTTCTGCAGAGCCGCGTTGAGCTGATCGAACCCGCCGACCTCGGAAAAGCGGTCGCGGTCACCGAAGGCCTTGAACTGGTTTGTGCAGAACTCGGGGGTGATGTTGCTGCTCGAAGAGATGCTCTGTCATGTTTTCAGCGTGCATCCAGTGCTTCAGGCACCTGCCACCACCTCTGCGTCTCTCCACTCGCAAGCTGCTGAGGAATCTACTCACGGTGTCGGCTGGGCCTGGGATCTGGATAGTTTTGCCGTCTTGGACGAAAAACTGGGACATCTTATTCGATTCGAAGCGAGTCACGACACTATGATACCGTCGTCAGCATCACATACGCATCCACAATGGAGGCCCAGATGAGATTGTCAGGGGACCGAGTATGTGGCGGCACTTACGTGAACTTCTTGCTGGTGTCCACCGTCTTTCCCTTGCCATAGAAGTCTTTGGCTCCCATCCTGTAGGGGTTGTAGTCGCAGCCGTTGGCGTCGCATTTGCCAGCAAAGCGATCCTCAGAGTAGGTGCCACCGCACGCGTCTTTCTCGCAGACGTGGTATGTGTTTTCGGTGCATGGGTGAGGCGTCAGTGCGAACGAGTGAGAGTTGCTCTCCCTGTAAAGCACGGTGAGGTCAGTCCTGGTCGAAGGCTGTTTGGAATATAGAATCGTCACATACCACACGTCAATTTCGGCGCAGCAGCCGCCCAGGGGTCCCACGCCTGCGTTGGCATCATTTGTTGAGGCAGCCCAGCCCTCCACGTTCGCCTAGGGTGTGTGGTGTGAGTGCTCATTGATCGAGTAGTCTGGGAACCGTGATCTCACCTTGCCGCCAACGAACTTCAAGTCGCGAGCGCATTGGGCGTCACAATAGCCGACACCGTACTTGGCGCCAGCCTTGTTGTTGGTTTGCTTGGACATGCCACCATCCTGAGAAACGTCAATGAATATGCCCTGTTGGCGTGAATACCATCCAGGCTCAGCTCACTTCGTCCATTGCCACGAAGTAAAGCGCAGCATTGAGGCCGCACTCAACGGTGGACAGGTCGACGTCGAAGGCGAACTCGTTGTTCATCAGTGTGAACATCTGATACTTGGAGGAGCTCGTCCCGGCCATGAGGTAGAACCGCGACCCGATGTTAGTTCCGTACTCATGCTTGGTCACGAATTTGAGGGTCAGCGCGTTGCCGCTGGTCGAAGCCCCGTAGGTTTCGGTGTACTTGGCGCCCTCGAGGGCACACTTCTGGGCACAGTCATCGGCTTTGCTGCAGACAGATGTCCACCTAGGCAGATGAGACCGGTGTGTCAGATCAATTGTGTGGAGTGACACGGGCTGTGCCAGATCGAGGATGTTTGCCAGGGGTTGTCGCTTACTTGTTGCCATCATAGCAGTTGTCGGTTCCGCTCGTGGAGTGGAGCCAGCGCCAGTTGGAGTCGATGACAACTTCAGCATTTTGTGAAGTGCAACTTCCACCCGAGCCCGTGCATTTGGACCAGGTGAGCTTTGGGTGAGTCTCAGTCTGCTGAGTCCCCACCTGCTGGGCTTTCGCCGCTGCCAGCAACGACAGGAACGCAAGAGCGGATCTCGACATGGTGACTAATAGTGAACAAGGTGGTTGTATATCCTGCCGGTTGGATGCTATGCAAGAGTATCTCGAGCAATCGTCCCTGGTCAACAGGAAATGCTACCGAGGATTGCCTCTTTTTTATAGTTCCCAGTGCTTGCCATGACATTGATTGTCTCGATATGAGCTTGTCCAGAACGCTTTCGCTCCCTGGACGTGAAGAGATACCCGCGCCGTCATCTTTGACCCAACTGATCCATGATATGCAGTACCTCGGAGTCTCTAATCTGATTTACGATCTCTGTTGGGTATAGCTTGAGTTGAAGTCGCGAGATTCTGTGGCGAGAGCAATTTCGGGCAAATTGTGAGCAGTTGATAGAGTGCCACACACGTTAAGGCTATATGCCGTGCCCAGACTGGGGTACTTTATGTGTCACTCGGCAAACAACAAGTTGCATGTTATTTAGCCGTGATTTTCACTCGCCTAAGCAACCTAACATATCTCTGCGCGATATTTGGCTGCTCTCTCGGCTTGGCAGGCTTGGCCGTGCAGAGCCGGACCCTTGAAAGGCGGGGATTCCCACAGATTGTCACACCCGAACAATGCTGAATTCGTCAGTTCTCCGAGACTTGGACGATCATCCTTTTTGAGCCACCCTGAAAACCAGGCGGCAAAGCAGTGGGACATGGATGTTGAGCTACAGATGTGCACGTGGGCCAGACGGCCAAGGAGAGGCCGGATTAAGCAGGACTGCGACAGCTGAGCACTCTTGGAAAGCTTCTCTAAGCTTGGTGACTTTCTGTGGGTCTTGCAGAAGGCTTGAATTGCATTCGAGGCTAACCGTACTTCTTCATTGCCCCGCATTGCCATGGAGCAATCCAAAAAGACATTACCTCCTTCGTACTGTATTATCCCTCTGATCATGCGTTGTCAATCCCACTTCTGAAGGTCAACGGCAGTTATCCAATCGGTTCTAAGTCTTACGCCAAGTTGAAACTCGCCTATAGTGGTTACCACTCATGTGAGATGTGCCATTGCTACCCAAGGGCGTGATCTTCCAGGCACTAGGGTTGCTGTGCATGGCTCAGAGTCGGGTGGCAATTTAAATTTATTTCTCAGGCCAAGCGCAGTATGGGTCAAGGCCCGAGCCTCCCCTCAATGTGTCGGCGGCGGGAGTTCGTCTCGAATTCCTCTCAACATGAACGGACGAGACTCGAGCACAACGGCAAGAATATCTCCTCAATCATCAAATCAAATCATGGCTCTTCGGAAGTCGGATAACTGGTTCCTGGCCCGAAATTTCCAACCATCCAGAGTGGCAACGACAAGGCACCACGGGAGACCATACTAGCGACGCCTTGTGACTCCTGGCGGGCTTTTGTTGATATGCCGCATGTATTTGGACGGAAGACTAAAGATACCATTGTCCACACAGAAAGATGTGTTACCAGTTGAACGAGTAGTGGTCTGGAATTGAATTGCGGAGGAGATTAGGGAGACCAGAAATTTTCCTGGGCAGACTAATATACAGCACCGACCAGTGTTATTTTCATGGAACCGGTGATAGATTCGACTTTTCCGTAAAGAACCTCGCCGTAAACGTTCTGACCTTGCTTATGATCTCTGTTTCAGTTGATCTTTCCCCCACATCATAATTCATGTTTGCTGCAGCCTCATGTAAAGGTGACTTCTTGCTGGCTTTGTCGTCGGCCATGGCTCAGATAAGGTTGCCAGCGTAAAGTCCTCATTGTAAAACATATTATCAACAATTTGTATATTCATACAGCAATCTCTTGTTTATGGGCCCTTGAGGTTAGTCGGTATCTGTCATACCCCAGCCACCGCCTCCAGGCGTGTTGATTCGCATGATCTCGCCTGCTGTTAAGTTTACAACCGCTTTGCCTCCTAGGTTGATCTTCTCCAGGGCGCCGGCGTCATTCCACTTGAAGACAAAATTCTCGCCTTGCTTCCCAGGTTGACCACCATTCATGCCATAAGGCTGGTATACTCTCCGGTCGCTGAGGATGCTGAACTTGAGGGGGGTGCGAGCCTCGATCTCCCGAATGGTACCGTCTCCCCCATTCCAACTTCCCGAGCCGCCACTGCCTCGGCGGATTTCATACCGGCGCACCAGCACCGCCGTTCGCTTCTCAATGACTTCGGCGTCTGTGTTCCGAGTGTTGGTGGAGTGCACATTTACCGCGTGTTCCCCGTGCCACCCAGGACCTGCACCCACACCTCCGCCCAGGGCCTCACCGTAGCTCCATCCAGGGACGATCCGCCCAGTCTCGGGATCTCGGCCGCCCATACCCCAACCGAAGCTGTTCGCGCATCCCTGGCTCGCAGCGCAGCGTCCAAATGCCCTCAGGATCGTGTCGACGATGCGTTGGCTGGCGAGTGTCGAGCCACAGACCGCAACAGTGGGCGAGGGGTTGAGTATCGAGCCCTTGGGAACGCGAATGTCGACCGGGGCGAGGCAGCCCTCGTTCAAGGGGATGTCGACGTCGACCAGACACCGGATAGTGTAGATGATGGCGGAGTGGGTGATGGAAATCGGGCAGTTGTAATTACCCCAGCTCTGCGGCCCCGTTCCCTCAAAGTCGTACGTGGCGGATCCTGTCTCAGGGTTGATCGTCACACTCAACCTGACCGCTGTCCCATCGTCGAACCAGTCTACCGCCTTCAGCGGCTCAGGGTGGTCCTTGGCAATCTTCTTGAAGAAATCCCGCACCGCAAACTCGGCATTTGCCTGTATACCCTCCATGTACCGATGAACCACCGGAAGAGAGAACTCGTCGCACAGCTTACCAAGGAGCACGATGCCGCGCTGGTTAGACGCGACCTGGGCCCTGAGATCTGACAGGTTGTCCCCTATCCGTCGCGTTGCGCTGCAACCGGGGAACTTGCCCGCTGCGGCAAAAGCTTCGCGGACTTCAGACTCGAGGAACTCACCACCGCTAACTAATTTCATGGACTCTATGCTTATGCCCTCTTCCCACAGCTGCTTGGACTCCGGCATCATTGAGGTGATGCCCCGTCCGCCAATGTCGGTGTGGTGGCCGCGAGAAGCGACGTAAAAGATGATGCTCTCCTCGAAAAATACGGGGCTGACAACAGTGAGGTCAGGAAGGTGTGTCCCACCGCACTGAGGATGGTTGGTCAGGAGGACATCGCCCGGCCGGAGCCTGTCTTCCCACAGACGGTGTTGATGTTGGATGGCAAACTGCATGCTGCCAAGGTGGATGGGGATGTGTGGAGCGTTGGCCACGAGCTTGCCGTCGGGCGAGAAAATCGCACAGGAAAAGTCAAGACGCTCCTTGATGCTTGTCGAGATTGATGTCCGTTGTAGAGTGTTCCCCATTTGCTCGGCGATTCCCATGAATCGGTGGGCAAAAACGGACAGCTGGATCGGGTTGATATTGGATCCAGGCTCGGCTGTCCCACAAGAGTGAGTCTGATCTTCAGCAAGTTCCAGCACGACATGATTAGTGATGACGTAGGCATGGAAGGTAGGCTCAACTAGGATCGTTTGCGTCTGGTCAATGATCATTGCTGGCCCTTTAATCCTCGCGCCTTTTGGCACATGCTCGAGGCGATACACCCCGACATCCACCCACCGGCCCTCGACATAGACTCGTTGGCTAGAGGAGGGTCCTACGGATAGTGGGGATGACTTCACGGACAAAAGCTCCCGTGTCGGAAAAGCGTCACGGCGTGGTGTTGCCAGGCTTCCAGTTCCTCTGATCTTGATTGACTCAATGACGATGTCGCGATTCAAAGTGAAGGCGAATTCTCTAAGATGGTGCGCCGTGAATGCGGCAGCGTAGTCCTCGTCGGCGGGCCTCGTTATCGTGATACTGGTATCCGTGCCGAAGTACCGCAAGACCAGGGACTCATCGAAAAGCAGCGAAGACTGGCTCGCTCCCTGGCCGAACAGCTCCGCGCTCACGCGCAGTCGGAGCTCGGCTAGCCGATCTCGAATGGTTTCAGGGGCGACGGAGGCAAGCTTCGTTGAATAAGGTTCCAGGCTCTCGTGTTGAAGCTCAGCGTGTGAGATCCCGTATGCTGAGAGAAGCGATGACCACTTGTGAATCAAAATTCGCTTGATTCCAAGCTTATCCGCGATTGAGCAAGCATGCTGTCCACCAGCCCCTCCGAAGCTGACTAGATTGTGTGCTTCAGGTGAAAAGCCCCGGGCCTCCGTGATGTTCCTGATGGGACGACTCATAGTCTCGTTCGCAACGTTGAGGAAACCCAACGCAACTTCCTCCGGTGTTAGCTGCTGCGATGTCTGTTGGTTAAAGTCCTGTGTAATATCCCTGAACTTCGCAGCGACAATTTCGGAATCTAGGGGCTCATCCGCATTTTTCCCAAATATTGAAGGGAAAGAAGACAAGACCAGGCGACCAAGAAATAAGTTGGCGTCGGTGACGGTCAAGGGCCCTCCTTTCCTATAGCAAGCCGGGCCTGGGTGAGCCCCTGCACTCTCCGGGCCCACGACCAGCAACCCGTTACGTGCGAACAGAATAGAGCCTCCTCCAGCAGCAACCGTTGCAATGTTCAACATGGGCACATTGATCGGTCTGCCTGCTATCGTAGTCTCCGTCAAGTAGTCATATCTGCCGTCAAATCTCGAGACGTCGGTCGAAGTGCCTCCCATGTCAAAGCCGATGATTGGTGTTCTTTCCTCTTCGTCGAAGCATGATCTAGCGATGCCGACCACACCTCCTGCCGGGCCACTAAGGAGAGCCTCGTTGCCTCTGAATTTCGTTGCGTTCTTCAATCCACCGTCCGAGCACATAAAGTCCACATTTTGTGGCAAAGTTTTGAAGCCGCTCTGAAAGTCCTGAACGTAGCGTCTAATCACGGGGTAAAGATACGCCTCAGAGCACGTGGAGTTGCTCCTGTTGAGCAACTTGATGCTCGGGCTTATCTCCGATGACAACGTAACGTATGTGAATCCGATGTCGCGGGCCAGCTGAGCAACCTGTTCCTCGTGGTCCTTGAAGAGATAGGAATGCATGAAGGCAATGGCGAGGGAAGTGTATCCCTGCCCCTTCAAGTCATTCAATTGCCGTCTAACTGCATCAACGTCGACCTTCTTCAGAACTCGGATGATCTCACCACTCGGAGTTCGCACAAGGTTTTCGTCCGTGAGTGCTTGTGTGATATCCATAGGTGCTGGATTCAGATCATAGTCTTCAATCGTCACGCGTTCATCAACCTCAATGACGGTGTCGTGTAGTGCTTCTGCTTTGCGCACGTTGAGATCAAACAATTTTGGTCGACTCTGGTCGCCAATAACACAGACGTCTTTGAAGCCTGCCCCGATTGAATGTCAGACAACCTTCCACCTCTTGTCTCGGACGATTGGAGTGGGCATCCGAGCTTACCTTTTGTCGTAATGAAGGCGAACCGCTCGCCTTTTTGTTCTAAAAGGGCATTGGTTGCCACTGTGGTCCCAATGCGACATGATGCTGGTGAGGATGACGAGTAAGCATGCGAGAGCCCTTCCGGGACAAGCGAACAATGCACCTACAGATGCACGACCCGTCTAATTTTTCGCCGACTGGTATCGATCTGCCTTCGACTATTTCCAACACACGCCTAACGGCTTCTGTAGGCGCATCGGCATAATTCGCCGGATCAACAGATAATAGCTTGAAGATGATGGGAACATGATTATCAAGTTCTGCAATCACGTCACAAAAGGTGCCGCCTCTGTCAATCGATACCCGCACGCCGGCTGCCATGACTTCCTATGAAAACCAGGGGGATAGTTTGGGGAGAAACAGCAAGCCAGCTTGGTATTTTGGTGCTCGAAAATTATTATGACTCAATGACTGTCTTCAGCAAAAAGCAGATACTGACGAGTAGGTGCGACTTTCAGTGTTGCCGTAAAGGTCCGCGACCGGCCACCACATCCAAAGCTATACCCTATTCGTCTCCATTCACCATTACGGGGCCCCCATGAGACTCACATCATTTCTGCTGGGTAGGTTCAGTCTATGGACCCATCAGATGCCATTTGGAAAACTTTTTCCTGACACACCGCCGCATTGACATTGAATTTTATTGCAAGTTCGAATGAAGTAATGATCGGCGGCTTGATGAGACCACCATAATAGACAAGGTGCATTTCCATGCCCGCTTTGAGGACTTGAGCTTTCTCTATTTCGTCAAATGGGCGCGAATGCGGCGCAGGACATCCTCGTTCTTTTCCAGGTGAACACTGTGATTGGCGTTCTCAACTACAAACAGTTGTGCACCGGCCACCTTGGACGCAATGAGTTCGGAGTTTGCTGGGGATTTAAGTCAGCAGGCGACCCATCAGAAAACTTTCAAACCGTGCGCCCAGACTTACCCAATGGACAAATCCAATCTTTGTCTCCGACAACCACCAGGGTCCTGGCTGTGATGCGGTGCAGGTCAGCTCTGTAGTCGAAATACTTCTCCTTCTCGGAATAGAGATCGTCTGGGTGCGATGGTTAGTGTTAAATCCAAAGTGCGGCTCCAATAGATTACCCAAAAAAAAAAAGAAGAAGAAGAAGAAAAAAAGAGAGAAAGAAAGGATCGGTCATACTATGTGCTTCGGAGTTGTAAACATTGTCCATGCAGCTGCTCAGCCCGGCATTGGCATCGAACTTCTCGCTATAGAGGGGCATCATGGCAAAATGGACCAGCCGAAACTCCAGGTCGCTTTCAAAGGTCCCAAAGACCTTGTTCTTCAGCATCTCGACTGAAAAGCTCGGGGCCATTTGAAGCCTCTGCCTCAGGACTTCGATAGCTCCATTTTCGTCTAGGAGCGTTTAGTCTAAGCAAGAAGATGGGTGAGGAAATAACGTACGGTGATGTGAAGCAGCGGTTCCTCGCAGTATCAGATGCGACACTTTCGGGGCATACTTTATTGCATACTGCTGGGCGAGAAATCCACCAAAGCTACCACCACATATAATAACTTGGTTCCCCTCCCCAGCCAAAAGTTGTCGGATGCCTTCAATGTCGTCCACCAATTGATCGAATGTGTAAGGTTTGGTGCGAGAACTCTGCCCATGCCCTCTGTAGTCGAACGAGAGCACGCGCCATTTGTCACCCAGGGGACTATACGCTTTGAAGTCCGATCGGTGATCTCCTGCGCACTATTAGTCCAAGGGACCTGTCCGAGAATGGGTTTGGAGCATTGTTTGTACCCATTCCACGACCGCCATGGAGTGTGATTATAAGTGGAGCATCGTCCGGGCCACACAGGCGGTACGCCAACCTGGCATTATTGATTGTCACGAAGTCGGTCATGTTGAATCAACTGTTGCGATTTTCAATCTTGCTGAACAGCCTCGCTCAGTCAAATTGTAGTAACGAAATGACCTGTTGAAATGGGAAATGGTCAAATGGTCCGCCGGGATCATCCGACTTGGGTGGCCAGGCCTGGTAATCCGGCCGTACTCCGGAATCAACAAATCAAGACAGGGTGCATGGCGTGCTCGCCCGTCGTGGGTTTCCCGTCCCGACTTCGGGATTTTGCCTGCCAGACTCGAGTTAAATGTCGTTATCAATCCACCGCCACTCATATTGATCGCAGGATAAAACTCCGGCCAGCCTCCCACACTGTTGGTCCAGGCTCCCAGAGCGCTAGCTCACGAGAGCTCATGACCACGACCACATATCCAGTCATGTCTGCGGAGACCGCGGGCAGTTCGGCGAAGGCGGCAACGGGAAAAATCATCACTGCCCGGGAGTGCGACCTTGAATCGAAAGACAGCAGTGCAACACACATCCAAGCGGCGGAGAGGCAGACTGGGCGCTGGTTCCACTGGCACGAGCCAGGCACATCGCCTGAGGAGAAGCGTCTCATCTTCAAGCTTGACTGGTTTCTGCTGAGCTACTCGTGCCTATGCTTCTTCATCAAGTGGTTGGACGGGAACAATGTCACCAACGCCTACTCATCCGGGATGGCAGAAGAGCTGGGCTTTGGGCCTGGCAATGAGCTCTCTTGGATGAACACTTATTTCACCATCGGCACCCTCGTCGGGGCGTCTTTCGCCAACCTTATCATCACTGTCGTGCCGCCTCGCATCTGGCTGCCGTCCTGCCTGATGACATGGTCGCTTTTTGTCCTGTTCTTGTACAAATGCAACACGGCTGCTCAGTTCTATGCGCTGCGCTTTTGTATCGGCCTTTTCGAGTCCGCTGCTTGGCCCGGCATCACCTACACCCTTGGTTGCTGGTATCGGAAAAGCGAGCTGGCGCGGCGTTCCGCTCTGTTTGTTATCTCGGGCGTCCTGGGTCAGATGTTCTCCGGTTATCTCCAGGCCGCATTATACACCGGCATGGGGGGCAGAGGCGGCCTTTCTGCGTGGCGATGGCTCTTTATTTTCGACTTCATTTTGGCCGTGCCCGTGGCTGTCTATGGTGTTGTGCGTCCACCGTCCCGCCACCTCCTTTTGCTCAGGTCCACCTCAGTCATGACAGTGGTTACCTTCAAGTACTAATTTGATACCAGATCTGTTATCCGGACACTCCACACACCACAAGGGCCTGGTACCTCAACGACTGGGAGAAGAAGCGCGCCCGGGAGCGCATCGAAGAAGAGGGGCGCGAGCCCGCTGGGAAGCTCGACTGGACAGTTGTCCGACGCATCTTTACCTCATGGCAGGTCTACGCGTTCTCGATAGGGTATTCGCTCTGGTCCTTGACGGTTGGGAACTATGTGATGCAGTACTTCACACTGTATCTCAAGAGCACCGGCATGTACACCATTCCTCAGATAAATAACATCCCTACCGCCATCGGGGCCGTCAACTTCTGCTTCATGTTGGGCTCAGGCTTTGTGGCCGACAAGATTGGAAGACGGGGACCGGTGTGTCTTGCCGTGGGCACACTCTTGGCCGCCTGCTACATTGTGCTCACTGTGTGGGATGTCCCACACCGGCTGAAGATGGCTGCTTTTATTTTGTGTGGATGCTATGGCTGCTACACACCCTTGCTGGCCGGATGGACGAATGAAACCTGTGGAGGGGATCAACAGAAACGGGCCTTCATCTTGGGATTCATGACGGCCGTGGGTGGTGCAGTGGCCATTCCGTTCCAGCAGATCCAGTTCGCAAGCTCCCAGGCACCTCACTTCAAAGAGACGCATGGCTGGGGGAGTGGGCTGGCCATGGTCATTGCCCTAACACTCTGGACCGGCATTGCAATCCCGCTTCTACAAAAATATGGGGAGACCAAGGCTAAGGTGACTGATGAAGAGGAATAGCCTGTAATATTTGCAGGGTTTGGCATATGTTTAATAGATCTAGAGCTTCTAATCATTCATAAATAAGTTCCGATAACAAAATGATCTCGGTATCACACTTCTGTGCTGCTCAAGATGCCTCTCCTCACATCCGCAGCCCCGCGCATCCATTCCGTGCTGCCAACGAAGCAGTGAACTGCTGTGACCACACGCCGCGAGGCTCGGACGACAGGAAGATCCACCAGGAGGTCGAACCGGGCCGTCATAAAATTTAGCTCGGCCATGAATTCCAGACTCAGGCTCGGATAGCAGCACTCCAGAAACAAGGACAGTTCCAAAGTGGCAGGCCACTGCAGACGTCCCGCCACGTACGAATGTCCTGCGTCACACTCGGCTCTTAAGTTTCTTTCTGTGGCCAGTCATCACCGCACACCTTTGCAAAGGATCAAGTGTTCGTGATCCAGTCTTGTGGCTGGGACTTGCGGTTACGGCTTGATTGAAAAGGGTTGCCTGCATATCACCGTGTCAAGAGCGACTCAGACATCTCGCCAAATTTTGTCGTGTTCACCGGAGCTTCAAGAAATGGTTCGTCATGGAGTACATGACATGTGCGCTGAATTGAACAGCCCTGGTCCATCAACCACGGAGACGCTCCATTTTAGGGTCAAACAGCGGCTCGGGAGTGATGGTCGCCTTAAGCCGCCGCCCAAAGTACTCAATCTCGACAGACTCCTCCTCCCCCAGTGAACCCGGTAGCCATGCATATGCTATAGGCTTCCTGACGGTGTACCCATATGCAGCACTGGTGACATATCCTACTGCCTTGTCGCTGCTGGCATGAAAGACTGGTTCCTTGCCCAACACACCCGACGTTCCGTCATCAACGGTCAGACATCGCAACCTCTTCTTGCTTGTCTCGGCAGACCTCCCCTGGAGGGCATCTGAGCCAACAAAGCCGCCCTCCTTGTCCAACTTGACGGCAAATCCGACCCCGGCCTCAAACGGGTCGTGCTCTGTGGTCATGTCCGTGCCCCACGCCCGGTACCCCTTCTCCAGCCGCAGCGAGTTGAACGCCTGCCGGCCTGCCGCGATGATACCAAACTCTTCACCGGCCTTGTAAAGGGCATCCCACAGCCTGAGACCGTGCTCTGCCGAGGTGTACAGCTCCCAGCCCAGCTCGCCGACGTATGACAGCCGCATGGCCGTGACGGGAATGCCCGCGATGGCGACGCGCTTGCATCGGAAGTATCGCAGTGCCTTGGTGCTCCAGTTGTCACTGCTCACCTTGGTCACCACATCTCGTGCCAATGGGCCCCACAGCCCAATGCAGCAGGTCCCGCCCGTGATGTCCCTGACATGGGCCCACTTGCTCGGGTCCTTGGCCGCCTGCTTACGGGCCTCCTCCTTCATGTAAGCCGTGTCGACAGGTGTATTGCAGCCCACCTGGAACAGCTCGTCCTCAATGCGTGCCACCGTTACGTCGGACCGCACGCCGCCCTCACCGTCGAGCCAAAGCGTGTAAGTTACAGGCCCTGTCTTTGGCAGCGGTTTCTTGCTGACATCGCCCGTGCTTGCTCGCTGTAGAAGTTCGGCAGCGCCTGGCCCGGACACCTCGAGGCGCCTGAGGGGCGTCATGTCGTACATGGCCACGGATGTCCGCGTCTTCCACGCCTCAGCCGCCGCGATGGGTGACCAGTATCTTGCTGCCCAAGTATCGCGCTCAGGAGCTTTCCACTCTGGCGGCATCGTGTCCAGGAGCTTGGCGTTGGACTCATACCAGTAGGGCCTCTCCCAGGCGCCGCCCTCGAGGAAGAAGGCCCCCAGCTCCTTCTGGCGGGGGAAGAATGGGGAGGCCCGCAGGTTGCGAGGCGATTCTCTTGGCTGCAGTGGGTGCAGGATGTCATATATCTCGACAAAGTTCTGCTGCGATGTCTCGGATACGTAGGCATCGGACAACTGCACCTCCTCAAACCGGTTGATGTCCGAGGAGGCGAGGTCGAACGAGGACTTGCCCGTTGTGAGAACCTCGGCAACAGCACGTGCCACGCCAGCAGAGTGCGTCACCCACACGGCCTCTGCGACGAAGAAGCCTTCCAAGGTGGGATGAGGGCCTACGAGGGAGCCACCGTCGGGTGTGAAGGAGAACAGGCCGTTGAAGCCGTCTTGTATCTCGACTTCCCGGGTCGAGGGAAGCAACTCTTGCGTCAGCTTCCACGCTGGCTCGAAGTCCTCCGGGGTGAATTCGAGACGGGAAGGCATGTGTTTGTCATCAACCTCCTTTGCCGTCACACCCAAGTCTGCTGCGACAAAGGGCATGGGCTTGTGGCCGTAGAAACCTATCCCAATCTGATCCCCATGCTCGCGGTAATAGAGGTCTTGATCTTGGTACCGCAGGATGGGCAGTGAGGCGCCATTTCCTGGGTTGTTGCGTCCTTTCAAGGCTGGCACGGATGTCGTCTTGGCGTACTGGTGGGCGAGGGGTACAAGAGGGACCCTGAGGCCGACCATTGCGCCCAGCTCAACACCCCAGAAGCCGCCGCACGAGATGACAATGTCAGCTGGGACTGTTCCGGCAGATGTAGTCACCCCAGTGACGCGGCCTTTGGCCCTCTCGATGCCGGTGACCGGAGTCATGTCCAGGTAGCGGACACCAGCTGCCTTTGTGCGCTCAATCAGGACCTGCACGGCGCGAGCGGCCAGAGCGAGGCCGTCGCTGGGGATGTGCAAGGCTCCAACCAGCTTTTCCCCATCTAGGAGCGGGTAAAGGTCGAGGCATTCCTGTTTTGAAATCACACGGGCCTCGACGCCATACGACTGGGCTAGCCCGTGTTTCCTCTTGAGGTCTTCAAACCGCTCCGGGGTTGTTGCGATCTCCAGGCCGCCAACCTGGTTAAAGCAGCTCTGCCCATCTTTGCTGATTGACAGCAGCTTTTCGACCGTATACTTGGCAAAATTTGTCATGGTCCTGTCTGGGTTGGTTTGGAAGACAAGCCCTGGCGCATGAGATGTCGACCCTCCGGGCATGCTGAGAGGGCCCTGCTCGACAACCGTGATGTCGGACCATCCTCGCTCAACAAGCTCGTCGGCGACGTTGACGCCGACGATGCCAGCTCCAATAATGACGACGCGCTTCGCTTCTGGATACGCTGCAGAACCCATGACGGTTGGGCGTTCAGACAAGAATAAGGATGCAGAAAAAGTGAGGGCGATGTGGGTGAAAAGCAGAAGTCAATGGGACAGGTCTGGTGAAGAAGAAGGCAGACGACCCAAGTACGAGGAGAAGAAGCTTTTATCTCGAGCAGAAATCCTAAGCAGACACGGCCGTCGTCGGTGGAATTACACTTTTCATCCAGAGGCCATGTCCACTGCTGATTGCACCGGCTTCACCACACCACATGATATAACCAAGCATTGTGCTGCCACCAACCAATATCGTGGCAGACGTTTCAAAAGAGGCCCAACACTAGCAGCAATCCTGATTGCCATCGAGATTGGCGCGGCCATTGTATACAGTCCATAGACATACAAGGCACCACGGTGAGGCTCAGCTGACGCAGCCAGGCACCATGCCCCATACTGTGCAGCGTATTTGCCATCACGGCTGCTCCAGTCCCGCTCGGACATTGTTCGGGACAGGGCTTCTACCGTGTGCAATCTGTGTGCGCCGCGAGATAAGGGAAGGGCATCTGGCCAGTCGCGGCCCTTGTGTTCATCCCCGCATCTTGGCGAGTGAAGTTGCTCGGGCCAGCCCGACTAACCTTATCTGCCTTGACTGTCCCAACGTCCGTTGTCGGTTCCTGATCTGCGGCGCCCAGCCTTATCTGCAGTGTGTGTGCTGGTCCCTTGGGTCTCTGGTTCTCTGGCGCCCCCTTCATGGTTCCTTTGTCGCGTCAGTCCCTGGTACAGACCTCGGTACGTGATATACATACACGCCCCCCTCCTCCACCCCTCCCGGATGCTTATCTGCAGGGAGGTATGGGTGGCAGGGTGGACGGCCATTGTCAGACGTCGTGGCTGCTGGTGGGCCGGGGATGGTTGGTTTCCCAAGTCCATTCCATGCCATGTCGAGCTGGGACTGCATTGTACACGTACAGAGTCGGTAAAGCACAGACTGCGGCGTGATATCATCGGGGGTCCAATGGCCAAGGACTGACCTGACATACGCACTACTGCGGTACATCAGATGCAGCCTTTCGTAGGTGTGCTGAAAAGTACGCCCAAGGTGCTGTCATCGATCGGTCATTCCGGGGCTGTCATGTCTGGCCAGCATTGTCCTTGGGCCCTTCAACATTCCAGGCCTTCTTGCCACATGGCGCTAAATTAGTTCCAATCCGTTGTCGGTATCCGGCTGGGGCGGAGCTGCAGGACATCCCTGATCTGGTTCTATCTTTACCCATCACACGTCTGCTGACTGGCCAGCATGTGCCGTGACTCGCGCCCTGTGACCCAGAGTTCACGATAACTTCATCTGGCTCACCTGGGGGGCAAGTCCAACATTTGATAGCCACAACAAGGACGCTGCCATACCAAACTGCCGCGTCGGTAGTACCTCCACCACACACCGTCCTCCCATGATCGTCAGTGCTGCATCCGTTGTAGGAGGTGACCATGGCCGAACAAATTCCGGACCCAGCACTACCAGCCACCAAACTGGCGCATAACGGAGGAACTACTCCTTCCATGGAAACATTCAAACCTGGGGAACTTTGATAACGCGCCCATCGACCTCGCTGCTCGGGTGGGAGGCAAAGCCCCTCCTGTCCTCCCCCCCTCCCACCTCTATCATCCCTCCACACCTCCGGTACCTCCGTCGCATCCCATCCTGCACAGCGCGTCTCATCTTCTGGCTCAGGATATTCCAAGCTCCTCAACTGCCAATTCCAATAGAATAATTGAAATAACGTGTTATTCTGGGGTAGCTGAAGCCGTTGTCCTTCACGATTGATTTCGGCGTGCCACATCTGGTGCGCGCAAGACGCAGTGACAAAAAAAGAAAACCTATGTTATCTATGTTTTCTGGGAATCCATATATTCAGCACATCACAATCGAGTCGACGGCTCCCGGTTTCAATTACCGATTCAGGCAACTATCACTTGGTCCGCCTAGGCGTTAAGTCCCATGCTTGGTTAGATAGATAAGCACGCCAAACCCTATCAGCTTGTTGGCGAGGCGTGCGGTAACGATTGTCACACAGTACACACACTATCTCAAGACCACGAAGGCCTCGAGCTCGTATCGCGTGTCGTATGCAGCGCGTCAGCCAACTGGGCACGGGGCTTGATCCAACACCGACAACGGTGAGCTTGGGCACGGCCGTGGTTTCAGGCGCGAGCGCTAAAGTTCATTTCCGGGGCAGGTACCTGACCAGTACCTATACCCAGGCCTATCTGAGACTTGGATTGTTCCGTTGTCGTATCTATCCATCCATATTCAGTTTCCACACGCCAGGGCGTTGACGAGGCAGCGCAATTTCCGCTTCCTCTCTCATGGTGGGAGGAGCCCAGTTCCCATCCAGTCATGGCTTCACGATGCGCTCGCCGCTGGAGAGGGTCGGCGCGGAGCTGCTCACCCTGGCCTGTCGCCACCCTTCCCGCCGTCCACTTGATATCGGGAGCTTGATGCCACTCGACTGGGTCCTCGTGAAGACAATGAGTATATCAGGGCGTCGGCCACGACCTCACCCGTCCGCTCCTGCTCTCAGACAGAGCACCTCGACCGGAATCATCATAGATCTCAATTCCACAGCGACCTTCTCAAGGCATCGTCCTTTGCTTTCTGCTTGACCGCTTCTTTGCGCTTATCAGACACAATAATTATCGGTTGCAATGTCGACTGCAGTACTCAGCTATCTTGGGAGCCTAGCAGGCTACGGGCCCAAGCCCGCCGTGGACAAGGCCCCCATCCGGGCTCTGCCTGCGGGCTGGTACACCTCCCAGGACATGTACGAGCTGGAGCGCCGCGCCATCTTTTCTCGCAGGTGGCAGCTCATCACCCACAAGATCAGAATCCCAAATCCGGGTGACTGGCTCAATTTTGAGGTCGCTGGCTTCAATTTAATCATCGCCCGTGATCGCAAGGGCGCCATTAATGCCTTCCACAACATCTGCAGGCACCGCGCCTATCCAATTGTCGAGAAGGAGCAAGGCACCTCCATGATATTCTCCTGCAGGTGAGTAGAGCTACAATCATCATCATCAGCGAGGCTGAGCTTCCAAATTCAAAATAAATCTCAGGGACTACATGGACTAACATGGTCATAAACAGATACCATGGCTGGTCCTACGGTCTCAGCGGGAACCTGGCGAAGGCTCCTGGTTACCAGGAGCTTGAGGGTTTTGACAAGTCCAAGAACGGGCTGTTCCGCATTCACACCCACATTGACAACAATGGCTTCATCTGGGTCAACTTTGACGCCAAAGACACTCCAGAGGTGGCATGGGAGGATGACTTCGCTGGCGCTGATACCCAGGAGAAGTATAAAGACTTCAACTTTGATGACTATGTCTTCGACCACGCCTGGCAGATGGACGGTGACTACAACTGGAAGATCCTGTCAGACAACTACAACGAGTGCTACCACTGCAAGACCACTCACCCCGACATTCCTGCGGTGGCTGACCTCGAGGCGTACAATGTCGAGACGAAGCGAGGCTACATAATCCACAATGTTGCCACAAAGCCCGAGCAGAGGGATCTGGGTCTGGTCGTGGCACCGACCTATCACTTCCCTAACGTCTCTAGCAACGTCACGTGAGTAGCCTTGGGGACTGCAAACCACCCACATGCCTGTTGAACTCCAGCACTGACGATTCTGCACAGCCCCAACTTCTTCTTCATCCAGCGCTTCATCCCACACTCGGCCAGCAGATCCACCATGGCTTACCAGGTCTTTCGCAACAAGAACGCGTCAGAGGAGAGCTTCCAGCTGGTCAACCAGATGTACAAGCGCATCATGTCTGAGGACAAGGTTCTCTGTGATGCGGCTCAGCGTAATGTGAACGCTGGGGTCTTTGTGAACGGCGAGATGCACCCCCGCATGGAAAAGGGCCCTCTCTTCTTCCAGAAGCTGTGCCGCGAGGCGGTCACCGAGCACTGGAACAGGGAGAAGGCCGCCAAGAAGGAGATCTGGCCAGCGAGGCAGACATTTAATAACTACAACGCCGACGTCGCCGAGAAGGACATCACTTTCTGCTCGGGGCTCAGCTGCTCGACTCTTGACGAGAAGGGCCCGCTGGCTTGGTAGTCTGTTTCTTGACGGCCGAGCGTTGATTTCAGTGCAGGGGAGTCCTGGAGTTCTGATGTTTCTGGGAAGTTCTTGGGGAACTCTCCCGTCCGAGCGACACCTCTAATGTCAGCACAGATTTAGCTGAGGCGCAAACTGTGGTCTTGATAGCAGTCATTCGTTTTGCTTTCGGAAGCATTGTCAAGAATGGCACATTAGCGTTGCTTCTCGTTTAATTTGTTTCTTAGGAAGATTCTGAAGACTTCAGTTCCAGATCTCCGAAGCCACTAAACGTCCCACTGGGAGTGTCTTGAGTACTGTGAAATTCACACGATAACAACTGCAGTATTTGCAATCTCATTTCACGATGGCTTCAAGATGTCTGCCCTTTACCAGGATGCCACCCATGTCCAGAAATAGTTTAGCACCTAGTGTCACAGTAGCTGACACACGGCACATAGCGAAGAGATCACCCGTGATTTCGGCATGCCGACAGCTAGTGCAAATCGCGATTCAGAAGCTCTGAACACATCACTAACTCTATATGATAAGGCAGGGTTGGCAATAGACAACACATGATGCGTCCGTTCGTCGGAGAGGCGCGTGGAGATGATGCACGCTAAGTCGAAAGCAACCCCTGTGGTCTAGACCATGCCTGGGGCGTGCACAATCGTCCAGGCTGGGGAACACAGTAGGTATCCGGGGGCCCTGCATCGGCTCGTCACGAGCTACCCTTTCCTCCACACCTGGGGAGTCGGGGTATGCATGTTGGCGGTAATTTTTAGGTAATATGAATTCCCACGGGCCGTGCTTGCGGTTTGGACAACGTGTCAGTGAGTAATGGGTATCGTCATGTGGCTATCTTGGCTTCATCTGGGCCAACGACGACGAACCAGTCTGCCACCGTTCTGGCCGACAATTCTGGCGGCCGGCAGATTCTTTACAACCAAGTACCATGTACCCACCATTTTCCGCCATATCCGATTGACAGCATGTCGGGGCGTCTGCGCATCTCCGTGCCAGAACAGGATGTGGACGTCGTCGGCACGTGTTGTGGTCAGATCAACGACCCCTTCTTCGAAGAACCTGAGCTGGTATACTCACCAGGCTGCTTTTACCCCTGCTGCTCTCCCAGGTGCCGGCTTCCGCCCTCACCCCCGGACTCAGAATTCTGGGTGATTTGCAGCAGTTGGTTTGACGTTCCTGACGATGCCGTAATCATGCTTGAGTGCGGTCATCTGATATCAAGAAAAATCTCCAGGGTGCATCAGGGGCCTGTCAGCCACTGCCAGTGTCGGATACCCGTGCCACACATGCTCGGTTCTGGAGGCCATGGTGCGCCGTATGTCATATCGAGAGCGGTTATAATTCTTGATCACGCCATAGGGTCCAAGATTTCGCCTGCATCTCGTATCTCGATCTCTTTGCCATACCACTGGACATTAGGGGATGCCCTACAACGTGGCGGGATAATAGGACACCATTCGGCCGATCACTATCTCGTCAGAACCCGATCCTTTGTGACAGTGTCCCAAGAGAAACAAAAGATACATGATACTTAGGAACGTACCTGTCCGATGCAAGCCGTTCGACGGAGATACTGCCTCGGTACTTTATGCGGGGGTGATAATGCCACACCGAGAACGGACTTGGCGGGTCATGCGGCTCTAAGAGCGTCAGATACGTTATCGGATGTGCGCACGCCGTAGCTTGAATCCTGGCGTCGCAGAGAGGTTGGCAGCAAGCTCATATCTAGTTCACTCCGGCGATCATTCGGCGATAGACGTCCACAAACAGGGGTCCAATTCTAGTTTGGCCTACATTCAGGTACACAGTGTGGCCGGTTACATGGGGCTGCAGTACGCATAGCACGGAACCGCATCGTGAACTCTCTTGCCAGATTCCATTCATCCGTCACTATTTCATGATCCGTTCGCCATGCTTCTCATCCCTCGTTCAGCGGTCCCAATTTCCCACCATTGATCGAAGCTTGCCTAGTCTTGGCCGTCGTTTGCATCCCAGCCGACCTCCTGCATTGCCAGATTGCGTCTCTCTGCCAATCTTTTCCACGGCATGGCATCCAGCAACCCGTCTTACCTCATTGTAGGTGCTGGAGTATTTGGCGTATCTACCGCATACCATCTCATCAAGAAATACCCTAATGCATCCGTGACAATTGTGGACCGCGACGCTTATGACGCAGAAAGCCGTGTGGCAGCGTCATGGGACTGGAACAAGGTTGTGCGGGCTGATTACGATGATATCGACTACTGTGCACTGGCACTCGAGGCACAAGACATTTTCAAGAGCGATCCGCTATGGAAGCCTTACTTCGTCGAAACAGGCATCTACTGGATTTGCCGCACTGACTACGCCCAAGATGTCATCAACAACTATAAGAAACTCGGTAGAAAGGCTGACTTGCAGGCCGTGCCGTGAGTTGAGCCAAAAGATTTCCCCATTATCTCCCAAGACCTCGCAACTGATTCCTTTGCGTGCAGTGTGGAGAAAGCCAAGAAGCTTTACGGCGGCCTCTTTGAAGATGCCGATTACGAAGGCGTCAAGGAGGTTTTGGTCAACAGGACCAGCGGCTTTGCTCACGCTGGCGATGCCCTGAGGGCCGTCACCAAGGAATCAATCAGGCTTGGCGTCAGGTACATTGTTGCCGATATTTCCACTCTGAGCTTTGACAACAACGGTGCCTGCACCGGCGTCAAGACCAAGGCCGGTCAGCTCTTGCAAGCCACGCACACCATCCTCTCAACGGGGGCATACACGGCCAAGTTGCTCGAGCACAGTGCGCAGAGCAGCGGGATCAAGGCCATCAGCGCAGGGGACCGAATTGTCGCCGGCGGAATCACCACCGGCATGGTCACTCTCGACGACAAATCGTACGAGCGGTTCAAGGCCATGCCGGTCGGCGTGCAAGGGTATCGTGTTGAGACGGGGCCGTTCATTGGAAGCTTACCGCCGACCAAGGATCGGGAGTTGAAGTGGTGGGGGCAGAAGATCTTCAGAAACGTGCAAGAAGTGTTGCCAGGGAAGAAGCTTTCTGCGCCACCGCCCGAGCAAGACTATGCACAGTGGAAGGTGTCGAACCCTCTCAAAGAGGACATTGTGTATGCCAATAAGGTTTTCTACGGTAAGAAGGCCGCAGAGTGGAAGCAGGAGAAGCATCGCATTTGCTGGTGAGTTCAGAAACCCCCTTGCGCGGCTGATGTCAAGAATGGCACAGTGACTAACCCCAACCACAGGGATGCTTTTACAACCAGCTGCGACTTCATCATTTCTCCCCACTCAGGAGCCAAGGGGCTATACGTTGCCACCTGTGGCTCTTTCCACGGCTACAAGTTCTTCCCCGTACTGGGGAAGTATATTATCCAGATGATGGAGGGCGAACTTGCGCCAAATCTGAGGGAGAAGTGGGCATGGGACCGGGAGCGTCCTGATGGCGCCGACTATCCGGACTACCCTAGATTTGAGATGAAGGATCTTCTGGATTACAATGCAAGGCTATAAAAGGGGATGCCGTGCCTTCTGGTACATGTGCAGTAAAGAACTGGGTCGTTGAAAGACCTTAGTTGCCTTGATCAAGATCAACATTCATCTTCTTATTCTATCGCTCTCAATCCCAACGTGAACGATGAAATGTTTCCTGCAGTCTGTGGTAAGTGGGCGATTCTTGGAAATTTCATTCCTAGGTATGGCCTTTATGTCAAAACAATTACTATGCCCATCTTGAGAACTTCCGTGACTCTGTGTTCTTTAAGGTGCAAGCTGACGGTATCTAGACCACAACTTGAAGTCCTCTGCTTTTGTCAGGATCCTTTAATGATAGAATATAGCGGACTTCTTTCCGCATTCAGGGCACATCAAGACGGACAATCATTGATGGTGTTTGCAGTAAGACAAGCATTGGGCCCACTCGGTACGAGCTGGACAACCTAAGAAGTGAGAGACTGGCGATCGCGGCTTCACCCCTGACGTCACTTGGAGCAGTATTAGACTCTCCAAATGGCGATGCGAAACAGCCACCATCGAGGAATAGACTGGTAAGTCTGCAGGCAACGTATCAATCGTTTTATTATCTTCTCTTTCACCGGTCCTGGCATGCCTAGTCTGTCTCCTTCCACTTGTGGCATGTCTTCCGGCCGGGGATGGAAGATAGAATAGCGAAGGATTATGGTTGAATGTAGGATAATGTACGAAGTAGATCCTGGCCATTGTTGATGTAGGCGTCGCGCTCAATGGTTGGAATCTGGTGTTCCAGTACAATGTTCCAGCGCCTGGGGAAATGTCAAAACAGGCTGCGGTTCGAAATTACTGCGAATGCCAATTTAAAGCGACGACAGAGAGGTCGACAACTAAACCATATTCGAGGGAGAAGGCTGTTCCCCCCTGTTTCGAAACATGGCTTGGCAGCAATATACATCCTACTAGCTGCTTGGAATTCTCCAAAATAGTCTTCAAATTCATTTGGGCTGAACATGCAATTTGTTTTTAGCAGGTGGCGGCAGCTTCTTAAAAGACAGGGGAAGCTGGCAAAACCATAGAGTTGAAACTCTGCCAAGAGAAAACTTAGCTGGCGCTATGCTTCGCTGGTAGGCCAGGCATTGTTGGCGTACTAGATCAAGTGACGCATATGCGCAACGGTGGATTAGGCCGCATAAAAAAAAATGTCGGGATCAAGACATAAATAAAGAAGTATGTGGCCGCTGCAGTCACACCTTGCTCTCAACAGGCAATATCAACCTTTCAACCCAGTGGTCTTCCGCTCTTTTCACTCGCTCTTGTATTATTTGCAGGTTGCACAAAATGCCACGTTCTATCCAGTCCAACGCAGCTCGAGCGGCCGTCGCCGTGGGATTAGCCGCCCGAGTCACGAATGCATACACTCAAGTTAACATCGCCACCCCGTTCATGACCAAGAATATTGACCCAATCGTCTTCCCCGGCCAGTACGACAAGAGCCACATGCACTCATTCTTCGGTTCGGATGCGGTGACAATCAACACGTCGACTAGTGCAGTCCTGCAGGAAGGCTGCACAAATGCTGAGAATCCCAATGACCTCTCTGTGTACTGTAAGCAAGCCTCCGGCCCTGACCGTCAGTCTGTAATGTGCACCGGCTTATACTGTCAGGGGTCCCTACTCTCTTGTATACGACCGATGACGGTTTAACGTGGGAGCCGGTTCCTCTGAGCCGGTTCAGCGCAGTAAGTAACAGTCCTCATGCCCGCGTTCTGGACGAGTAGGCTTTCAACAATCGCTGACTTTCGGATGCTGCAGTACTACAACCTAGGCGAGACCCCGGCAGAGGTCCCCATTCCTCAAGACCTCAAGATGTTGGCCGGTTCAGCTAGTGCAGCGACCGCAGACGCCTCCCCAGCAGACGCCAAGGTTGAGTGGTTTTGCGAAGGCGATGATGGTATCTCAGCGGATACAAATGGCTTTCCTAGCTCAACATGCAGTACGCACCTGCAGACGCTCCTCTACTTCCCGCAGTGTGTCAATGTGGACACTCTCGAGACAGCGTACAAGAGCAAATCCTATGGTACAGCCAATTACTGTCCAGAGGGCTCAAGCTCCATGCCACAGCTTCGCTTCAGCATTCGCTACGACTTGCGCGATGCCCTGAGCAGTGGATGGAGTGGCACGGCACCATTGCAGTTGGCTTGCGGCAACGCGTGGTGCAGCCATGGGGACTTCATCATGGGCTGGACGGAGGAGGCAGCCCAGAACATGGTGGCAGCTACCAGCGACAAGAGGACATATGCCTCAGTGAACGGGGCTTTGGGCAACGATGGAGAGCAGCCCAGCTGCAAGGCCACAGACGCAGACCCAGACCATGGAACGAGCGACTATGCCGAAAGCGTGGCCGCTATGGGCAAGCGCTCTGTGGACGCGACGGGATGGCAATCTGGGTCCAGATTTCGGTCGATCAGGCGGACCTGATCGACGGGCACGAAATTGGCAGTGCGTGTATATAACTTTCTCGCGGATTAGCAATTGAGGGCCTCGGCCTACATTACATGGGAGATCGTCGCATGGGCGGCGTAGTATGTGTGCGAGTCCTCGCCGGTTTCGTTTCAAGATAAAACCGTCGATCCTCTTCCCCTTGACCAAGTTGTTTCTGACAGGGCATGCATTGGACCAATTCGAGCGAGTCCTTCTGATCAGCTTTGGTCTGCAGACACGAAGTTGCTCAATGTCAAGTCTCTTTTCCCTTCCTAAATGACAGGATTCTAACATTTTCAAAGATGCCGCTCTGTCCTGTGACGGCGAGTCAACAGGTTTATGCAGTAGCAGCTTGGTACAACATTATGACGACGACTCCATCGTGTTCTGGAATGATGGTATGTGCGCAACCGATAATCACGCTAGTATTTAAAGTGCTTGATTACGTGTTCAGGAGTGATGATCCGTGTTTTGAGGTGCTCAGAGCCGCATCTCGTGTCTGTCGGAGTCGTTTCACCGAATTTGGGGCAGCCCTATGCTGCGTACTGTTGGTACGAGAATGACGCGCGTAACTGTGCTTATTACGATCAACTACCGCAGGGTGCTTTCGAGGACGTTGTCCGAGCGCGGCCGAGCTGCAATAAGCGACTAGGGTACCCATATCTGGCCACTAAGAAACGCTGGAAAGATCATCGCACATGAGATGAACACCCCACGGGGTCAAGGATGGTGCATATCACATCAGCCAATAGGCACGGTTTTGATTCGAACCTTTTCGCTACTCCTCCGCTCCAGGATTGTGTCTTTTGCCTGGTTTGAAGGAATGGGGAAAAGAATGGGCTATACTTCTATCAAGTATTAGGCTTCGCAATTTTACTACCAACCAAGCCAGCAGTTGGTAGCAATGGCTTGTAACTCCAGGGGCATAAAAATATGTCACGATTCCAAGCACGGCGTAACGAATAGAGCAACTTATCTAGTTATTTTAATTTATAAATAATAAAGCAGGGGCGCACATATTGAAGTAAAATAAAGCAATATAAGAGCGCTAAAATAAATCCCTTAATATTAACATACCCCTTAAATAATTAACAATTATTTAAATAAATATTATATATTTATTATTATAATATTTTAATAATAATACGGAAAAGTTATATAACGTAGTTTATTAATAAATAGTTTTAATTAATAAATATTTTTTTTATTATGTTTATTAATTTTTATTAACCTTAATAGCTAATTAAAGCAATTAATTTAATAAAAGTTAATATTAATTAATGTTAATTATAATTAACTCCTTATTTTTAATTAATTTAATTAATTTAAAATAATTAATAAATATATAATATAATTAAAAACCATTAAGGTTTTAATAAAATAAGCTGTTTTTAATGCTTATTATATCGTTAATTTTTAATTTTATTTTATATAAATTTATATATTTAAATATTTAATGCATTAAAGATTAATAATTAATAATTAATAAATACATTTTTTATTTAAAGAAAATAAAATCTTTTAAGTATTTAAAGTAATTTAAAAGCTTTATAAAATATATAAAACTTTTAAAAATAATTAAAGTTATATAAATTTTTAATATTTTATTATATTATAAAATAAATTAATAATGTTTTTATAAAAAGTTATAACGTGGTTTACCAGGTGGTGGCCGGTATTAAATAGTGGCCGATTTTTTTTTACATATAAAAAACGTCCGTGCACGCTTTTTTACACCTTAATAACTTCTTTAAACTAAGCCTAATTAAGATATAAATTTAATCTTATATTTATAACTATAAAATTAAACTAAGTTCTTATTTTTAAGCTTATATTTAAATCTTTTATAAAGATATTTCTATATAAAGAAATGTTAGTAAATAATAGTGCAGCTTCTAGTATTTACTAACGTACCTACTTTGGTGTATTTCCTGCAAAAAGGTACTTAATCGGCCACTATTTAATACCGGCCACCACCTGGTAAACCACGTTATAATAATATATATATATTTAAATAAGTTAAAAAATATATTTATTTAATATATAAAATGTTTAAGGGTTTTTTATATAATATTTAATATATAAAATGTATAAGGGTTTTTTATATAATATTTTAATATAAAATATATAATTAACTTTTTATTAATATTTTAAAATAATAAATTTATAATTAAATATTAAGCTTAATTTTTAATAAATTTATAATATAACTTATAATTAAATTTATTTATTTTTATAATTATTAAAAACCTTTTTATAAAAGCTTAAATATTATTAATAATAATTTATATAACTTTAATAAAATTAACTTTATAATTAAAACAATAATTATATTAATAATTATTTTATATATTAAAAGATATAAATAAATTAAATAAATTTAACTTAATAATTATAATTAAATATATTAATATAATTAAATAAATTATAAATTTTATTATTAATAATTATTTAAAGTATTTATTATTTTATTTTTTAAATAATTAAATTATTAAGTTTATTTTAATAAATAAATAAATTATAATATTAAAAAGATAATTTGTAGTAAATTAATTAAATAATAATATAATAATTCTAATAAAATTAAAAATAATATATAAATTTATTAAAATAAAAGTAAAAATTTAATTAATATTAATTAATATAAATATATTTATTTTATTAATTTATAACAAATTATATTTTTATATAATATAATTAATATTAATTAATATTAAATAATATTAAATATATTTCTTTTAACGTAGTTTACTAATAAGTGGCGCATATTAATAAGTGTGGCGTACTTTTGCAATTTTCGCTAACTTTAATTAACCTTAATACTTATTTAATGCAAATAATTTAATTAAATTTAGCATTAATTAATATTAATTATAATTAAATTCTTATTTTTAATTAATTTACTTAATTTAAAGTAATATAAATAATTATAGCTTAAATAAAAGCAATTAAGTTTTAATAAAGGGATTATTTTTTAATAAGAATTGCATTAATATTTTTTATATTAATTTCCTATTTATCTATGTATTTAAATATTTAATGCATTAAAAATTAATAATTATAATATTAAAACTTTTTAAAAAAAAAATAAAATACTTTTAGCTATTTAAGCAATTAAAAACTCTTAAGAAAAATATATTAAACCTTTTAAGTTATATAAAGCTATATAAATCTTTAATATTTTTAAAATTATACTTTATTATAAAATAAATTAATAATACTTTTATAAAGAATTATGCATTAATATATATAAACGTAATTAAATTAAAAAATAAATTCTTATTTAATATATTATTAATTAAGATATTTAAGGATTTTCCTTATAACTTTTTAATATAAAAAATATAGCTAACCTTTTATTAATATTATAAAATGCTAAATTTATTAATAAGCATTAAGCTTAACGCTTTATAAATTAATAATTTAACCTTAAAATTAAATTTAATTATCTTTATAATTATTAAAGGGCCCTTTATAAAAATTTAAAGATTATTAAAAATTAATTTAAATTACTTTATAATATAATAATTAAATATTAAATTATTAATAATAACTTTTATAATTTTAATAAAATTAGCTTTATAATAAGTATAATTACCTTATTAATAATTATTATATATATTAATAAATATAAAAAGATTAAATTAATTTAATTTAATAATTAAAAATAAGTAATTATTATTAAATATATTAATATAAATAAATTATAAATTTTATTATTTATAATTATTTAAAGCGCTTATTATTTTATTAATTAAGCAATAAAGTTAAATCTTTTAAATAATTAAATTATTAAGCTTACTTTTAATAAATAAATAAATAATAAAATTAATTTAAAATAAATTTAATACTTTAATAAGCATATTAAGTTAAAAAGAAATGCTAATTATTAAATATTAATTATAAATAGCTATAAAAACTATATATTAGTTAAGTTTAATTAATATTATAAAAATAATAAAATTATTATTATTAATATATTATTATATTTATTTTACTTACTTTAATTATTAAATATTATATTATATTTATCTTTAAAATATATATATAGTAATAAAATTAACTTTTTTATTTAAGCCTTTATTAATTATATTATTAAATTTAAGTTTTTTCTTGCATTTAAGATAGCTTATAATAAAACTTTTATAATAAAAAATATTAAGTTTATATTTAAAGAAGCTAAAATTTCTTCTTAAAATCTTAATTTTATAATTTCTAAGCTTAATATTTACTTATAAACTTTAATATAATCCCTTTTTATTTCTCTTTAAAAATAAAAGTTTTAAATATTATTAAATACTTAATAAATTATTTAATAATTAAGTTTTATTAAAAATAAAATTTTTACTTATTAAGGAAGCTTTTTTATATTAATTATAAAAGTTATTAATTAATTAATAAAGGATGCATAAATAATAATATATTTACTTATTATAATAAGTAAGTAAATTTATATACTTTAAGATATTAATATAGTATTTATTAAATATTAAAGGGCTAAAAAAACTTAAATATAGCTTAAAAAAGCATTTATAATTAAGAAATATTAAGCTTTTATTTAAAAGAAATAAAAGGTAAAGCAGCTAGCTAATAAAATAAGTAATGAAATAAAAAAGTTAATTTATAGCGAATTAATTAAAAGACGCTATGGTAATTATAATAAAATTAAGTATAATATAAGAACTTATAAAAAAGATAAAGAAAGGTTTAATTAATTAAATTTTAATTATATTATAATAAATTTAGCTTAATTAATATTAATTAATATAAATATAATTATTTTATTAATTCGCAGTAAACTGCATTTTTAATAATATAATTAGCATTAATTAATGTTAAATATATATTTTTTATTAAAAGTTAATTAATTTAAATTAGCATTATAATTATATTAATGCCTTTAAATTAATGAAATTAATTAAAAATAAGGATTTAATTATAATTAATATTAATTAATGCTAAATTTAATTAAATTGTTTACATTGGGTGGGTATTAAGGTTGATTAAAGTTGGCGAAAGTTGCAAAAGTGCGCTACTTACTAATATGCGCCACTTATTAATAAACTACGTTATTAAAACTTAATTAATTTAAATTAATAAAATTAATTAAAAAATAAGGGATTAAATATAGTTAATATTAATTAATGCTAACTTTTATTAACATAAATTAATTGCCTTAAATAAGTATTAAGGTTGGTAAAAATTAGTAAATATAATAAAAAAAATATTTATTAATAAAAACTACTTTATTAATAAACTATATTAATAAATAAAGCAATAGTTTAATTATTTTAGTTTATGAATAATAAAGCAAGAACGCATATATTTAAGTAAAATGGAGCAGTATAATAGCGCGAGAATGGAGCCCCTGACACGTAACAAAATAGATAACAAGTAGAGGTCGGAGATAAGAATGATGGACAAGCTCTGGCGTCCAGACTGGTCTCATTAAGCCCGGTAGCTAGGTTACGCTTCAAGTATTACTGACTCAGTCCCATTTATACTCCGTATGCAATATCAATCCCGCGTTCCATTGAGAAGACGTGTCTTTCGTTTGCGTGTTCGCCTAAGGTCGGAAGTGACCCGACCACAGTGGCCTGTGAGTCTGCAACGGTAGGAGGTTCTGGGCGTTAGTTCTTGCAGGTGAACGGACAGTCCTACCGCCTATGTCTCCACACATTCGCGTCTTTCAACCATCATGACCATGGGATGAAACACGTGGGTACAGAAGGTCAATCTGACGCTTACGTGCTCACCTGTAGTGATGCCTGGCTCTTCAGCCTCTTCAGTGATGGCAGTTGCTCTCAAGATCCTGTCTAATTGAAGACCTTGTTCACTGACCTACATTAATATTGACCCGGATTTCCAGAGATTCATGCCACAATTCTTCCATTCCTTGGACACTCCTTCTACTTGCTCTCTCTTCCAATTTCAAATTTCAGAATACTTCGAACGCCATGTATTTTCCATCCGCTCCCGCATTCGTACTTCCGCTCTTGGTCTCACACGTAGTCGGCCAGAGTCAATGTCCGTCCGTCTGGGGCACAGTTGCGGCCGACCTGAACGCGATATTTGCTGGCGACGATGGCTGCACTGACGACGCCCGAGCCGCCATTCGTTTGCCTTTTCACGACTGCTTCCCTGGAGCATGTGATGGATCCATCATTCTTAGCGACGAGTGCACTGCTCGCGGAGAGAATTCACAGCTAGTCGACATATGCAGCACTCTCGGTGCTAAGGCTACTGAATACAATGTTAGCACGCCCGACATGATACAAGTAGCAGGAGGTAGGACAAAAGCAGATAGCACCCACATGGTATCAGCCGTCGACTAATGACTTGGCAGCTGTTGCAATCGCTGCTTGCCCTCCCAGCCCGAGCCTCCAAGTCAAGGTCGGTCGAACCGATGTCGCAACAGCCAACCCCACTGGACAGATTCCATCCCCGAGCAGCAACGCGACTGTGATCATTGCGCAATTCGCGGCCAAGGGCTTCGAAAGCAGCGAGCTTGTCGCGCTCGTCGGATCCCACAGCGCCGGCAAAAACCTCAGTGGAACCGAGTTCGACACCACGCCCGGCAGCCTAGACAGCACCACCTTCTACACTGAGGTTCTCGACGACGACCAGCCTGCAACTTTATTCAGTGATCAGTCGCTTGCCACCGACGAGGCGACGAGTGCCGACTGGCAAGAATATGCGGGCAGTCAAGATGCTTGGAACACTGATTTTGCGGCCGCGTACGTGTAATCCAATACCCATGTCCCATGTGTGAGCCTCATAAGCTAACCTTTCCCGATGCAGTATGGAGAAGATGGCTCTTTTGGGAGTAGATGAGGCTACACTGATAGACTGCACGGATACGGTGTTTGGGGCCATCTCCGCATAACTTTCTATTTGGAAAATGGGATCTTGCACCAATCAGCAGACATTATATTATACCCTTGGACTGAGTTTAAGATGGGAACCCTTGGATGGGGTATTCCCACTTACGGTTACGAATAATTGTAGCACTGCAAGCCGGTGCGCTTACTTAAAGCCGTACTTGAATCTTTAAAAGATATTCTGTATATTACTTGAGTCCAGCCATGTAATGAGTGAATTATACGACGAGCGAACCAGGGATTTCAATGCCGCACGCACAACAGGTCCGCCAGAATCAAACAGGCGCTGCTAGGATATTCATATTGGAGACGCCTTCTGCCAGTGAATCAGGCCAACGGCCTCGAGGCTAAAGAGCGAGACCCGGTCAATATACCGGGGATTTGAGTCATTGAAAAATAGCTGGGGTGCTCAGTTTGAATAATGTCTGTACTGGCAATCCTAAACACACCTTGTTGGGATGCTTGCTTCCGCAATTCCTTAATACATTTGCTATAGCGAGTGTGTTCTGATTCTCAACGGTCCCGTTCAAACAGCCCCTGGTATTTCTCGTTACGTCGCCTTTGCCTACATGCCTGCTTCCCAGTCTATTGACCCCTCTGCTCCCTTTCCACTTTCCGAAGTGATCCTGATCACATTCCACCCATTCCTGGAAGCTCAGGGAGCCCTAGACGAACAGTGGTGTCAGCTTGGAGTCTTGATTTGGCTTCCTGATGTTAGAATGAAATAACAGGGAACACCTACAGCCATCAATGTCCTCATTGACCTGTTTCTTCACGGTGCAAGCGTTCATCTGCGCCACGCTCTGTGACTTGAGAGGGTTCCCGTTCTCACAGCCCTGGAACATGCAGTTTGAGTCCATGGCACGTTGAAGAGAGTCACCCTTCCATCCAAAGACGTAGTCGGCGTGTGTCCCGTAGCCATTCAAGTTACCGTTCTTTCCCATGTAGCTGAGAACAAATGGGTTGGGGGTACCGCTGGGCCACATCGACTTGAATTGTGCTGTGTCCCAGAGGGTCTCGTATGCCACCTGAGGCATGCGCACCGGATGTGAGGCCGGGCATGGCCCTGCTGGCTGAAACGCCCCGGTCTGTGTGTCGTACATATGATCCTGGTGGTTTGGGGTGTCTAGATTCTTGCCATCCCAGCATCTAAGAAACAGAGTTGGGTCAGCCTGAGTGTCAGGCCCCGATGGCTGCATACCTCGAAAATGAGGAAGAAACAGGGGTAACCAAAGGAAAGGCCACAAACGTAGGAAAATGGTGAACGGTCATGATTCCGCCAGGGCACGGCTGCGTCGGGAAAGTGTCGAGCTCAGGGAACCTGGTCGACTTGTTCTGGAGGCAGACGAATTTCAGACCCTTCTGACCGTTACTCTGGCCGGCGGTGGTTGTTGTCGGGCTGCCTATCGTCATGCGGAAGCCCTGGAGAGCTCGTGTTCAGTAAATAGCACAGAGGATATAGTCGAATGGGGGGGGGGGGGCAAGACGCTTACTGGTTTGAATGCTGTGATCTTCTGGTTACCGTTGGAGTAGAAGTCCTGCTGGGTGTAGTACACAGTCATCCCTGACAAGATGTTAGCCGATGGTGATGCTTAGGCGCCATACGCAAGAACATACCGCCGTTGATTCCCGGGGGCAGGGCGTCGTTCTCCATGATAGGCACGCGCTTGTAAGACCCATTGGTAGGGTGCTTAAAGAACATGACGGCGGTCCAGTAGTTGGAAAAGTCCTCGGAAAACGTGCAGGTCGTGCAGGTTCCTTGGTTTCCAATGTCGCCAGACATAGTGGCGTTGAAGGCATTGCCTCCCACGATTTGATGTAGATGAGCTGATGGGGTCTTGCCTGGCTCTACGAGAGGGTCAAGGCGTTGGATGCTCACTGTGCCACATCCAAAACGAAGCGCCGCCTGTGACGGCGCAGATGCGGCAAGCGCTAGGGCGAGGGAAAACAACTTCATCTCGGCTGACGATCGGGGATGGTACTCTGAATACAGGGCTTTATTGAAGCCAAAAAGAAAGTCTCTGAAGACAGTGAGATGCTTTGGGCCTGTAAAGAAGCAACCTGGCTAGAGACCGAGCAGCTATTTGTATCCAGCCGCAGGGGCATGGCGAATCACTTATCTCGATGCCCAGCATTTTCAGGTCATTTTCCGCCCATGGCGCAGCTGGACCATCCGCATATCTATTACTTCTAATTCCAGTCAACCAAATCATGGCCATTCTCTGGGGGTTGGCAAAGTTGGGATAATTTTAGTGCCGTGTCTTGAGGTGCTTCAAACCGCGGGATTGATCCCCACATAATTTATCGTGCATCCAATTACCCAACTGCCGAGACAGTGTTGGCTTGCCCATTTATCCGGTTTTGCTGGGCGCGACTTTGTTCTTTATTACTTCCTCATCCGGCATTCAAGTAAATGAACGGTCTCATTTAGTGGGTAGCGAGACTCGAGGCTGGCCGACTTTCACAGTGTGGAACTCGCGCCTCCAATGTACAAAAAAGGGGTGGGAGCTCATGTAGAGACCAATGTGGTAGAGGAATGCCGAGCCTGGTCTCGCACACTCCACATTGGTGACAAGCCACACCAAGTCTGAGAGCACAGGATTAAATAGAGCAACCCTTTCCGTTATCGCAAGCTGTCAAGGACCAGTATCGTTTGGCACATTAGCTTAAACTTATCGCCTGGATCATGAACAGAGGTTTATGTGTGGACTTGACATAATTATGCCACATATTCAAGAGCCCTGCCAGTGCTACCAGGGCTGAGCCGGCTGGAGAGAACAAACGTCTGCAATGTCCAGATAGATGATTGATTTAGGAATAATACACGCCAGAACATACTTGCAGCTATCTCTCAGGACCGACTGATAATTTGAAACATTGCAAGAATGAGATGTTAACGTACTTGTTGGGCGATTGCACAGCCCCTGTCAAATTAACAACATGTTTACTCCACATAAATCACCAGGTGTGCGGATGATAGCTGACATCCATGAGTTGCTTGCTGGGTCCAAATTACAACACTTGAAACAAGACAAACACAAGCTCCATATCATTTGTAATCTCAAGATAAGAGGTTTATTAGAGAAGTCTCACCTGCTTTTTGCTGAGAGAAATGCCAGCCCAAATGCGAAAGAAAAAGAACAATAATAAACCTGAGGAAAGAAATAGAACTCAAAGCTAAGCCAGGAAACGGGTGATCCCGTCTTCCTTTCTCGGCGATGGTGCGTGAATAAGTGTCAAAGCACCAACATTCAAGACCACCTTTCGGTCGTTTACGTTTCAAGTTGGTTAAGGAGGGAGTCAGTTTTCCAAAGCCTACTAACTAAAGACGTCGGTTAAGATATCTCGACCTCGATGTCATAGGCATCGTTGAAATGTCCTCTCGGTACATCATGCCCGTGATGACAGGACAGCGCTGTGAAACTGACGGTGAAAGCAGTGAGACACTCGACTGGTTCTGGGCTCCACCTTGACGCAGCCTTTCCACGCAGAACAATGGCAGCCCAAGCTGAGCCCACTAGACCACTTGCAGGACACCTGCAGGTTTCACATCAATTATTCTTTTGCGACGATCTTCGGCCCGTTTTGGACATCACCACAGCCTTCCGTTTCCAAGACTCGGGTGGAGCCCGTCCTGATCAGCCTGAAAAGCGCCGTACCGACATGTATTTATAGTGAATGTACCTCTTGTACTGCCGCATTTCTCCACGTGCACCTCACACTCACTGTCCGATCGCCACTGCAATGTAATACCGGCGAGAACCACAAGACATCTGAAGACGGCCATGCCATATTGTCACACATCCAACGCTGTAAAGCCCGCATCACAGGTGACGTTCATAGAAGTCCCAGGAGGGTTTTGTGTCCTCCAAAAACCTGGGAAACGCGGCTTTGTATGCCGTCCTCCATCCAGTGCACTGCTTGAAGTTAGGGGGGAGGCAACGGTCATGTACCTAGGTAGATAGTACGTGTGATGCTTCTACGTACTTTACGGCTCAGCAGTTGCTCGAATCATCCCATCTAGCAAAAGGAATTGGCTTTGGCTGAAAACTCAGGAAAAAGTTACTGCTATACAAATTGTGCGTGCAGTTCTTTTCGTGGCTCGTCCGAAGTCAGGCTGCCTTGATCTCTCGCTTGCTCTCCCTCCACCCTTCTGCCATCTTCTGCTTCTTTCCGCAACTCTTTCCGCAACTCTCCCTGCCTCCATACCTTTGCCCTCCATACACCACCATCTCGCTACTTTCTCTTGCCCTCGTCCATTCTCATCGTCAACCTCACTCGCGTGTGTCGCGTTGACGTTCTGACCGTTCTTGCCAGTGATAGCAGTCTCTATGGCACTCCCAAGGTATTGTCAAGTCCCCAACAACCGTCGAAGCAACCAAGCTCCAACACAGCCCCCTTCCCCCTCCACCTCACCAGCGTTCAAGACGTGAAGCCCCAGTCACTAACATTTTGCTGTCGGTAGCGTTCAATTACCGACTCAGACGGCTGTTTACGACCTCTGACAGACCCCGACCACCCAAGCCCACCCAACCCAACTCACCCCACTCCCTGAGCCACTCTCCTTCGCTTGCCAACCTACACTGTTGCCAAGATGGCTCGCCCTGCAATTGAGATTCGTGAGAGCACCCAGACCATTCTCAGGAGTTTGGTTTACACTGGGACGAGATCAAGCAGAGCCGCTATGACGGTACCCTCACCGACGACGGGCTGAAGAAACTTTGCAAGTTTCTCGTTATCGGGACCAGAGTCATTGGGGTAACCACCTCTGGGATTACCTCCTCTGGGACACTCTTCTCTGGGACACTCTCCTCTGGGGTAGTCTCCTGTGGGATAGTCTCCTGTGGGTTACCCTCCTTTGGGATAACCTCCTGTGGGATAACCTCCTGTGGGATAACCTTCTCTGGGATACTCTTCCATGGGTTCGTCTTCTCTTTCGATTGGGATAACCTTCCATACAACACTTCCCTCTCTCCCTTTGCATAGCCTTCTCATGGTCAATTTCCATTACAATGACCACCATGGGCTAACCTCTGATGTAGGCATGGATACCTTCTGCGCGGACAACTGCCTCGGGGTGGTGGCCTCGACCACCACCAATCGAAAACTACCCATGGATCGGTCTCCACCCAACTCAGACGGTCAACGACAGCAACCGATCGACCCTTGGCACCCCCCTATGGTCGCGATCGGCTAGAATGCACTTGATGGCTACAATGCCGTCTCGTACAGCAGCTGGCTTGGGCCGGACGACATGCGGCTGCGCGAAGAGCCTTCCAAGAAGGAGAAGCAGGTCCTGCTCGATTTCAATGTTGGCAAGAAGCTGTTCCCCCCTGGACCTCCTCGAGGCATCCGCAGAGAACCGCTACAACTGGCACGAGACCGTCGTTTGCTTCGATAAAGCGGCCTCGGAAGCCCAGGTTCCTGCGTCCATCCCCGCGCCATACCGAACGCCGTGCATCGACGCGGTCCGATCATGCAACCCGCGGCTCAAGCCTAGCCAGCAAGAATGCTACGAGAACATGGAGTGAAGCATTAACCAGAAGCTCCCGATCCACCTCGCCGACCTTATCTCAATTCTTTGTTTCGTTCATTACCGAATCGGAGAGACCGGCCGCAACAAATGGCTGTGGAAGAAGCTCAAGGCTGCACACGTGCTAAAGTGTTGCCGGTACGCGTTTGATTGGAGCAACGTCGACAATGGGGTCATCCACGACGGCGAGGGAAAGTCCCTTGCGAAGAGAATCACGACCGACGAGCCTCAGCCGCGTAGCCGTCGAGTGAGCCGAACGCAGATTGGCGCCAAGCGAGTCGCGCCAACTTCCAGAGGCGCATCATCCATGTCTACCAAAAGCACCAACGAGGACGGCGTCGCCGACTACAAGACTTAGCACGACAAGTTCGTGGCCAACGAGGCAGCCCTGGAGAAGCTCCGCCCAGATCAGCTCATGATCGGCACAGAGCTGGACGAGGAGGAGAGGGTAGCCAGGACCCGCGAAGGCCAGCGGCACCCGGTGCCACACCACTACATGGACGAGAACAGCGAGGAGATTGTCGACGATATCTGAGCGGGTGCAGTTCTCGAGGAGCCCTTTCGGCTGCCATGATGTCCTTGAACCAAGTCTCTCTTGTTAACCCTACGCTCTATCTGCTTGCCTATTCTGCCAGGGACCGTCTCCCGCGCACTCCTACGGTGTCCGACCGTTACTGACGGACTCCTACCAGGTCCACCACAACTACATTTATTGCATTACTTACCTGTCATTACTAGCTTTCATTCATCTTTCCCCCACAACAGTATGCCGTCAGTTGCTGCGATCATCGGCATTGGCCTTGCTGGCATTTATTCATCAAGCACAGAAAACATGGTGGATTGGCCTCGGGCTTTTCGGTGGATGCATACACATTGGATCAGAGATTTGGGTCTGGGAAGGCAGTATTGGGCTGCCAGGCTTCTCCTGACTAGCTGAAAACTTCAGAAGCCATTTAGAATTCTTACAATGGCATTCTGGGTCTGGGTTCTGTAACATTTCGTCTCCATTTCATGTGTGTCCCATTTCGTGACTGTGTGAGGGCTGTTGGCTATTGTCCGGCTCGGCATCCCGAAATGCCGTCGCGTCGTCATCTTGATCGTTGAATCATTATCTACAGCATGGGTCGGCCCGAAGTCTCTATCGCCTTGCCAAGTCCGTTAACGCCGATCATGTCGCGCCTGGCAAAGGAAAGAGTTAGTCCGGATGCTGCCGTCCGGTGAGGTCCGATCCCTGACCGCCGGTTCAAAGGCCGAATGGCGTCACCCTCAATGCCGGGCACCGAAATCAACGGGGATTATCATCCTGATCTAGATTGGAACGAAATACACAACCCCGGAAAGTCATACTTGGCTCTGAAGCTATTCAGAAATCACCCCAATCCCGACATTCTACACTCCTAGGCAGCGTCTATACGCAACTAGCAGGGCGACCCGTTGCAAGCCGGAGTCCGCACTGACGGCTCTCTGAACGGGGTCGAGATGGTAATCCAGTCACCTGAGCAGTGCGACAGCACCAGGGATGCGGACACCACACCAGGGACCAACTCGACTGCCCTTGGACTCAAAAGTGAAGGCGTGCCCGGTCTGCACACGGAGAAGCATACAGGCGTCCAAGAAGCCTCCGGACCGGGTACGGCACCCGATGAGTCGAGCCGATCCCAAGGACGTCGAGCTGCTCTCGACCGTCTGAGGCATATCTTGACATGGGCACCCAAGAACTGTCGTTATGATCCAAATGAGCCGCCTAAATTCAGCCTGTCCCTAAACCTCCTGTTTGCTCTGGTAAGGCTTCGCTTAGTACCGAACGCCACTTACGCGAATGGGCTGTTAACTTTACTCATTGCCCAGGCCGGCACGATCACCGTGGCGAACTTGTACTACGTCCAGCCAATCTTGTTCAAGATTGCAGATACATTTGATGTTAGCTTCGAGAAGGCCTCATCTGTAGCAACTATGCAACAGGTTTGTTTACAGCCAGTTCCCTTAAATCACTTCTAAACTCACAGCTGACCGCTTCAAAAATGCCGGATATGCGTCTGGCCTGCTGCTCTTATGTCCATTGGGAGACATCTTCCACAGGAGACCGTACATACTGGGCCTTGTCATGTTCACGGCCTTGATGGTGAGCCTGCTTTTGCCCAGCACACATCAGATTGGTGACTTGGCTAACCAAGATGCCCGCGTAGTGGCTCGGCTTGTGTCTCACACCCCGTTTCGAATCATTTGCAGCCATTTCATTCATCTGCGGTATGACCACCGTCACTCCGCAATTGATGCTGCCGTTGGTCGGGGATCTAGCACCAGCCAACAGGAAGGCTAGCTGTCTGTCCATCGTGGTGTCCGGGCTGGCTCTGGGCATATTGGTTGCTCGTCTGCTCTCCGGAATCATCGCAAACTTCACCGACTGGCGCAACGTCTACTGGTTCTCATTTGGTGCCCAGTGGTGCATTTTCATCCTCCTTTTCCTTTACATGCCGGATTACCCTTCGAAAAACCCGGGTGGTCTGAACTGGTTCAAGTTGATGTGGAGCATTCTGCATATGTTCTTCACGGAGCCTTTGCTGGTCCAGGTCTGCATCATCACTTTTGTCAATAGCTCCATCTTCACCTCCTTCTGGACAACACTATCGTTCCTGCTGTCGTCGCCCCCCTTCAACTACAGCTCGTTGATCATTGGACTTTTTGCACTAATAGGCATCGCAATCATCTGCTGGGGTCCGGTCTATAGCCGTCTGGTCATCGACAAGATACAGCCACTATATTCCTGCCTAATTGGAATTGGTATTGAGCTTACCGGCGTGTCTATTGGGACGTTCATTGGTACATTTACTGTTGCCGGACCTGTCATTGAGGCAATCGCTATTGACCTGGGCAATCAGGGTTGCAATATCGCAAATCGGACTGCAATCAATGATATCAATCCCAAAGCCAGGAACCGCGTCAATACGTGTTATATGCTGGCGGGTTTTACGGGGCAGCTCACTGGAACCGCTGTTGGGAATCGCTTATACGCAGTCGGGGGTTGGAAGGCCAGCGGCATCTGTAATCTTGCTTTCCTCGGTTTTGCTGTCTTGGTCTGCCTTGCACGGGGTCCACGCGAAACACGGTGGCTTGGATGGAGTGGTGGATGGGGCATGCGGCTACGGGAACCGAAACAGTCAACTGCAGCTCCAGGCAACCGAGGTGAAACCGACGAGGAAGCAGATACGTCCTGATTGAACGAGGGAGAATAGCCAGTACAGGACTTGTTGCTGCAGGTCCAGATCATTACGCGGTACATCCAAAGGAATCTAGATTGCAATACCATTATACTTCCACAAATCGATACGAGACCTCTCTGGCACGTGCCTTGTTCTCGGCTCGGATATATGCTAGACCTTACTCGTCCTTGAGCCGCCATGCTCGCCCCTCGATAACCCCAACTTATCTCCGGAAGATACCAACAGGGATTTGTTTACGAGAAGCCAACATGGTGTTGCAATGGTCATCAGGCACCATCTTCGGGCTTGATCCAGACACATACATGATCTTTCCTCGATATTGTGGGCCTAGCTCTGTGGTATCACAAGTTTCATTATACACGTTCTGTTGAAGTGAGGAACTGCTACTAGTAGTACATCTACATCGCGTTTCGGAACTCCTGTTTCTGAGTTACAGGGGTACTGCATCCTTCCTCCTCATCCTTTCCAGTCGTTGCCATCTCACACGCATCTTCCGCCAGTGCGACCCCACTGTCATCCACACAGGCTCCTGACGCTGACTGTGATGAGCTTCTGCTGCGCAGAGGTGTCTTACGACTCAGTAAAGCCGTCGTTGATGCCAGCTTCGGTATAACCACCCGCAACAGAAGAGGCCGCAAGGTGGGTAGACAAGCCGTCACCACACCAGCGCAAAGCTCTCCGAATGACCATCCTGCGGGCGCTATATTATTGTATGTAGGGTCGTTCCCAAGATTCAAGAACTCGATGCGGACCACGGATATGACACATGTACTATTATCATGGTCAGTACACCGAACAGGACACAATACGAAAGAGTGCTGGATGACAAGGAGGTAGGACCCACAAAAAGCCGAGGCAGAACACGCCCAGTAGCGACAAGCGTTGCGAACACGGCATGTCCAATTTCCACACGAATGGGATGGGCAGGGAGAATATTATGAGGTCCGTGAGGATATTTCCCGCCGCATTGACATACCACCTTTTGAATTGTCAGCAAGACCTTCGAACTGCTTGACCCTTGGCGCCGTTTGAACGCTGAGTGAAGGGGGGTGGGTACTCGTCTGGCAGGAACAATACACCTACAGTGGCAGAGTGGGGATGCAAGTGGATGGGATGTCATGTCTCCAAAAGCCCGACACTGGAGAGCAGTTGAAAACAGACACTATTATGAGTGACAAGCTCCATGCCGAGATCAATATCGTCACCACCAGTATCAGCGTCTTCGATCTCACGGAGACCAGCGACTTATACTGCAAGAGCAGGGCAAGCTTGATGGATCCTAGGCTGCAATAGTAGAACACGATGGAGAGATAGAAGGTCTGCGCACCCGTCAGCTGTGTGAACCCTCCAGGGCTTTCCTGTATCCTCGCGGTCGGCGAAGACTTGTCTTACAAAGGTGTATTTCTCCAAAGAAGCAGGTGAGATGGTCGAGGCGTGCTGTCCCAGCCCCACTCTCGTCATAACAGCCTGGTCTACGCCTGTTGCGACCGTGAAAAGCTGTGAACCGAAGTCAGCCCGCCACTGCCCACTGGATCATGTCCCTGCTTGCACATGTGGATCTCCGTACCAGAGCGACCAGTATGCTCCAATCGTCAGGCCCGATCGATTTGACGAGAGATGATCGGGTGTAGAACCGCAATGCTACAATTCCCGCCACAAAGGGAAGTAGCGTCCCGACCAAGGCAATGATGACATATCCTCTATCGTCAGCCATTCAGAAAGACCGAGGACGTGGAAGACTGTTCACGAGTGAAGCTGGCGGAGTCCGACAGTGACGTAGGTCATTGGGTCAGCATTGGCAGCGCAGGCACCAAGAACGCGGTGGTCAAGACTGGGTGGGCTGCTCATTTAAATCACGGCCAAACGAGGGCGCAGTTTCGAATACGGCCGTTCTTGCCTCGAGAACTCAAAGTCCAGCCGGCAAGGGTCGCCGTCCCGTTCCTGCATTGAGCTTGTCAATGGAGTGTAACATGTATTCCTTCGTGCAGCCCAAGAGAAAGGTGCAAAGGTAGTAATGAGTACGAGATGGGCGTTGTTAGCCTTTCTAGCTGCATATTGCTGCCCTGTCGCACGAACGAAGAGGCCCCTGAAGGTTGGGGGGCCTCGAGGCAGGTTGACCAACGGTATCACTGAGCCGGCCATCCCCGATGGCTGAGTGACATCCCTGAACTGTGAAGCTCCGAAACTCGAACGCGTCGTCTGAATATTGTGCTACCAAACAAAAAAAGTCTAGCGTGGGCTGACGAATGAGGGGATTGCCGAGCTGCAGGATGCGAGGGCACCACCTGCTCACGGCAGGATTTGGGGAAGAGATGACCCGGAACGTCGGTGCAACTGTAATCAACCTGAAGCAGTTCGATGCCAGCATCGGTTCGGGTAGGATCCGATTAAAGTTCCGAACTTGCCTTGTTCTGGGATCGCAGCCGCAGCCCCGAGGTTATCGAAAACATGCTTCGTCTGGACCGCTGCTTGCTTCGATCTGCGCACATACATTTGGACCCGACCTGACACACAATCTCACCGAAAAGCCAAAAAGCACATGGTGTGACATTTTCAAAGTCAAAAAGCACGATAAATCTTCTGTAAACTCCGTGCCGTAAACCATGGGATGAACCTTCAGAGGCTTACAATCCTCAGAACCTCGGATTTAGGAAGGCCATGGAGACTGAAAATGGCCTCCGTCGGCTGAGAACAAGTTCGTGCACAAAGAAGGATGTTTGATGGCGCAGATCATGTAACCAGTCACTTGTATGATAGTTGGAGGACCAGCCAGGGTTAGCCTGAAGCCGAGGGCTCTAGATGCTTGCAAATGAAGATAGAACGTCAGGGTGGCACAACGCGTGCACTGCGCACAAGAAACGGTCAGGCTGTTGAGGAGAGATGCCGACTGATGCTAGAATGTGTCTGTCTGATGCGAGGAGCCGTTGGGCGACGTAGAATTTTGTTCAGATGGGTGCACAGGCTCTGATTATGCATATGTGCCCGGGAAGCTAAAGTCTGCGAATTTGCAGGCGTATCTAACAACAGGTCACCTTGAACTGAACCTTGACATGCTCCAGCACAGCCTACTTCGTGGTAACTCCCCTTTTCAGCACAAGGGTCTAGACAGATCGCGTGACCTGCGAGGATCTTGCGACCGTTCACGTTCACTCCGATGATCAGTCTGACTCACATTTAGGACGAGTTAAGTGAGATCCATTTTACTCAAAAGCATGAGATCTAGCCAAGGCGTCACACGAAGCTCTGAGAAGCCTGAATTTGCTAAGCACAGATTTATGAATACGTTACTTGTGCAAGTAATTACAATCAGCTGCTGGTGCCAGGTGGTTGAGTTTCACAGCTCTTGCCTCATGAAACACGCAAACCAAGCTGGTATCATTTCGTATCTAATAAACCCACAAACAATTTAGTAGATACACTTGCCGAAGTATACGCTAATACATCCGGTTGATCCGTTGAGATCGGCCAATGCAATAATGACTACTTGAGCTGGATGCCGGCAACGCTGCGTCATCCACAACACGCGATACACTCACATTTATTCTATGGACTGACAGTTGACTGATTACTTCCTCCTATTTCCAAATAATGTATCCTAATCACATTTATTATTAGAAAGATTCCGGCGTCCCTTGCTCTGGGCAAAGCCTAAATATAAGACGACGGGTCCCGATTTGGGGAGCCTGGGGCTTGATGTGTTCTTAGACCAATACGATTTCATAGAGGCTACTTATCATGGCCTATTCTGCTACAAGAAATTTCCGTGTCCGTGCTAAGGAGAATCTCGGGATATCCTCATCTGGGACAATTTTCTCCAGGTCTGTTTAGATAGGATGAATTGCATCAGCGTAGCCGCCTGTGTAATGTTTTGGGTGAGATTAGAGGAAGACAAAGGACGCGAGACTTGAGTACTTCGTAAGTACAGCTGCCAGTCTTCTTACTTGATTGAGCAAGCCCAAGGCTTACCGTGTGATCGGCGGGTGTCCATTTAATTGCTCAGTAAAAACACGGGGCGGTTGAGGGGACAATAAGAAAAGCATTGTTGAAACTAATTTTTCATGCCTCTCACACCTCAGATGTTACTTGGATCTCGACAAATGGGATGGCAGATTAGCACGAGGGCACGTCAATCAAAGGAAACGGCCAGCTTCAGAGTCCTGTCAGGGAGCAGATTCACGATGGTCCACATGGAACTATGACCATTGTTCTTTTTTTCTCCCTCCACCCCTCTTCTTTTCCCTCTCCTACAACATTTTGATTCAATTGCTGGGCAATTCCATGTCATGCCGATTTCGACACCTCCTGAAATTTTGCCGGAGTGCAGTTTTAGACTGGCGAGCAAACTTACTGTCTTCATGTGGACTCAGACAAGTGAATAAACTACCGGAGTCGTGTGCAAGTATAGCAGCTTCTGATCAAGTCACAGATCATTGTCAGATAGAACGTTGGGACTTGAAAGAAACTACAGATTCTGGGCATTGTTGTGAAAATGATGTTTTCCCCAGACTCTGCATCATCTGTCTGAGATGTCCAACGCAACTCTTTTTGAATGCTTTGCAGGTACGTGACGCACATCGATGCCTGTGCAAACAGGCACCGCAAACTGAGCAACATATTTTCTTCTTCGCTATACAGGCACTCCACACAACCTACATTGTCTCTTGTCCCACTAGGACAATCAGTGTCGTTCCAGCTTAGTAGAAGAACTCAAAGAATACAAATAGTCTATACAGGCACTCCACGTTCTCGTTCGGATCGGGGGAGAGCGGCTCCCGTCAGAGCTAGTCTTAGCTTTGATCCAAGAATACTTTTAGACTTCTTGGTCGTATTCATCGCTAGTGACTGGGGCTATCTCGGCCGGCGGACACATTTACAGTATTGATGGTATCTACGGACCTGCGGACGTTGTTACAGGATAGCTCAAACTTGTTCGTCCGGTTAAGAGCAGTATGGATGAAGTGGCGCAGACAATTCTGCGGGAGAACGCCGGGCCGAACGATAAATCAAGGGCGGTTTGTAATTGAGATCATTACGAACAGGTATGGCACAGGAGAATCATTTCCAAGATGTTAGAACATCTTCTCATTGGAGAATTGCTGAATCTATCTTGGTTAGGTGCACAGAGCATGTAATCACGTTCTGTGGAGTCTTCCTCTCACCAGCAAATGCCCCTGCAGCTTTCTGCTCAGCTGAGGCCAATTCTCACATGATTCGCTTCCTTTTTGCTGGAACTGCAGTTCAAGTTTTGAAGCAGAACCCACGGTAGTTGCGAGCCTGCTATCGGCGCGAGACAAATATGCCTTGAGACAACTCAGGCAGTGATGCGATGTTTGTCTATTGGTGATGCGGACCAAAGGCCAACTATCGAGAGCAACTATCGTATCATCGCTAGGTTGAGACAGTGCCACAGCCCACGACATGTCAGTCATGTATGCTCGATCATATATATAGATAATATGTCTACAAGCTTTTTCCACTCAACGTGTTAACATTGTTTGCGTTCTCCCAGACTTGATCGAGATAGACATTCTGTCCGCTTTGTTGGCTCGAAGCATTATCCATCCTAGCAGCAGTTGTCAGCAGAGAGGTTTTGTCAAAATCCGAGGCAGTTGAGTGGCAGATACTGTCATAACTTCAAGGTCAAGGGCTAAGATACATATCACGAGCGAGTAGTCACATGAGTATATTCTGCTGCAGGTCAAGCTGCTTCGGGACAGCCTACAATGTCTTCATTGTAATTACTCCCATGTAATATCGTTACTCCAAGTCGCTCCCTGGATGATACACCCATGTCTACTGTGTCGACCTCGGGAGTTTCTGTTTCTGATTCTGACTGGATCTCAGAGGTTCAACTTAACACTTCTTTTCATAATTTCTTCTGTCAAACTTTTGTGAGAAGGGCGTGACCGATGACCATCAACTTATGATGGCAGTCGGCTTCACACAGTCTTTTCTGTTTCAGGTTGGGTCAAGCGCCAAGATCAGCAGTTCCGGGTGATGCGGGTTGCACCCAGCTTAAATCTCTCCGCCCCGGTACGGCTTGGCTCAATAGACTCCAACAACCGTTTCACAAAAACATGACGTCGTCAGTCTTCATCCAAGAACGTGAAAGACACGCGGTAGCTGCCTCAACATGTCCAGTGTGGTTCACGCAGGCAGCCCAAGTCGAACCATTGCCGACTTGGGACTTGGTGTGTTGGCATGTGCAGGCGCCAAACGGGGATCTCTGGTAGCGAAATGACACGAAGAGATATCACATACGTTGGAATCGGTGTGACATGTTCAAGGCAGTGCTTGAGATGACATGCGCCCGCGTGGAAGGCAATTCGGTGAGCTCGGCCTGGGAAAAGGGGGGGGGGGGCAAATTTGGCACGTTTACGTATCATGCGCGAAGTTTGTCTCCCTTTTTCAAACCCCTTAGACTCTCTACATCATGAAACTTGCCTCAATATCCTCAGAATATGGCCAGGTACTGACAAATTCTCTGTCTGTGCGCAGCATCCTTCGAAAAGAGGGCTCCAGTGTGTGGCCCGGGAGCCTGGTAAGGCAATTTTTAGGTTTGAGCGGGTGTCACCAGCACAACAGCGTGACGTGGGTCCAGCAGGGCGAGGAGGCGCAAGTCGCCAGGCGCTGCAGCTTCACGAACAGTTGGCAGGACAATGAGCGTGGCAGCAATCCCTACTAGGACTTATGATCGCAGGCTTAGCAAACTCGTACCTAGGGATGAGACACATCCCTGTGCCCCGAAGGATGGATGAATTGGGGCGACAGGGCAGAATTCTAAGGCCACCGATAGGTTAGACCCCTACAGGTGCACATCCGATGTAACCATCTGACACCAAACTGCAGCTCTGGCACAGGTCTGCTCGGCAGGGCGGCCGACGATGTGATGGCGCCCTGAACCAACTCTTCCCAGGTCAGCAGACGCATCTTTGGCCAGGCCAATCCCGCCCTCAACAGTCTCTGGTTGGCCCCGAGTGACCCGGAAATCCGATGTCTGCAACAAGACAGCTTCACTACACGCATGTTCAGACTTTGCTGGACGTTTGGAGGGTGGGAAGGTTCATCTACGGAGTAAATCTGGCCATTCTCGTCACCATCCCTGTCTCCCGGGCTTTATTCTCCGGTCGAAAATTTCCCGAGCGTGCGTGGGAACTGCAAAAAAGGACCACCCCGAGCCGCTAATCAGCCTGATCCCTGGCCCATATTGGGGGCCGAGATATTGCAGAGAGGGAGCAAGCAGGTGAGAGTCGAGGCAAACCTAGGTAGCAATGCGGTGATCATGGCGTTTGACGCCGCTTACCTTGTTAATGCTAATGGGCAATTATAGCCTATGAGGTGCAGTCGGCAATTTTGATCTGCACAAGCTTCTCAGCCCGCTCGCCGACGGAGTCAAGCCTAAAGGGCTGAAGCTCCCACGTCTGGGGGTGAGTTATCAGTTGTGCCCATGGACACTTCCATCTCATATATTCCTGTTCTTTTTCTTGGTCAAAGGGGTCTCATGTCGGGTCTGCACAGGGCTCGGGAGTAGCCTTGTAATTCGTCACTCGTCGACACAATGGGTCTGTCGGCGGAAAGCAGCAGTCTCGATGTCCTGCCTCCAGTTTTACATCACGGCTTGAGGGCCGTTGTCTTACTCTCGTCGCTCTCTTTGATTTCTTCCTCGTTGCTTTTCACGCATCTTACCTTGAAGCTAATTCGATATTGTATCAAAAAGAGGAGGACCGAGGCACAGGCGCAAGCACTCCAGGGGAGCCGGAACAAAACGTTCAGACCGGTCTCTATGGATCTGGAGTTGGTGCTGGAACAAGCAAACCTTGGACCAGTCTCGAGAAGTCAGCGTGTGCCAAAACCCGCTGCAAAGAGTGAGCCGGAACAGTGTCCCCCTCCGAACCAGTTCGTGGTGCTCTTCCACAGCCTTCTGTTGGCAGACCTCCACCAGGCCATCGCCTTCTTCCTCAATATCGTATGGGTGGCGAGGGACGGCATCTTCGCGGAATCGCCGGCCTGCTGGGCCCAGGGCCTGTTCATCTCCAATGGCGACCTCGCCTCCAGCTGCTTCATCTTTTCAATTGCCTTACACACGTACTTGTCGCTTGTACGAGAGTACCGCCCGCCACAAATGGCATTGTATGCCTGGGTGGCAGGGACCTGGGTCTTCGTCTACGTCGTCGGCCTGGCAGGTATTGTTTTCACCAACAACGGGAGAGATGTCGGCGGTTACTTCGTACGCGCTTCAGCCTGGGTGAGTCCCCCTCCTGGTGCGTCAAGTCTCCCTCTGCTCGGACCGAACTGACGAGTTGTAAACAGTGCTGGATTAATGAAGAGTACGAGGAGCTTCGCCTTGTCACCCATTACCTTTACATCTTCTTAGCCATCGTTTGCACCTCCTTACTTTATTTTGCAATATTCTTCAGCCTCCGAGCTCGCCTTGTCCACCAGAAGAGTGGAGTTGTCCCCAGCAACGGCCAAGGTCAGCGGCCAGCGCTCAGACACAAAGCCTCGCTGCTCAGCGTAATGTCGACATCGTCTCTGCCATCGTCTTCGCCGCGGGAGTCCCAGGTGGACAAGCAGTGTCTGATCAACGCAGACCATCACCCGGCCTTCCTCATATATCCCCTCATATATGTGTTGTGCACCATGCCGTTGGCCATTGGCCGCATTGCGGCCATGACAGGCGTCGACGTGCCTCTCGGGCTCTTTTGCGCGGCCGGCGCCTTGATCGTGAGCAACGGATGGCTCGACGTGCTTCTCTGGGGGACGACGAGGCACACGATCGTCTTTGGCCGTCTCGAAGACGCAGACGCGCTCGGACTAGACACGTTTGACTTCATGCGGACACCTTCAGACCGCAGGTTTGGAAACTTTGTGTGGGTCCAAGGCGCCAGCGACATGCCAACCGGTCGCTCCGACGAGCCCACACGGAGAAGCCGCCCATGGTGGAGGCCGGTGGGCGAAACTCTCGGGAGGGGTGGATCTGGGGTCGGGAACGGATCACGAAGCGATCCTCGTGGATTGTGGGAAGATCGAGACCCAGGGGTCCCAGCTCGGCCACCACCTGGGAAGACTTACCGCCTGAACCGAACGGACAAGGCGAGTGACATGTGGGCAAGCAGCGATAAATCACCAGTGAGATGCATGTCCCGGATGAGCGGGCCCGACGTGGGCATGACCATCCAGATGGACACGATGGTGACGGTTGTCAAAGAGGACAGCTCCAGCTCCGACTCCGTCGTCAGCCCCAGCCCCAGCCCCAGCTCCGTCACGAGGTCCAACCCTGGCGAGCTGGGCCCGTCGTACTCGGTGAGCGGCCCAGAAAAGGATGGATACCTCTGATCGGTCTGGCAGTTCTGGGAAGGCTTCTCGAACAACTGGAGCATGCCCACCCATCCCCACCGGCCCACCCCAGTACGTGCTGTAGCCTACCTACCAGCCCACCAGCCCACATGTCCTCACAGCACCGTACAGTATGTAGTTGATCCTGTCAGAAAGAAGGAAGTTGGAGCCGGTCGCCACGTGAACAAGCCAGACATGGTGCGGATGAGCCAGGGCCGAGACAGATGACGGCGAGCGACATCGGTGTTACCAATATCTTTTCATGTGTCGGTGAGAGAGGAACCCTTGGCCTGTGCCAGTGCTGCTTGAGAAGCCGCCGCCACAGACGCAAGATGGAGTTGGTTGGCTGCCAGACGCGGCGTTCAGCCCAGTGCGGTGACAAGGCCCCTGGACTGCGATCCCTGCTGCTGCACGCTTGACTGGCTGCGGGATCCGTGAGACACCTTGAGGGGCAGACCCGGGCAGAGACATTGTTGGGACGACCTGTGCTTATTTTCTGTATGATGCGTGATTGGACTTTTCTTTTCTCCTTGGACACAGAGATCCAGGCGTCAAGTCTTGACCGGCCGGGCAGGAGCCCACCACATTGGCTGGTATACCTGAGGGCAGCATACTGTAGACCGCCTCGACAGACGAGGTAGACTAGACTGTCAGGTCTAGGGGATAGACATGTGTCTCAGAGGCCCCCAAACGAGTTGGTGATGATCGATCCAGGGGTCCCGGGCAGGTCGGCTAATTCAAATTGGGTGGCCGACCGCCGGGGCCCTTTGATTGATGAAGAGCGCGGGCTTCTGCATTGGAATGAAATGGTGTGCAGCCGCAAAACTGCTGATGCATTGTTAATACTGCGCCATGAGTGTCTCGGAGAGTGCTGTCATCATGTCATGTTCCAGATAGGCAGGCCATGCTCAATTTTGCCCACAAAGAGTCAGAGTATCGGTGCTGCCCAAGCCGTGACCCCGTGGCGGCCATGCATCATCAAGACCCGCCCGGCGCGCGAAAAGCCATGGGCTCCACTTGCCACATGGCGGTGGCTTCTATGGACCCAGCCCGCGGGAACGGACGAACCAGGGACCTGGGCGTCGAAAAAATAGGAAGAGAAACAAGATGAAGGAAGGAGAAGAAAGAAAAAAAAAGGCGTCTGAGGATTTTGATGATGCTCTTTTTTGTCTCCTGCCTTGTCTCACTGGTGGAACCACATGGTTCCAGCCCTGACCCGGGACGAATTTCCTCAATGCCGCCCGCCTCAATATCGACAAGTTTTGGCGACGTCGATGGATACGTGCTCACTCATTCACTCACTCACTCTACCCACATACACTACTACACATGCACACGACACGACACACATACATGCCCACATGGCATGCAGACGGGATGGGATGGCCGTGCGCGGCGTTGAAACAAACGCGCGAGTTGTCGGTTCATGAAACGGGGCGTGGTCCCGTCAGTACTTCTCCCGTCGAAGTTACTTGTTGGTAGGGTAGAGTCCGGATGCAGACTCGTCGACAAGGCAAAAAAGACCCAGCACAGGCGCAGGCACACACGTCAAGCCGTCTCTGGCGCCTCATGACTGCTGCGAGCACCCATGTCTCTTCAGCCCTGCCGCCGAATCGGATGGCTTCCCCGAGTGCTGGAAGCTCTGAGCATCCCTTCCATTTCACTTCCATGACTGACTACTGTGTGGCAGGTGGGGCGGCGCCCCTCCCCTGTAACCTTTTTTTCCAACGCTTGCCCACGAACAACGCGCGAGTCGATCTCACCGCCATGGGCGTATCGGTGAGGAAGTCCCTGTCTGCTCGAAATTTCTTCTGCAACACTTGTCTGCGCGAAGTATATGAAGGTCTCGGCCTTCCGGATTCCTCAGTCCATCCCGAACTCTCCAGCCCCAGCATCAGCTTCACACCGTCCTTCACCTCGTCTTGCAACTTTTCTCTCCTTGGCCTCACCGAGCCTGTTTCGACACACGCAGCCTGTCACCCACCGTCTCTCTGCCCTGCTCTGCTCTGTTCTGCATTTGCATTCCGAACCAAACTTCTGGTCCGTCACATCATCTCGCGCGGACTCTTCCAGAAGGACGCTAGAAGAAGTCAAAAAAGAAAAATCTTCCGTCGGGCCCGATACCCACAACCGCCCACCCAACATCCCGGCAAGCGGTCCACCCACAGCTGTCCGCTGCTTAGACTCGTGTTCTCTGTTCGGTCTGCTCCCTGGACCCACGTGTCTTCACCTTCACGGACACTTCCGACACGTTGCATTGCCGTAGCTCAGGTTGTGCCTTTCGCTACCGTTGCCCGCCCCAGCTCGGCTCTCTCTGTTATTATATTCAAAATGCCTCGAGGAGCATACGACGTGTCTGCCACCAACAACCCCAGGCCCAAGCCCAACCCCAAATAAGCCGGCGGTCCGTCTTCCCGGCCTCAAACCATGGGCCCCTACACACCACGATGTGGTGGGGGCGGGCATCTGGTGCCTGCCACTCAAACACGCTCGGCTTCTTCCATCATTCACGGCTCTTCCTCTTCCTTAAAACGAGGGGAGCTTGCATCTTCGGCGGTCACATCATTTTGATTTGGTGGGTTAAGCGACAAGGACACGGATTAGAATAAAGGATATAGACAGGGATAGACGGCGCACTGCGGACAAAAGACAAATACCCCCCAGACGGACTGGACGGTCCAGGACGACTCAAGCACAGAACAGAAACACGGGGCAACCTGTGGAAGCCTCGAGAAGGCTGCCGGATAATGTACTAATAGAAGACTGTTATAGAGATGGGATGCGGTGGACATTGTTGGCATTTTTGGATTTGCTTTTTTTTTTTTTTTTGGAAGAGGGAGTTTACACATCGTATTACTAGATTCTACTTGTTAGCACCTCACCGTCCTTAATACTATATGAGCATGACTACCCCACGCAATTGGTTTCTCGTCCTCAGTGTTCGCGATGGTCGTCATAATTGTAATGCTCCGGTGATGTGGCCACCAACAAGCGCCTGAAAGGGCCAGTGTGGGCTGTTCACTTGTGTGCACGATACCCTCCCCATGGCAATCACTTCTAAAGTTGTGAGCCCTGATGATCAAGCCACGAGGCGGGAAAAAAACATACAAGGTTTTCCCCTCGGGGCAGAACACACGAGAACCCTTCACCGTGCTGCACGGACGCGGCCGCGGACCGCCACCTTACTTTTCGGAATGACTTGGCGCGCCGGGATACAACTCTGACTGCACGCCGGCCGGGGCGCGGGAACCTCGCATCCTGAGTCCCCAACCCCATGTGCGACCACTGCAGGAACGCGCAGGTGCCGAGGCAGGTACACCTGCAGGAACAAGGACGCATACGTCAAGCGCCGATGATACCTGACTGCTGGATGCGGTTACGCCTAAGCCACATGCTACGAGCACGCACATGCATGGCCACCCCCCAAGCGCCGATGCTGAGTCGGACTTGTCTTCGACATGTGCTGTCTCGATGCGAATGGAAGGAAGAAAGGGGACAGCCAGATGTTGGGGTGTTATTGAGTTGAAACTGAATCCAATCCGGAATCCACGAGGTAAAGAGGTGTGCGTGTCATGCTAAACCCAGCACTTGGGTTTCGTCGGCTCTCTTCCCTGCATGTATCGGCTTTGTCTACACGGTTCGTTTGACGTCTTGATGCTGCTACCAGCATCATCAGCACACCTCCTCGCTTGGCTGTACTCGTCACGGACTCGGCATATATATGCCCAAGTGATTGCTCGTCGCAGCTTGCTCGAATCATGAATGCCCTTGAAAAAGTGATCCTTTTTCTTCTTTATTTTCATACTCAGTCCCAGGCACGTGCTGGCAGGAGCTACATATCCAAGTTCTGAGCTCCCCAATCTCAAGTACACTGGCTATAGACATCAATGCTTATCCTTCTTGTCCTTGAGGTTCAGTTGACTCCGGATCGCGGCGGCAATCTGCGCGTCCTTGGCCTGCTCAAACGCGCTCTCATGGCCCTGGTCGCCCTTGCGGAGGACGTGTTCCTGGAACCCATCGATGGCTGTAATGAGAGTTATCAAGCAAACAATGAAAAGATAGGTAATAGGTTCTGGTATTGCTTACTCTTGTCGAGGAAGTCCTCCTTCTCCTCACCCTTGCGTCCGCCACCGAGGCCCTCGTTGATTTTGTTCTGCATCTTCTTGAAAGCATTCTTTTCCTCCTCCTCCTCCTTGCGCCGGCGCTCCTCCTCCTCCTCAGCAGCCTTGCCGGTGATCTTGTCAAAGAAGCTGGGCTTGTCGTGCTCCTTGGCCTTCTTGGCCTCCTCGTCGCTGTCGCCGTCCAGATGGTCCTTTATGCGCTCCAGCAGGTCCTGGTTCTCCTTCTTGTCATGCTTGACCTTCTCCAGCTCCGCCCTGACCTCGGCCTCCTTCCGGTCGAGCTCGACGGCCTTCTTCTCCCTCTCATCCTTGCCGGTCAGCTTGTCAAAGAAGCTGGCTTGTCGTCCTCTTTTGGTGGCTCGTGCTCCACCACCTTCTCCTTGTCGATGTCACCATCGAACTTGTCCTTGAGCTTGTCGAAGAAGCCCTCGTTGTCCTTCTTCTCCTTCAGAACCTTCTCGAGCTCATAATTCAGCTCTAGCTCCTTCTTCTCGAGCTCGAGGTTCTTCTTTTCCCGGTCTTCTTTGCTGGTGAGCTTGTCGAAGAAGCTCTTGTCGTCGTCCGACTCGTGCTTGCCGCCGTGGTGCCCACTGCCGCCGATGAGCTTGCCAAGGAAATCCCTCTTGGGCTCCTCGGCGTCATGTTGCGGGGCGCCATGGGACGCATCCTGGGTTGAGCCAGTCTGGGCGGCACTATCCGTGTAGCTGTGCTCCCGCTCTTGCTCCTGCTCCTCGCCGTGCTTGAACTTGTCGATGAAACCCATGGTTGAAGTTGTTTTTTTGAAAATATGCCGCAAGGTTGTGATTTGCAGAGAATGTGAAACTGGCCGGGCTTCGGACCGCTCTCGTCGGCCTATAAATACGGCAACAAATACGGTGGATGGGGAGGCCTCGCCAGTCACTGCTCGTAATGACAGAAAGTCAAGCAGGCGCGTGGACGCAGCATATTGGCTGGATTTGGGCTTTCAGACCCTCCACCCACTTTTTCACTGCCACCAGCAGCCATACGCGACGAAAAGACCTCACCGCGGCGAAATCCAGGGGTTCTTTTGGGCGGGGAACTGGGGACCACACATTACATTATTCACTCGCAGCCGCGGTATGCACCTACTCTCAACTCATTGTACGAGTCTTTGAACATGGGCACATTTAACCTCATCATACCACATGTGATCGCATGGCTCCACCGGCAAACTCCTGCGTCCTGGGCCGCTGTTGAATACCCAAGATTTGGGTTTCAGATGAGGCTCCCTGGTTCGCGATTTGCCGCACGCTGTTGACAAGTCACTTTGTTCCACACAAGATAGCCGAGCCACAAGGTACACTAGTAAACGACCCCAGAAAAGAGACAGGTCAAGATCGTGCCCACTCTGCCGACTCCGCCTCCGATGTCACTCGTATTCGAAACACAGCACCGGTATATTCGTCTACTGCCCATAATCTGCTATTCACGCTAGATCAGGACCTTACTCGTCTCTGGCTACCTCACTGGCAGCTGGTATAGACATCACCATTCGCGGCTGTCAACCTGTCAGCCGTTTAGCACCACAGTGCAAAGAAACAAGTTAATTACATCCAATACATCCAAGAGCTGTCGGGTAATTATCGCAGATTATATACAACTGAAACATAAATCATCGTACAATGTCTGAGAAACATGTGCCGCCAATCTGCAACTCTCAGAGTCAACATTGAAGTATTAATTTTGGACGAGGGGGAAATAAAAGACATCGCAAGACCAACATGGAAGCCTGCAACAGCATATCAACTCACAAAGTACAAAAAATAAATGCGAATTTTAGAAATAAAAAGAATCAAGAGGTATGGTAATGATATACAGAGCCCGTTTCCCATCAGTTGCGCCGATTACATATCGAGGTAGTCCTAACCTCAACATGGAGGGGCTGACAATAGCCATCAGAAGGAAAAGGAAGCATGAAATTACAAAGGTGTTAATCGAGTAATTTGGAAGAAAGACAGGGTAATAACAACAATGATTACCAAAAAAATCGACGACGACGGCGAAGATGGATAGAGTAGAAGAGGGCAAAGTGAGAAGGGTCAAAATCTCGTCTAGAAAGGTCAACAGCACATTGTGACGGGGGCGGCATTAAACCTCGCCTCGAGCAGTGGGTGCAGCTACCCTTGCCCCTCGTCTTTTCCATAACACAGCGGAGGGTGAAGCAAAAGCTCTCGTAGCTCATGCATCAGGCGTACTCCCGTAGCGGACATGATATGCCAGGAGCACGCAGACAAGCAGGCCACCCAGGGCGGAGTAAATGAGGTCGCTAGACAAGGGGTGAATCGAGAGATGGTTAGCTTATTACGGAACTAGTGAGTGATGTTTTGCGTGTGGCAATCCTTGGCCACAGGGTCCATTGGAGACCCGGCACAAAAGATGGATGGGGGAGACAACAAGTGCCGCAGATGTGGAGGGGCATGCGTGGTGTGGGGTGGAGGCGGGGTTGGGGGTTGCAGCACGTTGCCCAGTATGATGCTGGGGCAACCGCCATGCACGATGATGTGTATGCTCGAGTGACCAACAAATCTCTGAATGTATTTCCGGTGGGTGACGGCAACTGAGTGGGTGCACTCTAAAGCATATTGATCCCACGTGGAGGAACATACACTGATGACGATGATGGGTGAACCGAGGTTTGGGCACGGCATGGATATCACGGTATGGCCATCCCGATCACATATCACAGGGGACGGTTAGGTGGGTGTGTGGAGAGGCTGCACAGGGTAAGGTAGGTTTTTGTGAGAGAGCCTACCACGGGAGATTAAGCCCGTGTGGTGGTGATATTGTACAGTATCTTGGGAACATGATATGGACAGGTAGTAAGTCTCTTCAAAGCGTGGTATCCGTAATTCCACCTGTCTTCTGCAGGCGAGGTATCGTAGCGCTGCCGCTCAACATTAAAGGAGGAGTGCAAAAGTGGAAAAGAAAAGCAAGGCAGAACAGCAAAAAAATCGGTGAAAAAAGAATAGAATAGGCACAAAAAAGCAATCCTCCACTCACCCCGTCGCCCGCCTGACCCATAGCGTGGTGGGCTCATAGTCCGCCTGCCGATCCAGCCTCTTGTACGCGCGGTGCAGTTTCATGCCTAGCTCGTGCTCCTCCCGCTGCACGTCGGCCAGCTCCTGCTGCAGGTCATCCACCTTGCGCTTCTCCATCTCGCGCTTACGCATCACCTCCGGGGTGGCCAGCAGGTTGTCCTGGGGCATGAGCTCCGTCATCTGCTTGATGCTCTTGTTGATGTTGATCCGTCTGTTGCCCAGGCTCTGGAGCTGCGCGTTGAGCATCGCAACGCGGTCCTTGGTCGTCTCGGCTGAGAGCTCGGGCGGGGCGGCGGGGAGGGCCTTGTCCACAGACAGGATGGAGGCGGGGCGTGAGGTGTTGGTCGAGTCGTTCCGGAGGGCGAGGAGGTTTCGGCTATCCTTGCTGGCGACTTGCTCACGCGGGCCCCTGGGAGCCTCTTTCCTGGCCCGCGGTGGGGAGTTTTGCGCGTTGATGCCGGCACTATTGGCACCAGCCGTCGACATCCACGGTTGGCTGAGGCTGATCTTGACGGGGGCTTCGTTCTCGTCGTCCCAGTTGCCGGTGCCGTTCCGGGTCTTTGGCCGGCTGCGGTCCATGACGCTGGCGCCCTTGGGTTGTTGTTTGGTTCTGGCGGCCTCAGTGTCGAGGTACGAGGTCATAGCGTAATCTTTGGGAGGAGTAGGCAGCGGAGGGGCGTCGGCGTCGTTGTAGTAATTGCGGTCGAACTGCTCGAGGGACTCGCGGGGGGTCGAGGTGTGTGCCGAGGTCGCGTAGGTGGTGACGCTGAAACGCGAGGGCGGTTGCTCGTAGGGCGAGTCGGCGTTGCCTGCTCCAGGAAGGTTTCGGGTGTCCGTCGGCCTGGGGGCTATCTCGTCGCTGGGACGATGCCGCTGCGCATGGTTGGCGTCCTCGGTCTGTTGCGAGTAGACGGACGAAGCAAACGACTCCTTGGGCTGGTGGTGGGCGCCGTGGCCGGGATGCAAGTGCGCCGAGGGAGGCCCGCCGCTGCCAACCTGCTTCCTTCGAATGGGTGCCTGAGACGCAGTCGGGGAGGGCTCTGCAGACGAGGATAAGGAGTGCAGTTCTTGATGTTGCGTGGGCGGTGGTGATGGGGACGATGGCGTTGGTGGCTGAGATGGGTAGGTGTCAGCCGCAGCATGTGTGTCGGTCTCGGCGGCCGCATCAGCATGTATCCGGTCGGTGGCTGCATAATTAGCGCCGCCGTTGGCATTGACAGGTGCAGATTGCTGCTGGGTCATTGATGCAGGGTGCGAGGGGCTGCTCGACAGCGGTGGGCTGGGATAGCCCTGCTGATTTCCACTTCCCGCTCCACTAGGGAGACGCTGCGAAGATGGGATGATTCTTCGGATGGTGTTGGCCATAGTGCCCCCAAGACTGCTGGGGCTCAGCAGCGGACCCTTCCCTGCACCGCTCCCGCCTCCCATTTGCTGCCTCTGGTCCTGCTCCCTCACTTGGGTTTCAGGACTGATGGGCGGGCTGGACATGGCAGCATCGCTGCTGCCGACCCCACCACCCCCGCCAGGGCTGAGGCCGCGACTTGGGCTCGGGCTCGGGCTGGGACTGGGACCACCAAACGGCCGTGGCGAGCTTCGCTTGTCGCTCCGTGGCGGGATCTTGAGCGGGGCGACCTCCGGGTTGTCCTTGACGGGCTCGACAATGGCGGTTCGTCCGGAGGCGCCACGCCAGCCCGGCCGGTTGGAGGTGAACGCCGCGGCGCCAGGGTCGGTGTTGCTCTCGGGCTGGGGCTGGTGTCTGGGGCCTTGTCCCACTCCCATTCTCGAGCCCATCTGTCGCATGCGGTCGCCCATGCCCGACGCGCTCTTGGGCGGCACGGGCGAGGTTCCACCCCGTTCTGCCGACGCTCCTGAGGATATGCCGAGCCCAAAGCCACGCGCAAACTCGAGCGGCTTGACCTGTGACGGCCTCGACTTCTCGTTGTTCATGGCGATCTCTCCTGTCATCGGGTCCCAGCGCGGGTTCTTCTCGCCGCGTGGCCGGCCGTTGCTGCTCCCTGGCTTCTGGCTGTAGTCAATGGTGGGCTGCCGCAGCCGTTCCCTGCTGTCCATGGCCTTCAGGGACTGCGGCACCGGCGATGGCTGTCGTAGTCTTTCCCTGCTGTCCATGGGCCGCAGGCTCTGTTCCCGCGGGGGCGTGTCCCGCAGCGCGTCCTGGCTGGGGGATGGCCTCAGCCGGCCTGCAGCTGCATCTCTCTGTTGCCTCTTCTCGCGGCGCATCATGGGGATATTTGATCGAGCATTCGGGGACGGCGTCTCGCCTTGCCGGCTGGCGGCTCGCTGCTGGGAGGGGAGGCCGCTGACGGCAGACATCTTGGGCATGGGCTGGGGGTACGAGGGGTCGTCTTCTTCGTCTATGGGGGAGATGTCAAGATTGGGTCTACAAGGATGGGCGCACAGATGTTAGCGAGTCCATTTAAGCACTTCTCAGATTAATGGCAGGGTATGAGGCACACGGGGTGACAGGTATGGGACTGTGGGTGGCGGCCCAGGGCCCAGGGCCCGGGGGCCAGCCGCGAGACAGAAAGACCAGTCTCAAGCCGCCCCAGTATGCAATCAATTCCGCCCCCCGGCGGCCCAGGAGGGCAGATGTGACGTGCAAAGACAAGGTCTTTTGGTACTGTTCCGTAGACCCAATCCCGCCTCTTAGAGTGCTTGCTCTGTTCAGAAGGGAGGGGTTAGACGTACACATTTCCGGGAGACAACAACTCGGGCGAGCTCGGGGGGGAGACGTCGTCAAAGCCGTCGGGGTTTTGTCGCGAGACGTTGGGACGGTCGCGCTGGGGCGCAAAGGTCGTGTGCAGTGGCGAGGGCTGGGAGTAGACGGACGATGTCGGGCGGCCGGAGATGGAGTCGCGGGACTCGTGTCGCGCGTGGGCGCTGGGCGGGTGCAGCTGGCGTTGCTGTTGTGGGGGGAAGGTCTGTTGGCGGGCAGGAGGTTGGACAGGCGGTGGTACTTCGCTAGAATCGCACGTGGGTGGGTTAGCTGGTGTCTTGGACACTTCGGTAGAGACGAGGGCAACCGTGTGTGATCGAGGGTGGAGGGGAAAGATGATGCAACGCACAAGTCCCTGAGTGGCCTGGGTGGAGGAGGCCCGCCCTTGATGCTGTACTGATAGCCCCCGTAGCCGCCTGCGCTGCCGCTGCCTGGATAGTTGTCGGCCGAGGCTGATCGTAGCTGTTGCTGATTGTGACGTTGGTGTTGTGGTTGCTGCTGGCGCTGGCGCTGGGCGATTACCGAGGAGCGTGGCTGCCAGCTGTTGGAATCGTTGGAGTTGGAGTAGTTGCTGGGGTTCGAGTTGGCGAAGGCTGAGGTGGCGGCGATGTTGTTGTTCTTGTTGTTGGTGTTGATGTCGGTGGAGGAAGGTGGCAGTCTCTGCTTTTGCTGGTGCTGGTGCTGCTGCCTTCTCGAGTTCGAATCCCCGGGCGCACCTCCCGTTCCTGTCCTGAAGCGTTCCCACATTGTCGCGCTGCGCCCAGACCGGCGCACCCGCAGCGATTGAAATGAAGGGAGCCCCTCTCTGGCCCGTGAGTCGAGTTAATGCGCCGGCCGGTCAGGCCTGCCCGTGTGAGCACAGCTCACAACACGCAGTATCTAGTGCCTGGCTCCCTCCTGGCTCCTTGTTCCTTGTCCCTGACCTCTTGCAGACACATACATGTGTGGTGTTTTGGGGGGTGGGTGTTCTCTCTTGACGCAGCTAGTCGGCGATCCTCCCAGGGCAGACAGTCGAGAAAGAGGACCGCGGCTTCCCGGCCGTTTCGGTGGCGTTTTCAGCTGCCTGCCTGCCTGCTGCTGTCTGCTGTCTGATCGTCGCTCGGACCCTGTGAAAGACTCTGCTCTGCTGGGCTCTGTCTTCTCTCGCGTGTTGCCCTCTCGCCTCTGCGCTGCCCTGCTCTGCTGTGCCTGCGATGCCCGCTCTGCGCAATCTCACACTCGGCGAGCTATGAAACCCGGAGATCGGATGTGAGCGGGGCGCTTGCGGATGGAGTGGGCCGAGTGGGTGCCCTTCTGGCGGATGCGCATGTGGGACGGGGATCGTGTTGTGCTTTGCGGTGGACTGTGCTGGCCTGACTGGGCCCGAATGGTGCAACAAGATCAGATGAAATCTGGCCAAGACGAGCTCTGGTCCTGGCGCGCAGTGGGTGTGCTGGACCAAAAAAGGTCGGAAACAAGATTGACCTGATTTTGGCTTGAAATGAACGAGGTGGGGCCCAACGGTGGTGGTCAGCTGAAATGTGGACTGCTGCTGCACACAAGTGGCGGATCGATGAGCCTGGATTTATTTGAATGATTGATTGATGGATTGGCAGACTGACTAATTGATCGATTTATTGGACAATAGATGTGATGTGACAGGCGGATGTGACCAGAGTGGCAGACCAGACGGCAGGGCGAGGCCGTGTGTTTGTCGACAACCTCGTCGGTTACCCTCGAAGGACTTGGACGCAAACAACGGTGGTGGCTGATAATATTGATCAATCTGTCAGTTGGCACGATAGGCGAGCATCCCATCCAAAGGTAGAAAGAAATGGGAGGAAGAAAGGACCATCTGGGTAGAAAGCCAATCCGCCACAACACGGTAGCTGCAGCGGCAAGGCCTGAAAATCTGGAAATCCGTCAGGGAACCGATCCCATCCAGTCAGTCGCCCTCTTCAGACGATGCAACCCTGACCAGTCGTTCGATGCGACCGGAGCAATATCATAACATGCCCAGGTAGCACCCAAATCGCCTCACATTCATCCCCATCACCAGTCGAGGCACTCGCCCAGAGCATGAGTGGTGGAAATGCTGCCAGGCCATCCCACATCAAGACAGGCGTGCGTCTTGCCGCTGCGTTGGTGCTGCGTAACGACTGGCTCTGCGTGTTCCGTCGCCAGACACGAACACCAACCAGCACGAACTCATACACAGACGACAAACAAAACAGTAGGGCTGAGACCCAGCGTTTACTGCCCACCTTCTCTGCTTTGACCGTAGTATTATTATTATCAGACTACTGTGTGTGTGCATTGCAGCTGCAACGTCTGACAAGTTCGCATGTCTGCGCGCAGCCGTTCGTCCCAGCCGCACCTAACGTTGCGCTTACTTTGACTCGACCAGAGCCTACCTAGGTACACAGCAAGCACCCAACAGGCAGGCTTGCGACCGATGTAGGTACCTATAGTCCAATGAAAACAGCCAAGTCTTCGCCAAACAATAACAGCTGCAGCAACAGAGCGCGTCCCTCGTGGTGGCAAGGTGCCTGGCCTGATGCATGGCCGGCGTCACGCGCTTGTCATCAAACACGCACACGCACACACACACACACATCACTGCGAGCAGCTCCTGGCGAGTGCTCCCTATGCCTGGATACCTAGCCACCTAAGTAGGTATTTGAGGTCTACAATCCCGGGCTGTCCTCGTGGATACTGTCACCAGATCTGCTCGCGGTTTCCATCTCAGTCTGCAAAAGTGCAATCCAAAGTCATATCAGCAGTCAAGTAAACAGTGAGCTGGTCTCGAGTAAACCAGGTCGCTGCCGGGACCATGCCTGCTCAGTCTAGGGGTCTAGGGGTCTAGGGGTCCAATCTCAGGGGCACGCCAACCACAACACCACTGCAATCTTGTTGGTTCGAACCTAGATAGATCGTGCGCATACCACTCCGGCAGCAAGTAAGGGTCCGGGTTATGTCCTACCCTCCCCCCTCTCGGTTGCTTGAGAGGGGGGGTTGTTGTCGATCGGACACGGAATCATGAAATCCTCGCCGAAAGATGCCAAGCACCACTCCACCCCCACCTCCCTTCGGCACGCATGCCCAGAATGGCTCACCACTCACAATATTGACAAGCGTTCTCCCTACACCACGGTACATCTGATTTCTCGACCACGGTGTAGAGTAAGCTGGACGCCCGCAGTGTTCTTTCTTTGCCCTCTGCAAACGATGAATAAAAAAAAATAATCAATGAGTGTGTTCTGAAGTTCCCCTCCCTAACGCAGCACCTGCGCCATCTCTTGCTCGGAACCTTCTCTAGTCGACACGGGACGGTGGTGTTGTCGAAAATGAACCCGGGCCTTACATGCTTGAAGCGGTGCTGTTGTTTGCTCGGCCGACCCCTCACCGGCGAGAACGCCGTGCGTGCTGTGCTCTACTCTGCCTCCCTCCATAATGTCCCGTTTCTGCGTAGATGGCGTGGTTTCAAAACTTTGACATCAAGAGGTGGGCAGCGCGGAACTGACATCGGGAACCCCGAGCCTCATCAAAGCGGCACCGCATCCAAGCACAATTGGCCTGTAACCAAAGGCACGTTTGGCCTTTCCTCGCAGACGATTCGCTCTCGCCCAGTGGCTGGCGGTCTCTTGCGTGAGTATGAGAGCGGGAGACTGTACCCAGACACTAGATCAGAGCCTCAAAAGCTCTGAATAAGCTTTGCCCAGTCCATGGGTATGCTTCGGCCTCGATTCCTCATTGACCTTGCCGTTTCCCACGCCCACGAGAGTGACTGAGTCAAACGATGCGGTCCAGACCACTCAGGAGCCGTCTTCGGGAGCAGTAAGTGTCGCCATGTAACGTGCTGCCCAAGCCGTCAGAGTTTCCGGAATGTCCTGCAGACAGCCGTGCTGCCCACCCACGCGTCCTTGGGCCTTAAAATGTCTGTGGTCGGGGCGGAATGACTTTGTGTTCCTTCTCAAAGAGCCAGCACAGATAGCACCCTGACGGTCCCCAAAACGGAATCGACCTCTTTTCTTTGCCCCTGCTAGTATTGCCTTTGCGAGCTTGCTTGGAGTACTTCATGGGCAAACTTACCCATCAACACGACTTGGTCAAGACGCAATGGGGCCACCGCATCCGAGCTCGGCCGTAACGCTCGAGACAAATGAGGGATACGTGCCCGAGATATGGGTAGGTGTTTGCAGCGGACGGACAATTCCAAGCAAGCAAGCCAACCTGTCCACTACAGAAAGCGGCTGATTCACCAACAGGCTTGGTACACACTCGGCGTTTTGATTCTTATCCTTCGTCACGTTGTCAGACTTCGGACAGTGGGCATACGAGGGTACCAAGGTGATGACTACTTGTCCGTACTAGTATGCCGTCTCGTCATGATCCCAGGTAAACAAATGAAAGCATCTGTTAGTGTTGACACATTCTCCCGCGCCGGCAATAGTCTCTTTGTTTATATACGGTCGATACCACGATGGGCTACTTCGCCTACTACGCCGGCGGAAACATCGACGTGACAGCCGACCAGGTCGACTCGCTCAGCGACGCAGACATACGAGTTCTCGAGATGGGCAGCAAGATGGAATTCGTGACCTGGTACACGTATCCAGGCTTCGTCTGGGTCCTGAAGTTCTGCATCCTGTTCTTCTACCGCCGTCTCACGCTGGGGCTGACGAAGGAGCGGACCCTCAACTTCCTTTTCGTGTTCTGCGGCGTGACCTGGGCCTCCCTGATCATAGCCGTGAGCTCGACGTGCAGGCCCTTCCAGAGCAACTGGACCATCCGCCCGCTGCCGGGGGAGGAGTGCATCTTCCGTGCTCAGAACTTCAAGGCCCTGGCGGCGCTCAACATCTCGACTGACGTGGCCATCCTGACCATTCCGGCACCGATGATCTGGCACCTGCGGATTCCGCTGTGGAAGCGCGTTGGCGTCACCCTGCTGCTGTGTGGCGGCTTGTTCGTCATCTCCGCCGCCATCATCCGAGCTGCCTTGACACTTACCGGCACGCCCAGCGTCCTCAATATCAACCTCTGGGGCTACCGGGAGACGGTGATAGCATTGCTCGCAGTCACCGCCCCAGTCCTGAGTCCACTTTTCAGGCCTGGCTTCTGGAGACGGGGCGTATACGTCGGCCGGCCGGTGGACGAGCAACAACAGGATGCTGAGCAAGAGATTGCGGTGATGGAGAGGAGGCGGAGAAGGAGGCTAAGGGGCAGCTGGTTCTTCGGGAGCAGCTTGTTGCACAGCTCGTTGTTGACGATCAAGTCGAGTGTCAAGTCGACCGCATTCACCACCAGGACAAGAGCTGCAGAGGCGGATCCCGAGATGGCCGAGGCTCCGGGTCCGAAACAAGAGGCGGTGCCCCCTATGACAGAACAACCTTCCACCGTCCAGCCGGCGCAGGAGACGGAGGCTCACGGGCATGAAAGGGAACTCGCTACAACAGAACGTGTCCTGCTGAGACAAGACGTGCCGTCTAACACCGGCGTGGGCTGACAGACTCTGGAGAGCTGGTGCTCCTCCCCGTGGAGCACATTTGACAGACTCTGGAGAGCTGGTGCTCCTCCCCGTGGAGCACATTCCAATCAACTCTTGGTGTCCACTGTCCGTCCAGAAAAGAAAATCATGCAGAGGAAGCAATATGAGAGACTTAATTCGAAAGACAGAAGCTGAGTTGATTGCGTAAGTGCAGCCATCAAATTTTCCATTCATATTTATTGTGTGCCTTGTCTGATTAGTATCAATAGCTGTACCCATTGAGCCGGCCTGGGATCTGCGATGGAGAGAGTGAGGACGAACACTCACGGACAAGGCGGCAAGGGATTCATTCATGTGCTGTTCCGATCGCGCAACGGACGAGACACCAATCCACAAGTGCTGACGCAGCTTGGCAGCGCCGTCTGCGCGTACTCTGACAAACGCAATCCGCCCTCCGAAAGTATAATCCAGGAGCCGATTCATCGTCAAACAACATCATCGCGCATGACGGCACAACATCATGGTTCCGCGCGTCGTCCCGCCCAGAGTATTAATGAGACCCACAGCCTCTCCAGCAATCCAATTCTTTGAGACCTGGAAGTACTAGTCATCGGCAGTTTGCTGACATGACTCAGCTCGGTCAGCCCCTTGCCAATCCCCTCACCATCGAGCGTACCTGATCGGGGGGTTTGAGCTGGTAATGAGCAGCGACTGACCATACCCTCGCAGGTCCTCGCTCGGCAGAGAACGCAAAGCCCAAGCCAGTCAATTTTGGGGTTGTGGTCTTCCCAGCCTTCCAGCAGCTAGACGTGTTCGGCCCCCTGGATGCACTCAGCCTCCTGTCGCGCTCCCACAACATGAACCTGTACACCATCGCCGCGACGCTGGACCCCGTGTCATCAAAGCAACCTGCCGTCAAAGACGGCGGTGGCTGGGTGCCGCCGCCAACGCAGTCCCCCGAGTTCGGAACGACCATCTTGCCAACCCACACCTTCTCAACAGCACCGGCCCTGGACGTGCTGCTCGTCCCAGGCGGCCAGGGCACGCGGGCGCAGTCGCCAGCCATCTCCGAGTCTATCGACTTCATCCGGCAACGGTCCCCCTCGCTTCAGTATCTCATCACCGTGTGCACGGGGTCCGGGCTCGCTGCACGGAGTGGCGTCCTGGACGGCAGGCGCGCGACCACTAACAAGTTGGCGTGGGAGTCTACGACCGCCTTGCGCCCCCAGGTGAACTGGGTCCACCGCGCGCGCTGGGTCAATGACGGCAATATCTGGACATCCTCGGGTATCAGTGCTGGGATCGACGTGACGTTTGCTTGGATTGCGGATGTTTACGGGGCTGATGTCGCAAAGAACATTGCAGATAGGATGGAGTATACCCGCGTGACGGATGCTGACAATGACCCTTTCGCTGACCCACAGCATTGAAGGCGGTCATATCAAACTGATTTACGCTACATCTTTAGGTACCGTGCCAGGACCAGAGGATGTTCAGTTCCATCCTGACGACGGAGGCCTAATGTCAACCGTAGAAGAGCAGCAGTACGGTTACAGATGATTAATCAGTTACTGCAAGACTGGGTCAACTAGAATGACACTATGGTCTGGATGGTCTGTTGATGGGAAACGACATGTTACTGCACCCTGTGTATTCTAATATTTGTTATGACAGGGCTGTAACTGAGGACAAGAAGGAAGTGTGGTCTTATTGCAGCTGAAATCATACTAGGCAGCACTATTAGGTGCATATCAGCCGACATGCATGCACAGCCATGCTCAACCCATGCCCATGTAGATTGTCACCGAACATCTGAAACAGCATTAGGTGCAGATCAGCCGCCATGCGTGCACAGCCATGCTCAGCCATGTCTCTATGGATCATCGCCGTTGAATATCATCCATGGGTTCTCATAAATCAAAGCTCTTCGTAGATGGCTTCAGCTGCGCGCCTGACACTCACAACTTTCGACAGTTTCTTGTTTCTTTGTTCAACAATCCTTATCTGAGCCCGTGCAGGCCAATTCACTCCTAGCTTTTGGAGACAACCCTTGAACCAAACCATGGCTGACCTTGTGGCAAGCCTCATCGGAATCATAGGCGCAGGGACCAAAGTTGCCATGGTTCTCTCACAAGTTGCGTCCGAGATTGGGTCCGCTGGCAAAGAGCCCCAGATCATGGCTCGCGAGATCCGTTCGTTCTGCACCATCATTCGCGTCTTGAGCCAGACGATGGATAGTGTGCATAGCGGAATGACATGGAACAACTATTCCGACTGCTCGGAGACTATCTCAGACATGATGATTGTATCTAGGGAAATGTTCACCGAGATCCTTAGCCTGGTCAACCACATCCAGAAGTCATCCTTTGGCGGCTCCGCCTTGCCAAACAATTCCAAGTTCAACCTTGCTAGCAGGATCAGATGGGTAATGAACAAACCGAAGTTCATCTTTCTGAGAAGCGCTCTGGAGGCATACAAGTCGAATCTGAGTCTCTTGGTTGGTTCGATTCAACTATCACAAGGCCTAGCATTGTGAGTACTCAAATACATACCTAGATATTGGCTCATCTAACAAATTCTGGCTATCACGCAGAGCTTCTAGTTCCTCAGGATCTAGTGACGATGTACTGCAGAAAGCGGGCACCAACAGAACGAGTCTGTCGCTGTCCATAGACCTGCAGGATATCGCAAACGACTATCGGGCCAGTATCCAGGAAATGGAGGCCGCCAGGCTCGAAGCTGAAAATGAGGCATCATATGAACCGCCGCCGTGGGACTCTCAGCCAGACGAGATGGGCGTGGTTGATTCCACCACAATGAACGCTCGACAGGATCCTGAGCTGCGAGAGATGATTGCTACAGCAGAGGAAGAGGTCCGCAGCCTGCGTCCGTCGTCTAGTGTCTACTCAGACTCGACCGCCAGTATATACAGCTCTTTGTCACGGCATAGCATGCGAATGTCGGTGATTGTCGATGAACTCCCCATGGCTGAGGTCATGAACGCTTCTGAGCAGCGTAAATCAAGGGCCTTGACTATTCGCAACTCCATCTCTGTTCAACCGACCTTGTCTTCAGTTCCAGAATCCCCAAAATGGAGACTAATACAACCTCCAACACAACCTCCACCACAGCCTCAATATCTAACACCGGAGGACGCGGAGAAGGCTTTCAAAGATCTGTGTATGTTTCCCATCTATGTGCTCGGATCAACTCTTATCACTTGCGCTGATTCACCTTGTACAGTGACAAGGTATAAAAATTTGAAGAGGTTATATTTCGATGGAAAAACACAGATAGAGCAATTGGAAACCAAGCTGTCTGCAACCCAGTCCTCTTCAAGTGCCGAAAACGCCACTAAGGGCTAGTTAGGAACAGCACAAATTGCCAAAGTGGATGATGGGGGAAAGCATATCAGTTTGAAAAGATTTTAGAAGCATCTACACAATTGACTGGGGTCTGTCTAGTATCAGGTCATGAATCTGGTTCTGAGCCCTCGGTGGCTCCTGTTGCCCGTCTGTTACAAAATTACTGTCTCCCCAACCAGTGGTACCGGGTGGTATTGAATCAGGAACAAGTCTGCGCTTGCATTAGGCGACTCAGACTGCATACTACGTGAGCCATATCTATGTTCTACTTGTGCAGCCGTCACCTCGATAAAAGGCAACGAGAAGTTGCCTCCATAAGCATTGCTACTAATACTTTTGCCATCACCACTTACAGAAAGTGCCGTGGCAGGAAAAAGATCATACAGCAGCACGCGGAGAGCATTGGGCACTGAGCAAATCGTATGGGGCATGGAAGTATCGGGCAATTCATCATCGAGACGGGTATCAGATGCTTTGCGGCCCACTTGCCGCAGATCACCGCAGGATTATGACTTAGATTTTACACAAAATGCTGCATGGCTGTTGATATTGCGCGTAAAGCGTTTTTATTTACACGAGCAAGGTAATATGTACATGAAACAACCACAGTCATCCATGGTCCAACGCGCCCTAAGGAGTTCCAAACTGCTGCGGACTCGACCACAATCGTGCCACAGATCAGAGTGTCTAGGTGAGGCATGAACTCAGCAGGCTTGGTGGTCTACTACGCCTGGGACCTATCGAACGCTGATAGTGTAAGACGACGTGGTCATGACAGCGTTGGAGCCCGTGAAGGGCTCAGTTCCCGCCTGCAGAGAGGTGATCCACAGCGAGTTGGACAGGCCCTGGCTGCTGACGAGGTACTTGAAGAAACCGTTCAGGTCGCCAGAGAAGCTGGTGATGGTCGAGTCGGCGACAAAGGAGTAGACGGTGGTATCTCCGTTGGGGCCGCGGTAGACCTTCCAGCTGTGCCCAGCAATGGTGGTCGTCGCGATAGGGGTGGTCCCCGTGCTGGAGATCGGGAAGGCGCCGCCGTAAGCGGCGAGCCAGACCATGATCTCGTACTTGTTTGTGCCTCCAGATGAGGTAGACAGCCACAGATCGTAGGCGACGTCTGCGACGAGAGAAGAGCCAGTATAACTATTAAACACAGGCATGATTAGTTCTTTGTCTCATTGAGTGAATGGTGCACCATCGACCGCCAGGAGACCGGTAATTGTTCGGAACTGAACATACCCCCACTTCCAAATAGAGTTTATGGTCGACACAGCGCTGAGCTGTTTGTTCACTTTCTCAAGGGCGACGTTTGAGTACGACTTGACGGAGCCCGACCCACCGGCCCAGGTCCATGAGGTGGACCAGGAGGCCGTGTTGCTTTGCAGGTCGTTGAACGTGGTGCACTGCGACCCGGAGGAGGCGGCCCCAGCACCCCAGTTGTTGTGGTAGAAGGTGTAGGGGCCGGCAGTCTGAGAACCCCAATTGCCACAGAAGGTAGTTGCACGCTTCTCGAGGGCTGAGTCGACACGGGACGCCTCGACCTCGAGAGTCGACGTCGGGGCGGCGACGACGGCTGAGGCCGCCAGCAGAACGCTGGACAGTGCTGCGTTGAACTTCATGTTGATAGGTGAGGGGCTTAGAAAGGAGCTGATGGGACAAGAAAGATCCCGGTGGCCAGGACGAGGGGAAGAGCACGCCTCTAGATATGGTCTGAAGAATATCTTAGATGGACGAGAAGGGCAATGATCAACTCGATGGAATAGACGTGAATATTTATCTACGTTCTGGGCTACGGTGAAATTCCACCTACGAGATTGCTTCTCAGGGCTCCTCCGGGGGCCCTCCGGACGAACATTCAATTCCGTCTTAGTGTAGCATACCACATCGTTCATGGCTTCGAGAATAGCAGGCCACATCTCCGTGGTGTGGATCACTTTGTCTGAGCGTGGTCATCCGACGGCAATTTCCACAAGTCCGCTATCCCCAATAACGCTTGGTTAGGCCGAGGCTGTTCCAAACGTTAAGCTTAAGAGTGGATCGACAGTACTTCGGTTACAGCCGAAAACGAGCCAGACTTCATTGTAGGACGTGCGTTGTGTCCACTGTGGTGGCTAGTCAGGGGACTTGACAGTTGACATAGGCAGTATCTACTAGAGTACTCCGTGTAAGCCAGCTGATCGCCCCTGCTTCCTCAACCCAGGATGACCATGATGTCGTCCCCGGCAGCGATGGGAGTTAACCTCAATACAGACCACGGACACCCACTCCCGGTTGGGGTGAGCGTCGGGCAGAATCCACCAACCAGGTGTCATGTACTAGTAGCCCCTGACTCACGAGAAGCGCGGCAGTGCACCGCCGTGCATTGCGGAGAGGAGAAATTACAAGAATTGTGTCGTATTGTACAAAGCTTAGCATTCAATACCTATCACGAATTTGTTCCACGCTGGTTGAGGCCATAGGTTTTGTGGATGGCGTGAAATTCTCCGTTTGCTACCGCAGCCTAGCCACCCAACTAAGGAGGCGGAATATCTGAACGGAGGCTGTGAGACAGGCTGTTTCTCCCATGGCCAATTCCAAAAATCCGCCTCTGAATCCTCCTCGAGCTCCCTAAGCCTGTATCTTGCAGAATGTGCTATATCATCCAGTAAACTCAGAGATGCAGTCTCTTCGAGACTGTTTTCAGTCCCCGCCTACGATGCTCGCTTGCTGTTACATCGGGGAGTGAGAGAAAGCAAGGACAAAAATAAGCCTTTCCGGAGCCGGGCATCGATATAAGGATCACCTGTGCTGCCTTCATGCGTAATTACCAAGCTACCATAAACCTTTCGGGCCATGTGCTTCTACTCTTGGACCCGGCATAGATTTGCTTCTCACCGCACGTGTCGCACGTATACGTGCGTTAACCCCTTGAAAGAAATAAACCAAGAATGTTTTCTTGTATTAGTGATTTGCTGATATCCAGACACAGAGAACCATACTACGAATGGTCGAAATGGAAATGTGCGCCACAACACCTCCGTTAAAGCTTTACCCCGGACACATTGCTCTTCAGAATATAACTTTCAGGGTTGAAATTAGTTTAGTTTAGTTTAGTTAATAGGTCTAACTAAAAACTAAAAACTAAAAACTAAAAACTAAAAACTAAAAACTAAAAACTAAAAAATATAAGTTTAATTAATAGGTTTAACTAAAAACTTATTAAGTTTTTCAGAATTATACTTAAGGCCTTTGGTAGAATATAAGAAATTCTACCACTTAACTAAAGAACCACTTAATCCATTTAAATTCTCCAAATAATCCACTATATACCTAATCCATTACTCCGCCCCATTATATATAGTTTTTAAATTAAACTTAATTTAATTTTTAATTTTTTAAGTTTAATTAATACGTTTAATTAAAGATTAAAAACTTAAGTAAGTTTTTAAAAAAATATTAACTTAAAACTAAAACTAAAAACTCAATTGAGTTTAACTAAAACTCAAAACTAATTTTACAACCCTGATGACTTTACTCGGATCGGCGCTCTGTGTCCTCGAGCATGGACACCCCCCATTCTCAGTTAGATCTGATAGCGAGATGTATACTTGAACCATCCAAACTAAATTGCTCCTCCTCCACCTCCTCTACTTTTCCCACAATAACCTTTTTCCATTTCTTTTCTCCAAAATGGGCAAGCGAATACTCAAAAACAGCATTGATAACTCCTCCAGGCAGTCCGGACAAATCAGAGGGAACATGTTCGTCTCTTCGGGCGGCAGCGGTCACGGCTTCAGATTCCTGCTCATCCTCGGCCACAAGGTGGTCGAGACCCTGGAAGGCAAAACAGACGGGAATGTCTATGCAGACATGTGGGCACGGAGGGAGCCTCAGGGCCGAAGCAAGAGGAATGACCTCGAAGAAGGGGAGGGCGGGCCGCATGTGTTGGCGAAGCAGACCATGGCAAGCGACAAGGACTGTGTCCAGTGAATATGTTGGGTCCGTGACACTGGCACAACTCGCGGCCTACTGGGGAAATCTCGCACGTTCACATGTAGCGTCGTGCCGTCGGTCGCCATGTCTGGCAAGCTTCAGACCGAAGTATGATAGATACATCGGAGGGCTGGCCCATGTGCGTGCGCTGGAATCGAGAAATTGATGCAGCACGGGACACGCCATAGAGTATAGCACTGACGGAGGATTAAAAAGTCGAATCAGCTCATTTTCAGCCTCTCCATAATGCTAAGGTCCAAGAAAAAGAAAAGGCAACCAAAATCGAGGTATCTGTGGTAGGAGAGGACGGTGCATGTGGCCACACTCCAAATCGTATGCCATGCTCCAAGCGAAACCGCTTCATTGCTCCGCCGAGATGAGACCTTCCAAGGAACTCGCGCGTCTAAGACCACAAGAGCAGATATGTTCGCCACCTGACCAGTCCGCCTGCAACGGGGCAGCCAGATGCTGTCAAATTTTCCTGCCATACGCCATGCTCGTATCGGCCGAGATGATGGGCTTCCTTGATGCTACCACCATGCTCGCGAAAATTCCTCAATATGTAGTCCATGTAGGCGCCCTCTTTGGGGCCGCCAACTGAAACAGCATGATGACAGACAAGACAAAACGCCAATGTGATTTTGGGTGCGCTTCAATGAGCTCCATCCCATGCCAGAAGAGGTTCGTAATTTCCACTCTTGCAATGCTCCGCCGCGTGCGTCCCAAGCCAGGAAGCCCCAGCTGTGGTCGGCTTCTGGGTCATGAAAATAAAATTACCAAAACCACCAGCCCCAGTAAATCGCGTGCATGACGGCTACTTTGTATCCTCAGGCCGGGGTCCCGAGCTGGGCCGAGATCCGGGCTGCGGACCGGGTGTCACTGATGGGCTCGCTTGCTGCAGGCTCTGGCGGACACTGGGCGGCAGCTCAGCAGGAATATCCTCGTCGTCATCACCAGAGTCTTCCGAGTCTGACTCAGTATCGTCCAGTGCCATTGGCTCGTCTGCTGTTCCTCGGCCCTTAGCACTCACATTCGAGGCGGCCCTGGCAATGGCAAAGGCGGGCAGCGTAGGATCCATACTCTCCGCCGGGGCGGCGGCACCGCCAGAAAGGCCGCCCATCTCGGAGTATGCCACTCGCTTGCCTTCGGAAAATGGGCTGGAGCCCGAGAACCGCCGCTTTATTCCGGCGTGCATTGAGACATCCGTGATCCCAGGGCCGCCCATGGCCGATCCGTACACGGGCGATGCCGAGGCCGGCGTGCCCACCGGGGCCTGCGGGGCGGGAGCACCAGTATGAGCACCAGGACGATTGACACTTGACCACATGGCACCGGTTCCGCCGTTCGAACTACGTGCAACGATGGGGGGCGGGCGAGAAGGAGTCGAGGCGATGGGACGACCGGGGCGTCCTAGGTTGGGGCTAGGGATCCCAATGTCTGCCGCCAACTCTGCGGCCGTCTTGTACTGCATGCGGTCTCTCTCGGCCTGGATCTCGGCCTTTGTCCTCCGCATACGGAGCCTGACGCCGTACTTCTTGCGTATCAAGGACTGCTTCGTGCCGAACGAGTTGGCGAGCCCGTCGAGGCGGGTCTTCCTCTCGCCCGCGTCAGGGAGAGCGTTGGCCTGTCGGAAACGCTCGCCGTAACTGAGCTCGGCCAGCCTTAGCTCCTCCTGCATAGCCGCCAGCTGCTCAGGCGAAAGGTGTGCATAGGGGTCGGCAACGGCGCCGTCCGGGGTGTGCAGGCCCGGCGTCCCCTTGCGCGGGCCGCCTCCCGAAGAAGAGGGCGGAGCGACAGCTTCTGTCGATGCAGGCGTTGAGGTCGGTTTGGGCAAGAGTGTGGGTGTGGATGTCGGGGCTGACGCCGGGGTCATGCGTGCGGTTTGCGTGGCCTTGGGCGTGGCCGGTGTCGAAGCAGCCGGCGCCGTGGTAAGCCTATTGGGCTCATTAAAATTACCGCAGATGTTGTTCGAGTTATGGTACTGGACGCCCATGATAGTAGTGAACCCTTGGCCACAGTGCTGACAAGAAAACTTGTAACCACCCGGTGCGACCGGCGAGCGCGTGCAGATCTTATTCTTCACGTGGTGCTCAAAGGCAGACTGGTGGACAAACTTGCGGAAGCACATATTGCAGTACATGAGCGCTGCGGTCGGTGCACCAGGCTGGGGGGCTGGCTGGGGGGCTGGCTGAGGAGCTGGTCGAGGACCTGGCCGAGGAGCTGTTGAGGGCATCATATCCTCGTGACGGACTGCGGGGTGGCCCGCAGCTGGGTCGTCCTCCTCGTCCTGTACATCACTAGGTTCATAGCCAAGACGCTCAGCTCTAGCGAGGGCATTGATAAGGCGCTTGGCGTCAATGGACTTGAGGCGAAGCTCGAGGGCCGCGTCAAGGAACGAGTCGCTGGCCTTGGAGAGCAAGCGTGTGGCCACGGCGTCAATATCGGAAGGGGTCATGGCGTCGACGATCTCAGCCTTTGCGGGAAGAGATCATGGCTCTTCCGAAGTCACGCATACCGCGTTGGACGGCCGCGTGGGTGGCATGGTGTATACTGGCGTTGAGCTATGAATGGGGAGGGGTTCAGTCAGTTCATGTGTGTGCGTGTGACGAGGGGCTGCGACGGGGAAGAGAATGGAGCGATACCATGCGGGACGGGAGAGCAAGAGCAGAGGAGGCGGGGATTACGAGTGGATGCAGGGCATGAGAGTACGCTGGAATGGGGTAGAGACGGGATCAAACTCACGACAAAGGCCTGGTGGAATTCGGAGCCGAGCAGGCATTTCTCCCAGTTGTCACGCACGGAACGTCTCACGGCCTCTGGGATGGCCTGCTGGATGCCGTACGTGATCCTCGTCTTGTCGTCGAGGAATTTCGGGTCCTCGTAGATGCGGTCTCGGCCAGGCGAAGGGAAGCCTACCGCGGGGAGAGGCGCAGAAGAAGCGGTGGCCGGGGCTGGTGTCGGGGCCGGGGCGATGAGGAGCTTCCGGTGTACAAGGGGAGAAGATTGAGCGCGCCAGACGGGGCTGTCCTGATAGTCAGAAGCCCTGGTGGTGGCGGCTGCGGCAGCAGCAGGCGGCGGATGGCTGGCCGCAGGGGAGGCGGGCAGCGGAACGGGAGGCGAGGGCAGCGCAGGCGAGTGATGAGGAGTGTTGCTGGTGGATCTCAGGCCCGGGCGGGCGCCAAGGCCGTGGACAGAAGGAGACGCCGACGCGGCCGGGCTTGCCACGGAGGTGGAGGTGGGCGGTGCCGCTGCAGGGGCGGCCTGGGGAAGCGAGACGGCAGGCTCGATGTCCGAGACGATGCGCGGGGGCAAGTCCGGGGATGGCGACGCGGTTGCTGAGGCTGGAACTGAAGCTGAGTTGGTATGAGAGACGGGGGCAGGGCTATTGTTCTGGCTGGTATATGTGGCATTTGTGGTATTTGTGGTGTTGGCGATATGGTCCACGTCGTCTTGTGCAGTCGCATCCCCGGTGGTGGCAACCGAGGCTGGTGCCGGCACTGTTGGTGACGGTTCCTCGACGCCGGCCGAAGTCATCAACATGTTGCCAAGTGCGCTTACAGCAGACTCCATGCGTGGTTGAGACGGTGTGGATTGGACTGAAGCCAGAAAGAAGATGCTGGCAAAGTAAGACTTGCAGAGAACCTGCCCCCTTTGAAGAGTCTCAGGTCTCGCTCAAATGGGTTTCGAACTCCAGCAAACGGTTGAATTCGTGTGCCCAGAAATCTGCCTTCCCTGCACCCGAGTCCTGGTTTCTCTCGTGGTCAGCAAGCTCGGCAAAGGGGTTGAGCTCTGGTGATTTGTAGAAAAGAGTGCGACGGTCAGGTGACGGGTGGGCTACTGAGATGGGGATGCGATGCTATGCGATGCGATGCTCGTCGACGCGACAAAACGAAAGCTACGCGCGAAAGACACGACCAGCCACGGCCCGACCCCATCGACGAGCTGAGCACTTGAGTGCAGTCTCTGCCAGATGAAGGCGACGGTTGAAGACCAGGGTCGGATTCGAAGTCGCGTCTGGGGGCAGGCAGGGCCCAGTCCCAGTCCCAGTCCCAATTTCGGTGGGCAGTCGCAGTGGACAGTCGCAGGGCAACGCGACGAGATACGATGCAGGCAGGTGCGCTTACCTTTCGCGCCGTCTCTTCTCTTTCCCCTTGACCTCCTGCTCCTCCTTCTTTCCTCGACAGGCAATTGCACCACTTACTGACAATCAACGGCCAAACATGACCCTTGACCATGCAGTCTACTCGATGTGTTGGTCTACCGTGCCGGTGGTGCGTGGGGCTTGCGCTATGTCATGTGCTTGCTGTGTGCCGCGTGCCGCGTATTGCTGGGCGGGCCAAATGCAGAAAGGCTAATCAAGGGTTATCAAAAGAAACGGTGCAAAATGGGGGGAAGGAGGGGTAAGTAGGTAATCAGCCTTTATACCACTACTGTGAAGGGGTTAAAAGTTTGATGGGCAAGTAAAAAAGGCGCTAAACCCCTTGTGCTAAGCCTAAATGAGCAAAGATCAACACAAATCTGCAACCCAAGGCCCCACTCAAGTATATTCCTGCACGACCTGTAATTGGTCCGGGGATAAATAGCATGATCAGAATTTAAAAGACCACAAGTCAAATGAGAATTCCTGAAACCCATGAACAGTTCAGCCTCTTTACTTGCTTATGTTTGCCCATGCGTACATTTAAATTTAATTGACTTGGGTTGCTCCTTTGGACGGTGCTGCTCCCTCTGTCCATGCACCAGTCCGTCAGAATCTTTGATCTGATGCTCCTTCCCACACCCACATCCCACATCCGGGCTTTGGCAGTCAACGAGAGTTTGACTTCTTTACTGGGTGATGCAGCGTCCGCAGTTCGCTCTTCCTGCACGGGGTGGGAGTGGAGCACATAATGTTCACGTGCAGACTTCTTGCTGCAGGCGTAAGTATGCCCAGGTGCTTGCAAGTATGCACGTATTTGCCGTGCGAGAGGCGGCAGCATGAGCAGCGGGCAGGCTCGCGGCACCTGGGCTATGGTTGTCGTTGCGTGCGTTGGATGAACCACTGGGAGCTGACCTATGCGGTAACTTGAGGCACCAGTCATGGCCGTCCAACAGCAGCAGTCGACAAATCTACGTATTCCCGTTGCAGAGGGCGATGGCTTGAGAAGGAGGGTCAAAGTGGTGTGGTTCACCAACTGTTAGTCAAAACAAATGTCAAGGACTGCTTACAGGACAGTCATTTAGCCAAAATGAGGGCGTACCCAGCAGCCAGACTGTTCATCAAACGTATTGGGGCTGGACTGCCGGAAGGGTAAAATTCGAGAGTTTGATAGTGTGTGAGCGGGAGTAGTAGAGAGGGAGATGACCACAACGGTGCCGGCAAGACCGGGGTTCCAACCCCGGATGGATGACCGTGACCGAAGCTAACTCGGTCCGGTGGCGACGGACGACTCGGGAGTGAGTGCTACTCTGGACTGTATGCTGGGTGGAGGGAGCCCGGTCGGTCGATCTCGGGGCAAATAAGTACCTTGGTACCTTTGAATGGCCAGGTGAGCTGATCTTTTTGCAAGGCTGATCTTGTCCAGTCCAGGGTCCAGTCACTCCATTCCGTTCGCGTCAGGTCGGCCACAAGCCACACTTCATGACGTTTTGTTTCCCGCGCCACACGCCACACTGAAAGGAACGTTTGGAGCCAGGGCCCATTTGTTCTCTGGACGATCTTACCTGCCCTGAGATGCTGACATAAAACTTGGATCTTGTGCATGCATATGCCACTATGTACTTTTCAATCATTGAGTAGTGCTGTCAGAAGAGGAACACGCATAGTGACGGACAAGATGCGTCAACTGTCGCCAAGCCAGCCAGGCAGGTGGCAGGTAGCAGGTAGCAGGCAGAACAATCTGGGAGGCTAGTCTCCTTGCGGTAACAATCTGGTTGGTACTTGCCTGCTAAGCCACTGGATCCTTCCCGTCCTGCACGTCAGCCTGGGAGCAGCAGTTGGCAGCAGCAGTTAGCAGGAGGAGCAGTGAACACTGCCTCGACTGGCCGCTGGACGGACGGTCATGATTGTCGCGTTGTGCCTGTTCGGGCCAAAGTAATTTGGCTTTTGCCTTTCAGCTGGCGCGGTCGGGTTGATAATCAATCGGTCTCGCTGCGCCCCAGCCCAACCTTGGCGCCCCATCGCTCATCCTGCCTTGCAGGCATGTCGCGCCCACGTCTTCTGACCCGAGAGCGACAGTGACGAACCTCGGGATACGAATAAATACCTAGACTACTCATTCATCGCTCCCGCCTCTGGTGCGCCATAGCATATCCACATTCACCATCCACCACCCACGGCTCACATTTCTGTAAACCTCTAGTTCTCTCGCATAAATTTCCTGATTACACGGTGAACCCACCTCGATCTCGTGCAACATCAACATCAGCATCAGCATCACCTACCTCGGTACCGGGTAACCAACCCATCCAGCACACCCGCGGCACACGTCATACCATGTCATACGGGTATCCTCCCTACGGACGTAAGCTCTACTCTCTCTGCTCTCATCACAACCAGCACCAGACTAACACCATCACAGAACCGCCTCCCCAGGGCCAATGGGGAGCCCCTCCTCCTCCGCAGGGCGGCTACGGTTACAATGGCTACAACCAGGGACCACCGCCCTCACACTCGCCATACCCTCCTCAAGGCCACTCTCCATATCCGCCCTACGGCCAGCCCCCACCTCACCAGGGCTACGGCGCGCCGCCTCCTGGGCCCCCACCATCTGAGCTCTATGGCTCACCCGCACCTCCTCCCGGCGGCGCACACGCCTACTACCATCAGCAGCCTCCTCCGCCAGGGCCACCGCCTGGCCAGTACGGAGGAGCACCGGCCCAATATGGGGCGCCTCCGCCATCTAGTTTCCCCACGCCGCTTTCCCCCGGCTACGGCCCACCTCAGAGCATCCAGTGGGACGCAAGGCCGACGGCCGACGCGCTGAGAAAGGCCATGAAGGGGTTCGGCACTGATGAGAAGGCTCTGATCCGCGAGCTCGCCGACAAGGACCCCTTCCAGGTCCACGCCATCAACGACGCCTATCAGCGCAACCACCGGCGCAACCTCGTCGCCGACCTCAAGAGTGAAACCTCCTCGTGGTTTGAGTACGGCCTCGTGGCGCTCGCCCGCGGGCCTTTGATGGCGGACGTTCATCTGCTGTACGACGCAATGTCCGGCCCGGGCACCAAGGAGCGTGCCCTGAACGACGTGCTGCTTGGTCGCAGCAACGCCGACATCAACGCTATCAAGGCCGCCTACCGCCAAACCTTCAAGCGGGACCTCGTCGCCGCCGTCAAGGACGACCTCTCCATGAAGACGGAGCGCCACTTCGAGATCGTCCTGAGCGCCCAGCGCGCCGAGGACTCGGCCCCCGTCATCAAGCCCGATATCGACCGCGACGTCGACGCCATCTACAGCGCCACCGAGGGCAAGCTGGGCACGGACGAGATGCGCGTGTGCTCCATCCTGTCGATGCGCAACGACAACCAGATCCGCGCCATCGCCCACGAGTACAAGCTCAAGTACGCGCGCGACCTCGAGACGGTCATCAGGAAGGAGTTCTCGGGCCACATGGAGGACGCCCTGCTGTTCCAGCTGCGCCGCGGCATGGACAATTACATGCACCAGGCCATATTGCTCGAGGACGCCATGGCCGGCGCCGGCACCAAGGACTACCTGCTCGTGTCGCGCGTGGTGCGCTCGCACTGGGACCGCGCCAACATGGCCAACGTCAAGGGCGCCTACGAGAAGCGGTACGGCAAGAGCCTGGCCAGGCGTATCAAGGGGGAGACGAGCGGGGACTACGAGCGCCTGATGATCGCGTGCATCGGGGAGCGCTGATCTGGGGCATACGCAACGGGCTATTCACGGTCCTTTCAATTTACTTCTCCTAAACAACATGTTTTGGGTCTTGGCTTTGGGTTACGGGCTGATGAGACATGATTGATGCGCATCATTATTCCCCCTTTTGTACCTGCATTTCTCTTGCGCCTACGAACCAAACAAGTACTTGGATAAGAATGTTAATACCATTAATCAGACCCACGAGCGGCTTCTCAGATGTGACATACGCCTGCGGTCATCGGGACTGTGAGGAGAGTGAAGAAAGGCAGCAGAGGGTTCGCAACTATGGGAAAGGCACAACAGCAGAGGCATGACTGATGATGGTTACGGTGTGTATGTACGAGTATATTACTAAGGGTGGTAACCTGTGTATCTGACGTTCCTTTCTTCTATGACATGCAAATATGCTAAACATGGACAAGCAAAAAGTGCCCAGGCCAAAGTGCCGCCCGGCGACCCGCAACAACGCTTCCCAGCTCTTGGTGCGGCGTTGACTGAAGGCTCCAAAGGGAGACCATGCAAGCTGAGCCCATCCCGTAGTCTATAGAGTGTTGTTGATCTTCTTATTACACAATTACACATTACACATATAGCATTCTAGATCGTATGCATCTCCCATGCGTCGTGATCATTAGGTTCGTACAAGGGTCGCCAATCCCCATCCGCTGCACCATCTCGTGACGGGGCCCGCCGCCATCGTCCAGCAGAGCGACTAGATGCGGGTGCCGTTCCAAGCTGGGTATGCTGTGTGCCACTGCCCGTTGTCGTATGAGGTCGGGGTCGCGGCCGAGCTGCTCGTCACGAACGTCGAGGGTGTCGGGACCTGGCCGGTGGGTGCATAGGGTGGAGGAGACACGGCGCTTGAGGTTGGGTAGGGAGGTGGCGACGAGGGGGCCGCGTAGGTGGTGCTACTGGCGGCAGATTCCGATGTCGAGCAGGACGAGGAAGATTCCGAGGCGGACGCTGAGGCAGTGACAGAGGTGCTGTCAGTCGAGGTCGAGCTTAGCGAGGAATCGGTCGAGGACGTCAGGGCGGTGGAAGGTGTGGCACTCGGGGTAATCTGCGAGGTGCTTGAGACAGAGCTCGTCGTGGGCACAGCAGAACTCGGCAGTGCGCTGGAGGAGGTCGAAGAGGAGGTAGAGCTCGTTGAGGGTGTCTCGTCGGTCACGGTGTGTGTGGTGACGATGGTGACGGGAGCAGTGGCCGTGACGGTCGTTGGTGACTCGGGCGGCACAACCGAGATGTCTGTCTGGGTGACCGTCTTGGTGGTATCTTTCCCGGTGGCCGTGACGGTGATCTCAGGCGTTGCTGTCGGCGACGACGTGACTGTTTGCACAACCGTGGTGGTGCTTTCCTGTTGTGTTGTCGCTGGGCTGCCACCGTCGATGGGCACTATCGAGTAGCTCGCCCTCGGCCTGAGAGCGTGGAACCTGCCCAGCTGGTGATCTTGTCGATCGGCCACCAGAGGCAGGCATTCTGAAGGACTGTAGAGAGCAGACAGCGCAATGGCAAGGAGCGGCGCAGGCAAGTTGAGCAAACGCATCTTGGAAGTGGAAAACAGTGAAAGGATCGACTTGGAGCTTGGGCCTTGACTTCGAGGCTGACGGAGCGCAGAGGGAAGGCAGACTGTTGATTGTTACTTGACAGAGAGACAGCGAGTGGAGACTAGAAAAAGGAAGAGACGAAACAGAGAGGAACAAACCCATTGTCCAAGGGCTGAGGGCATTGTAGTCCTTATTTGGCGGGCCATACTGCCTGCATGGCCGGGCCTAGCCATTGTTTCGTGGGTGTCATCTGGCGCTGGGTTGTTGGAAAAGACGGTGGTTGGGAGACGCGCATGCAAGGACAGAATTGGACGTGAGGCGGTTCGTGATGGGAGAATCAAGCTTACTCTTACCAGGTGACTGCGGGGGTTCTGGACTTTTTGGAGGGGCTGGGGACTTGGACTGGGGGTAGCTCCCGAGTGTCCCCCAAGGTGCAAAGCCCCACTGTGACGTCGGCAGGGGGGTCCCTCAAGGCACAGGGGTCCTGGCTGGCCCTGACTGGCCCGAGATGGTCAGGTACGTCTTGGTCAGCGGGCCATTCCGAGCACCACCAGCCTCCTCCGTTCCTTGGTCTCGTCTCAACCTGCAGTAGGGCTACTTCTCTGTTCCTGCTCCTGCCCCTTGTACCTAGATCTAGAGAGCGACAAATTATCTCCAGGACACATGCGTGTCTCGTCTCGGTAGTCTTTGCCGTCTCTGTCCCTGCATATGCTGTTTCCTTATCCTGGGCACCTCAAACTCATCCCAAGGCATGTTGACAAGCTTCAGATGTCCAGCCCCGGGTTTGTTGTCCATCGCCGTATATAACTCAGGTCCTATATGGTCTGTGGATGTTTTGTCCCGCTCTTTGGCTTGTCTTTCAACAAGGACATCTGATGGCCCTAAGAATGTGACCGCCGTCTCGCCCAACCCCTCCGCTCTGAACCAGCAGATGGCCATGTCCACACACCTGCCTCTTGACGTGTAACATCAGCAAAGGCTAGAGTAAAGCATCACATGGGCAGAGGCTACACAGAAGCTTTGCCTCTGAACACGAGCTCAACCAGGCACTTCGCCCAACACAACACCAGCCAGTCCATGGTCTCGGACTTGAGACACCATGATCCATACTGTGGGCAGCATCTGCCCAACTTCGGCTGCACTTCTTTCACCCACAAATCGCAGGGATCATGTTGAACGGCTGGCCAGAACGAAAAATGGAACGGTATTATAAAATCATCTCGCTTTGCTCACCCTTAGTTATGCTCCAGCTGTACCATTCCCACCAGGCTCGGGACCGCACATTCATCGCACGCCGCTGGGGACTCCTACAAGTTGTCCAAGATAAGCTGGACCTCGTTCTCTGCATCCTCGATGATGTGCTCCGGAGGGTACTGCGGCTTCCACCCGATCCTGCTGCCGTGCTCAGCAGTAAAAGTGCATCTGGAGGTCGCCATCGTCAGCTTTCAGCTCATGACCGGAAGAACATGTCCAAACTCCCGAATCAAACTTACCGACCGCCGATCTGCACCCCCACAAACTCAGGAGAGCAGCCGAGCGCCTCCCCAATCTGCTCCAGGATACTATGGTTCGCCGGCACCACCGAATCATCGCCAATGATGTTCCTCTTGGCCAGCGCCGACGCCATGGCCGTGTAGAGATCGTCCCAGGCCACGCTCCCGGGGGAGGCGAGGAAGTACCCAGCCTTGCCGTGGCTCAGCTCCTTCCCGGCGAGGATCGTGCGGAGGATGTCGAGATACAGGGTCGTGTTGTCTAGGATGTGACAGACGGGCCACGTCGGGCGCCCCTCGTCGACCTTGTACACCCTCTTCATGGCCTGGGCTGCCTTGACGATGGCCACGGTCTGGATCGAGATGGTGTTGCCGAAGCCCTCGCCCCTTCCGTAGACCATGCATGGCGCGAATATGTAGCTGCGGACGCCATATCTCTCGGCCTCCTCGATGACGGTGTTGTTGGTGCTTACGGCCTGCGGGTACCAAGTCAGCGGGCCTCCACTCCTGGGAGGCGGTCGTTCCTCGAGATCAAGGGGTTGCTCTCGCTCACAGTCTTTATCAGATCGAACGGGGCTGTCTCCACCTGGGTCTTGTGGATCGAGTACAGCGCCGGGTCCGTGTCTAGCAGCGGTGCATCTGTGGGTGCGCCGGCATGGGACGAGAACATCTTGGCTCCGGTCGTCTACTCATGTATCGATTTCGACATCTCGTCAGCCCAGTCCCAGCCAACATGGGTCGGCCCATGGAACCGTTCGTACTCACGTGTAGAAAGTGCACCTCCTGGCCCGTCGCCTTCTTGACCTCCGCCAGCGCCTTTATGAAATTCACCTGGGCCTCGCCCCTGATGGCGTCGATCAGGTAGTACACGATGGTGATCTTGTTGTCCACAACGGCCTTGCGCACGGCAGCCTCACCCCTGGAGTCAAAGGCGAGGGGCTCAGCACCGTACTGCTCGACGGCCTTTGCTTGTGCATCCGTCCGCACGAGCGCGTAGAGCCTGTCGTACGCTGGGAGGTCTGCGCCCTTCCAGCGGGCGAGGAGCGTCCCGCCCAGGTAGCCCGAGGCGCCGGTGATGAGGATCCTGTGTGACGACATGGTTGTGATCACTAGGTTGGGATATTATGAGTTCGTGAGATGCTGTGTGAACTGAAGTGTAAGTACGTGTTTCTGGGGCTTGAAATTCATATAGTGACGAGACTTGGTGCCTTGTTGGCAAGCAGAGCGATGGTGTAAGGAGGAGCTGCCGTGTGTGCCAAAGTGGGGCCATGATTTGCAAGCTGCATGTGGCCGACCGAACGGAGGCCGCTTGAGTGGGATGGCGTCGATACCTCCCAATTCCCCACCTTGTGGCAACATTCTTACCACAAGAACGGACGAACTCTTGGTGATCGATTGGGCCTTTTCTTCTATTTGGGCCCGGGCAGGTGGAGCATATCGAACCAGCTCGCGTTGAATGAATGATGACAAACTTGGGACTGTATATGAACGTATACACCGTCATCTTGTGGGACACTTGGGCCGCGTTTTGAACGAACTCCTGGATCTGGAGCGCGCCAACCCGGAGTGGAGATATTGTAGCTCTCTGATATTTAGTGAGCTCCTCATAGTGGCTCTCACATGTCTCATGGTTCCTGCACAACGCATTACAGTGGCCTCCAGCTGCCACTGTGCTATCAAGCTCGCCGGGTTAGAATCTCAGGGCTCGGCTTCTGTGATCACTCATTCTGATGCTCAACTCATATGCCTACGGCCAGGGTCACCAGTCGAGCATTTCTTGGGCATATCACGATGATTTCGATGCTTCAAGAGGTTGAAGAAGTAGAGATTGTGCTAATTTGATTCCACCACAAGTCATTGTTTGTGATTTCACACAAGGTAGATGCCGCCCTTGCCCTGACCAAGCTTGCCCTCCTGCTTGAGCTTGTCCAGGCCGTCCTTGAACCTCCGCACTATCGCCTTCCCGAACGCCGCAGCCTCCTCTGGCGTCGGCTCTCCAGCGGGAGCCTTCATCTTCCTGCTATCAATCCTCAGCCACGGGATTTCCATCGCCCCGTCGGTGCTCTTCGCCAGCTTGACCACCTCTTCGACGTCTTTGTCCTGGTAAGCACCGCCGATGAGGAGAGCCTGAGGGGGCGATGACCAGTTCCCGCTCCCCAGTGTGCTGGAAGGGTTTGGCGGTACGGTCCCTTTCAGGAGGAAGGGGAGCTCGTCCATGATCGAACTTGCAAATGTGAAGTGGATTACTACACCCGCCTGTGTCAGCCGACTTGAACTTGAACTTCAGAATAGGAATAAGGATCAAGGGAGACCACTCACCCTCGTACTCTGGCTTCATGAGAGCAGTAACCTGGCGCCCAATGGCATCCGTGCGGCCAGTCGTCAGGATGGGAATAGGTGTTTCAGACATGATGGACTTGGCTCTGATTGTGAATCTGCGTAACCTTTCCGATTACTGTTGGGGCTCACAACAAAGATATAGGTAGAGGTTATGTAGGCAACATTCAGAGGATTGTGTCTGAGGCCAGTGCTCTCAGTCCCGAGCACATCCGGGCCGTCATCATTAGTCAGTCAACTGGACTCTGACGCCAAGACCATGCCCTGATGGGAGATGGGATTTCCGTCTTACCCCCAACAGACTTTAGCTCGCCTTTAACTCGGGCTCGCGTTTGGGCTGCGGGTGCGGAGATAACAAAAAATAAACACTTCCAGCGGCGGGATTGGTCAGCGCATCAAATAGCAGCAGCCTCACAAACCACAATTTGGAGAGACCCAAATTTGGCCTTGTAGTCGACGCTGAGAATTGCCATACCATTCAGTGTTGTTTGACTCCGCTTACTTTGGCGTTTCATTGTTGATTCCTGGTCTGGCCGGTGTCTTTCGGGCTTAATGAAAAGCAATTGGCAAGTTGACTGACACTTGAGGGCATGGCATTTAGAAAGAGAGGGAAAGGAAAGAAAGAATTGCAGTTCGTCGAAGTGTTGGGCGAGGGCACAGCAGAAACAGGTGTAATTCTCCTTTCATTATGTCTGCCACATTGGTTGATTTGATGAACAATGGTCAAATGGTCAATCGCAACTAATGTGCAGTGAATTCATGGGCCCATCCTAAGGCCAGGCCGGAGCGTCCTTTTCGACCCGAGGAATGGTCCCAGTGGCCTCGTACTCCGCCACTGCGCCGTCAAGCTTGACCTTCCTCGCCCGCGCCCTCGCCTCGCTCCCGTAGACCCCAGGATCACCACTGATAGCCAGGACCTCATCATTAAACGCCTTTCGATCCGCCGCGATGGGGTGGACAAAATCCCCCTTGTCCTCCTGCGCGACCAGGTACCGAATCCTGGCGTCATCGTGGACCGATCCCCGGTGGTAAAAGTCTGTCAGCGGCTTCATGTCCCTGCACTGCCGCCGGCTGGTGTGGTCGGGGACGGGCTGGGCAAAGTCGTCCATCCAGACGTAGTTGTAGGTGTCGTAGGTGACGTGGCAGGTCAGGTAGTCGAGGATGCTCCAGACGCAGTGCTCGAAGTGGTTCATCTCGGCGGCGCTGGACGTGTTGATGCCGTTGTGCCCGGCGAAGACGACCCGCCGCAGGGCGTCGAGGCAGTGCAGCTGGTGCGTGTGGTCGAAGCGCGTCAGGTACCGCCTGTCGCCGTAGCCCCAGTCGCCCGGGATGCTCACGTGTTTGTCGGGGTCCTTGCCCAGCCGCCGCATGTCATCGGCCGTGATGAGGAACATGTCCTTGATCATGAAGTTGTCGTCCCAGTACTTGTCCGACTCGGCGCTGGGGGCTTGGTGCCACAGCGGAGGGGACGCCTCCTCGCCGCGGGTGGTGGGCGTTTTCGTGTCTTTCTGGAAGGCCATGCGGGCATCGCCGTTCTTGAGTAGGAGGTTCTGGATATCGGCGGGGACTGGAAAAAAAAGTCAACTGTCAGCTGGATTGGATATTCATGTATCCATGGCTGGTGCTTACGAGTCTCGTAGTTGTCAAAGTTCCACACAAGAGGCAGCGTCAGATCTCGCACCATGAAACCGCCAGCAAAGCAGCACGCCATGGAACCAACGACCAGAACTGCAGTCCAGATCTTTCGTGATAAGCTCTTCTTTCGCTCTTGAGATCGACCTCCGTGCGAATACAACAGCGACTCGTCTTCGTCGTTTTCTTCCGATGCTCTCGCCTCAGGCTCCTTGTTGGCGTGCTGGGTTAAAGGGACGACTGGCCTGCCGCGTCGGTCCATGGCTCGTTTCCAAAAGGGCATGGTCGAAGAAGTTGTCACAACAAGCGACCGAGATGTCGATTGACAGTTCGCAAAAAGAAAGAAAAAAACCAAGGAAAGGATGGTTGCATGTGCGACCTCAGGAACCAGTGAAGTGGTGTGTGCACGTCGAACTCCAGGGGCTGACTCTTTGTGTGTGTGGCTGCTATTCAGCACCAAATACGGAAACCTCGAATTGGGTATTTACGTACCTCGCACAATTACGGTGATTATTACGCTTCATTCAATGCCAACGGCAACCCTTTCATCTCACCTGAACCGGTTGTCTCTCATCTCGACTGCAATGGCGCGTGGCCTGCCTTCAATTGGGGGGGGCAATCGTGTTGGCAACCCAGGGGAAACCAGGAATGGCAAGGATGAGCTTGATATGGCGCGGAATTGAAGTCTGAAAGCTTTGATTCTTAGGGCATGCTTGAATGTCTAGGGATTTGCAATGCCAAATTTCAAACGGCAGGTCCAACTTTTCAGTATCAGCTGGTTCTACTGACCAGAATCGTGCAACAAAACACAGCATCATACAGTTCCGCCCACTCATCTCGAGTGGCTCACTGATCTGAGAATTAACCAGAAATTCTCTTGCTTCAAGAGTCCACTGCATCTCTTTTCATGGTATCTTTTGTGGCCGGCGCTGCTCTTCTCATTCTACCGTGCTCAAAGATCGATGCGGTTGCCGAGAAAGCTTGCTGGGGGCCGCTGGACACCCCGGAACATTATGGAACAGGTGCCAAACCAGATTCGAGAGACCTGCGTGGAGAATGGGAAATCATGACACGACAAAATCGAACTCCTGGTGGTGGTCACCCGACTGATCCGGACTCCGGGGCAATGGCTCCGCGTCCACCACGCAAACAACCCAACAAGCAGGCTTTTGCATCCAGTGAAACCCAAACACATCCTACGTGATCCAGGCGAACGCAAGAGACAAACTGATTTCACCTCATATATGTGGATAATGCTAGGATCTTGCTTTGGGTTTGTAGCAACGAGGAACCCAAGCCTATGAGTGTGCCGTTTGATTAACACGTACCACGACCGCAGAGTTTCAATTCGTCAGAGACACGAATCGGATCTACAAACGTAACAAGCTTGGAGAGTGGTAATGCACGTGTAGGCATTGACTGCGATGACCGGGTGCTGAGTGAGCCCAGGCTGCAAAGAGGAGACGCCCAACAAACCACTTTATGTTCTTTATATACGTTGACGCCAGCCCGTCTCGTCACCGGGCCTTCTGAGATTCTGGCTTCGTGCTCCCCTTGGTTTTTGATAAGTCTGTTCAATATCCGGAGAGTCTACTACTTTATGACTTGCTTCAGTTATTTTTGGGCCGCCATGGCTGCTGCTACTAGTGCTTCGGCACAGAGACCTCCCCCACGCACACCAGTCAATGTTCCATTGTCTCAGCTTCTTGACCCAGAAATCCGGTCGCAGTCTCTTCCATTATCTGAGGGGTTCTCATCCATGCCGGCAATGAGACTCGAGGGCTTTAGTGATCCAAGCACAATATGCGGATACATGTCTGGTAAGTGGATTCGCTGATTCATCCGAAAGCAAGTAAGATCCATCAGTTTGACTCGCTGTCGGCCGCAGCCTACCCTTTCGCATGCCTCGATATCCCCTGCGTCAACAGCGGATCGTGGCGCGGCTGCTCCGGGCAGACAGATGAGGGATCGACCACTCAGACCTGGGAAGTGCCAACCAAATGCTATGACCACGGAGCCGCGGCCTGCAACACTGTCACTAACCCACATGGTCAGGAAATCTGCTGGTAAGACCGAGGGCGAGACGATTTTTTTTTGATGAGTCTAATTCGTGCACACAGCGACCAATTGTGGCCAACTTGCGCTACTTTCCTCTACTCGACTACCTCTTCGGAGACGTTTACAATGCTCGACTGCGTTGCTAGTGAATGGGCTCTTTCCGGACCTCTGACCGTGTGTGCTGAACCCGGTTGTGTCCCGCTGACAACCACTGTCTTGTCAACAATAGAGAGTACAAGGTCAGAAACCACAACGGTAACGGCGAGTACAGGCCAGGCAACGGTCACCGTCTCGTCAATAGTGACTATCTCATCAACAGTAGAGATTACGAAGTCAGATACCACAACGATTACGGTCAGTGCAGGGACAGACAGTGCCACGGGTCCAACGTCTTCTCGAGCAGACACGCCGACATCTAGCTCGGACGGGGAGACAGATACCAACTCGTCCCAAGCACACACCCAATTTCCAGAATCAACGTCTTCCTCCATCACAGGCGCAACGGAGCAGCCGTCATCTGGTGCCCCTATTGGCGCGATAGTTGGAGGGTCACTGGGCGGCTTAGGTATTGTTGCAGCAGTCGCTGTGGTACTGGTGTGGTTGTTTTGTGTCAGGCGCAAACGTAGTTGATCCCGTAGAGGTCAACCAGTTCGGACGAGAAGCGGGTAAGAAACCATCAGTGGTGGCGTGGCTCGAGGCTGGAGAAACCTCTCTCAAGCCAAAACTATCTGCTTTGCCAACATTAATAAGCCACGTGCATCATGCCAGCAAGGACCAGCTTCATTGAGATGTAGCTTTCTTGAAATATGACAAGAGCTATCAACAGGGGGTTAATTGGCAGGGGAGACACGGTTGCGATTTTAGTAACACTATGATCTTGATTTGTTTGGTCAAGTCTATTGAGTCCACGAATTATTAGAGCCTGGTCTCTTCCTCAATGCTTGCTATTCTGCTCGTTCATTATGCCCTCCTCGCCGCCACTCTCCTACCTGGTTCCTGTGCCGTCACTCCGCTCTGTTCCTTCCGGTCAGTCTTCCCAATAATCCCCGAGCCACGGAAAGCTACAGCAACCACAAGCAGATTTGCCGCCCCAAGTGCGAAGTCAAACCACTGCGCAGCCTGTAAGCCCTTGAGGGTTGGCTGGTCCCACGTCTTCATCGGGCCCGAGCCGTCGACACTCGTCCCCCTCGCATCTGCCATGACAGCGGTCTGGATCGCCGTTGCTATGGCTAAGCCAATGGCTCGGCCGAACTGACCGACCGCGTTCACCAGCGCACCGCCCATAGCCTGGTCGGCTTGGGGTAGAGAGTGTGATGTGAAGAGCGTCATGCACGGCCATGTGATGTCTGCTCCAAACACGCTGAGCACCATGGCTGGAAGGCCGTAGGCAAAGTATGTCGTCGTCGGCGGTATAGGTGCGGCGAAGAGCAGGCAAGCTACGGCCATGCAGAGGTTGCCGAACATGAGGAGCAAGTACGTCGGTATGATCGCGATGAGCCTCGCGGTGATCGCCGCCGTGAGCACACCAACAACGCCAGTGGGTATATACCGAAGAGTCGTCTGGATCGGGCTCAGACCTTGGAAGTCCTGGAAGTAGTAGGTGGTGTAGATGAGATAGCAGTTGAAACTCGAGAAGAAAAGGGCCATGATGACCATGGCAGCGCTGAACCGCCCGCTCTTGAAGATAGAGACCTTCACCAGGGGCGCTTGTTTCCCCGTCTTCTCCAGATGGTGCTGCCAGAAGACGAACGCAGCGATGATGACGAGGGCCACCACGATAAGCACCGGCACCCAAGGGGTCTTCCAGCCAACCACGTTTCCCTCGGTGAGCGCAAAGAGCATCACCATCAAGCCGACTGTGATCAAGACTGCGCCAATCCAGTCGACAGTTGCCTTCACCTTGACGCCTTGGGCATGCAGCGTGGTCGGCGGAGGAGGAATAACAAAGTAACCAGCGACGGTGACCAGCGCAGCGAGGATGGCGAGAGCCCAGAACACCCATGTCCAATGCGCATAGCTAGCAATCAATCCACCCAGGAGGTTACCAAAGATGCTGCCAAGGGGTGCGCCGGCGGCGTACATAGAAAAGGCATAGTTCTTGGCCTTGCCTGGCGGGAAGGTCGTCCCAAGGATCCCAAGGGCGGTCGGCACATTTGCGGCAGCACCAAGGCCCTGGAACCCGCGGAACAGGTCAAAGGCGATCTCATTCGGTATGACAGGGTTGACAGCCAGCGTGACGGCCACCCAGCCAGAGCCGAGCACGAAGATCTTCCGCTTGCCGTAGATGTCAGCGATCCGGCCCCAGAGGAGCAGGAAGCAGCCGAAGGCGAGGGCGTAGGCTGAGACGACCCACTGCTGTCGAGAGTCCGGGATGCCAATGTCACGGCCGATGGTAGGCAGGATGATCACAACAGCCTGCCCAGAAAGGGTCTGTGTTGGTATTTATTAGTTCAAGCCGTTCAGAATCCTCAAGGCATGAGGCTCTGGGGTGTTGTGAGGATGGACTTGCATTCAAGAAGCTGGCACCAGTGACGGTGGCGACCAATGCGACAGCCCTTGCTTTTGATATCGGACCTCGTGACGACTGCGAAAATGTCCTCTGAATTCGGTCGTGATCCCGGGACTCGTTTTGCTGTCCATCTCCATCTACCGAGCCGTCAACCTCGCCAGTGCCAGAATCATCCGAAGTCGGCTGCTCTCGTGCCAAGCCGTCAAGGTCGGTCTTCTCGATGTCGCTCTGGGCTTTTGCCTCTGGTCTGGACATCCTGCGTAGGGCAGGAGCCGAAAGTTATTTGGCTGCGATCTCACAACTCTAAGGCCGAGATTTACCAAAGGGATCCTAGGAAGACCAGTGCTCGGAGACAAGTTCAAGAAAACATTGAATGCTGACCGTTTCTCCTTACTTTACCCCAGACTCGTCGGGTAAGTTACAATGACCCACTCCGCTTTGCCACAAGCACTCTTAGCTCCGGGAAATGCAGCCCAGCCGCCATGTCGCTGACTCAACAATTCATGGTGTCATGCGGCTTTGAAGTGACCGGCAGCTGTTTTGACGCAAGATACGAAATAGACTAGTTACTATTTCATCCTTCGTGCCTAGGATCGTGGATGCAGTGTCAGGGGCAGTGTTGCAAGCCCGGCCTAAGTGCCGAGGGACGGCCCGGATGTCTCCCAGCACTATATCACCGCCCCTCGATCACCCACACTGGGGAAGATGTGTCCCGTATAGGAAGTTTCCGCCGAAAAGAGCAATGTTCATCATGAGGACTTGGACATACACAACAACTTTCCCACTTTACGATGCGACGTGTCAAACTGCAACGAGAAAGCGTAGTTACAACAGAACGGTTCACACATTACCTCTAAATTACTACTACTGCTAATTCATTCCCATCAAGGTTCCCAATCAAAAATGATCTCGAAGTAGACATAAATCTTGCTCTCTCTCCATGCGTGGGATAGATTTGCTCCGAGACAGTCCTCTGTGGCACACGATGCCTGCCCACCCCGTGTCGTCAACTCCAGGAGACCAATGAACAAGAGTCATTTCATCAGGCATGCAGGCCGCTATGTAACACCGGACACTACGGAAGCGAACACTGATATTGTGACATGTGATAACAATACCAAGGTATTTGAGACCATTCTTCTGTGCCAGCACCCGGAAACAGACTGATACTAGCAGTGGGCTTATTGTCGGATAAACAGCCAGCAAGAGTGGCTCAGCGTTAAATGTATCACGGCGCCCCCCTTCCTGAAGCTAGCTCCTCCTCCTTCCTCCTCTCTGCTACCAGAGGAAACAGTCGCGGAGTGTACTTCGCAGCAAGCTCGAGGGCTGTCTCTCCGCGCGAGGCGATATTCATCGTCTTCGAGTCAGTGCGCGCCCCGCGGCGCAGCAGCTCCTCGGCCAGGTTTTCGGCGCGCCTGACTATGGCACGGTTGAGGCCTGAGCCATAGTCAAAGTCGTTGCCACGGCCGTATCGGTTGTGTGCCCTGTGAACGGCATCAGCAGCATGACACTTCCTGTGAGTCCCCTAACGAGCTATCTGAGCGCCTCTTGGAGTTTTCGTGCCAGAAATGTAATGTAGGGAAAAGAGGAAGAAAAGAAGTAACGGACCACATGGGGGCTTCTGGGTCGGCGCCGTTGTCGAGCAGGTAACGTAGCACCTCCAGGCGCCGCGCGGCAGCGTCGCCCTCAGTTTCACCGTCTTGTGCTGCTGGCGCTGAACACACGAAGGGGACGGCGATAGCGAGAGACGCACCGGCCTCGTGCAGCAGACGCACGGTCGCGAGAGGCCTTACCTGCACGGCCTTCAGGAAAGGGGTGAGCCCGTGGTGTGACTCGGCATTGGGGTCCGCGCCGTGGGCGAGGAGCCACCGGACAATGTCCGTGTCGGCGAGCACGTGGCTGTGCGGACATCAGTAAAATGTACTTGGAATGCGGACTTGTAGGTGGACAAAAAAGCCAGGAAAAGAGAAAAAGCAGGCAAAGAGAAGTATAAGAAACAGACCCTAAAGGTGGTAGAGCCAAGCCCTTGTCGAGCGGTGCATTGATATCAAGACCGTGATTGAGGAACACCTGCCACATGGCTGGTGGGCATTTGCTATGAATAGCCTCGCTTGCCACAAGGTTACACATCTTGACACCTCGACTGAGCAGATAGTCAACCATTTCCGGCCGCTTCTCTCGGATGGCATGGTACAAAGCTGGTTCGAGTGTACTATCCGGGTAACTCTTTGGCCCGCGTGGCGGAGAGGGCTCAGCCATATCCTGCCATCTCGTGACTACCTCCTTAACACCGTCAAGACTATTGTTCGCAACAGCATCGTCCAGTTGCTTCATCAAGGGGTGGTCTGGAAAATATTCGACGCCAGCAACGGGCAAGTCAAATTGGTCACCCTTTCGGAATGGGTGTGGGGTACCACCTGTAGCTGCACCTGCCATGGCACCGGCGCTTCTGAGACTGGGTAATTAGGCGAAAATCAAATGGATGTGAGAAATGTCTATTATCTGAAAATAAGCCAGAAGAGGATATGAACCTGGGAATAAAAACAAGACAGGGGGGACAGATTGAGCGCCTAGGTTACGATGGTCCGGAGATGTCTGCAGACAAGATAACATATCACTCTTGAACAGGCAGAGTCTTTAAGACGGTTAACTCGGCGTGCAGCTATATTTGCAGAATCTTCCAATTTACGACTTATCACTTTGTGTACTGAACTAGGTTCATTTTGACGTCACTAAGTAGGAGTGAGCTGATTCAGCCAACTCTTGGCCACGGCAAGTGAGCATTCCTTCCATCCTGCGAGGCAGAACAAGATGCTGATCGCCCATCGCTCAGTCGTTGGGCAGTTTAAAAATTGGGGCCTATGCTAATTGAGATTTCTGGATCTGTCGTCTATTCTCTGCGTGGTTAACCCATAAATGGTGAAGATCAGTTAGGCTGTACTTTCGTATCAACATACATAACACTTTGAAGGAGTCATCTGGACTGCTATTTCTGTAGTTGTTAAAAAGTGGACCTGAATCACCTGTTGACTTGAGCTGAACGACAGTCGTCAACCTCGGTGGTACCGATGAATGACTACCTGAGGACGGAGCCACAGCCTCGTTGACTTGTCCTAAATTCGTACATTTAAAGTGTGGTTTGTGGTAGATACAATGTGTGCCGCGATCTGTCACCCATTTCATTGGGCTACTGTGCCGCATATTCAGCTGCAAGAGGCAGTGTTGAGTAACAATCAGCTGCAAGGAACACTCGTGTACGTAACATCATCTTTCCATAAGGGCACGATCGTCTTTCCCAGGAGGCTGCTCGAGTAGAATCCGTGGTTCTGCTTACCTGGGCATTGGACCCAACGGCTTGGCGAACATCCAGGTATGAAAAGCTGAAGCTGATCTTATCATGTTCGGAACAACACTTTCTTGTGAGGATGCTTCCATCATGTGGTTTGCTCAGTAATCCTGCAGAATCCTGAAATTTCGCAGACTTTATCATCGAGATCTGCGAATAAGATAGGAAACACATGGGAAAGTCGAGGTTATAAGTACGGCTTCCTCGCTCGTCTTTCTGGTTTTCTGAAGGAGAGGGACAAGGGCAAGGACTCATCAGTATCCTCATTGAGAAGAACCCAACAATTACATCACTACAGAAACAACAACAAACATGCAACTGCTCAAGTCGATCGTCCTGTACGGGCTCCTAGCCCTCGGGGCCTCTGGAGAGCCCATTCCAGGCTGCAAAAGGTAACTACAAAGTTTCTCAGCTTCCAGAGATATCTCAGGCCACTAATAAAAAAAGTAGATCAGGAATTAAAGATGTTGGAGTTGGCGAGACACCAGCCACGCATCTGGAAGCCCGCGCGGATCCCCCAACTAGAAGGACAAATGTCGATATCGGGGAGGCGAGGCGCGAACAGTCCGGGGAAACACTCTTCACCAATGGGCTAGCCAGCTGCATCGCAATCGTGGTCCGAAGCCGGGAGGAGAGAGCCGAGAAGGAGTGGGACAAGATCCTCGCCCACGTGTCCTCGACCATGTGCTCAGATGGCGACACCCCGGACTTGGACACCCAGCTGCAGAACTTGTTCGACCTTGACGACCAGACCGATATACCGAGCCGCCAGGTCTTCGTCCTCCTCAACCGTGACGACGATAACGAGGCCCAGGGGGTTTTCAACAACTATGTCTTGGAAAAGGTTGGCACACACTGGGGTGGGAACCATGTTTTCATGTACCGGGACCCGGCCCATGTCGACGAGCCTGGCGGATCCCGTCTGTGGATCGACGGCACGAGGCAGGTCTATTGGAGCACCTTTGACGACCCTTACATTATCGCCTAGGTTCCCGAGGTCTTGGGGGATGGTAAAGCTTGATGGCTCAGCTGGACTCGGGGTTTTGGATCAATCTCCAGCACTGCGCATTGCAGGCAACTGGTGCCATAACAGAACACGGAGGGATTTTGTAGCTGGATTTCTCTAGTATACATTGATCGAATAGAGAACGCAGCCCCTGCTCTATATCAAGACATGCAAACTATCGTGAAGGTCGGGAAGGGAGGCTGGTGAGCGCGCTTGATGGGATTATCCGCGTGATGGTGAAACACGCCGGTGTCTTCTGGGCTCAATCAGGCAAGTTGAATAACTAAATAGACAACCAAACCAGGCTGTGCCGAAGATTGCGGTACGTTTTTGTTTTGCTTTTGTTAGGTTATATACCCCCGTATTATAATCGTAACTTAGGCATTCATAAAGAATTGAAGTACCACACTAGTATGCAAACTTCGCACTGCATGTTTACTATGAGAAAGAGAACGCATATTCAGTGTGGTGATCGTAATTATTGCCTAGCAGGGGAAACAAGGTCATTCAGTGCCGCTCAAATCAATGACGCTCTACACATTATCTCAGTTGCCGAATAAGGGAGCGAGGCCAATTATTCGTTCTTCTTCCCACCCTACGGGTGCGGAATTGCCGGTGCCTGCGGTCTGGGCCATCTGCGCAAGGAAAGCGCCAGACGAAGGCCAATGAGAGACACCTACATCGTCAGGCATGTAAGCCGCTATGCAACACTGCAATCTGCAGAAGCGCATCCTGATGATATTAGTGCGGTTCCCTAGGAGCGGGGCTTGGCCCGAGGCACCGGGATGGGAACCAGGGCGAACGCATCCCGGAGAGGGTATGGCATTGAAAGACCGGGCTGAGAATGTTATACCAAGTGATTAGACACCTGCTAGACTATGACTTGTTCTTGCCTTCCTTGTCCAACGGCCTAGTATCCGCACCTCCGGAATCATGTCGCCCTACAGCAGCATCATCGTCCTCGTGCTCTGCACTCTGGCTGTCGCGCAAGTCCAGACATACACCCCAGAGGAGGAAATCATCAATTCCGGCCGTCCCACCTTCTATGACCTCACTCCCTCCATTCCAGGGAAGCTCGCACTGGAAGAGCATGTTGGGAACACCCTTTTCTCGGGAACGTTTACAACTCCGTTTGTCAACTACACCAACGAGGTCAACTTCGACCTTCCCGAGTATGTCTCCGACGTGCTGGCGCGGATCACCAACATCGACTCTCGCGTCGCAGCCATGGATGCCGCGAACATCACCAAGACTGTGCTTCTTTACGGCGCGCCGGGCATTCAAGGCGTGTTCAACACTACTTTCGCTGTCGAGGCAGCCAAGTTCGTCAACGATGAAATCGCACGGGTCTACTCTCGCGGTAATTACAGTGACCGGTTCGACTTTTGGTGCAGTAATGCCCTCCAAGATCCGCCCAGCGCGGCGGCAGAACTAGAGCGATGTGTCAAGGAGCTAGGCGGCGTGGGGAGCTTCGTGGGTGGCTACACGAACAACGGCTCAGCAGACAGCGTCGTGTACCTGGACCATCCTAGCAACCGGGTCTTCCTCGAGAAGGTCGTCGAGCTGGACGTACCAATCTACTTGCACCCCCGAACGCCTCCGCCGGGCCAGCAGCTGGTATATGAAGGCTACAACTTCCTTGCGGGATCTGCATGGGGTTTCTCCTCGGAAACAGCAGCACACGCACTACGGCTCATGGTCAGCGGAGTGTTCGATGACTTCCCCACGCTGAAGATCATCCTCGGCCACTGCGGTGAGGGCCTGCCGTTCTTCCTACCTCGGATCAACCAACGAATCAGGCACTTCGTGCACTATTGGGAGGGTAAACAGACACCCCAGTACTACTGGGAAAACAACTTCTATGTGACGACCTCGGGGGTGCAGGACTCAGGAACGCTGCTAGACACCTTGAGGTGGACAGGCGAGGATCGGGTCATGTTTAGCGTGGATTATCCCTTCGAGGATGATACGGAGATTGCGACCTGGTTCGATCGACTGGAGATGAACACGCACACAAAGAAAAAAATGGCATACGAAAATGCGAGGAGGATATTGAGACTAAGCGATTAGCAACACCTAGCCTTCTGTAGGAGAGTGACACCAGAGGTTCAGCTGCCCTCCCTGGTCATATCCATTTGCCCTCTCATCTCAGTTGTTCCTCCACCCCCTGCTGACTCCCCCAATGTACTGAGTGTTGTCGTCCGTGGTTGTGGTTGTGGTTGAGTTCGTGGTGCGAGGTGATGAGACCATGATTTCGTAGCCTTCAGGAAAATTCGGGTTGGTCCGGACGCTACTTGCGAGAGTCGAAGTACATCCTCACGCCCTTGCCGACGCCTCTGGCCAGCCTGCGTCTGAAGCATCGGGGGCAAGTTCCTCCGCCATGGAGGTACTCCTCGCCAACATCGTCACAGTAGCCGTGCCGACGGTAGTAGTTGCACTTCTCTCGGTGCTCAAACCTCGCATGGCCGCAGCGGGTGTACTCGTAGTACCAATCGATACACATCTTGAACGGGTGAGGCGATGCTGTGGTGGAAATCGCTTAGGCTTTTGGTGTCTGGAGTCGGTTGGTTGGTATGCTGGTCGCAGCTGTTGTGTTCTCTTTCAGATGTGTGCTTGAGATCTTGTCTGAATACGATTGGGTATCGGGACAACTTGGATGGACCGTTCGAAGCAAATTATTTTTTTTTTCTTATAAAGCTGCGGTTGCCCATTTTCACTATGGTCACATTGACTGCTGCTAACCTCATGATGGTAACTTCAAGATGCTTAACATCGCAGCGTTGATTCACTCGCGCGGGACAAGAGACTTGACCATGACTCCAGTATCTGAACTTCACTTGAACTTCTGAAAACACTAGTGAAGATGCAACTGCCAAATGCGAGCACATGTTCCAGCAGCAAGTACAGCCGAGTCAAATTGGACCATTGGTGGTCACTGAACCAGCGTCAGTGGTATGTGAGAGGCTACTCATGCACCAGAATGTTATAGATTTAGTAGATGTGTTGATAGGTCTAAATGAATCTTAAACTTACTTGTTGAGTACATTCTCAAATAAAATCTATCACTGTCCTTTTAGGACATGATTGATTAGGAAAGGCGATGTTGATCTCTAATCCCGGACGAGCCTGATCTGGAATGAGATTGAATCAACCATGTGGCAGAACAGCCATAAGTAAAGAGAACAGATATTCACACAGAAAGAAACGAATACTACATAGATACATGCAACGTCTAGCCCACCAGATCACATCTACCAATTCACATCCACAGCCCAATTCACACACCTAATTCTCACACACATAGCCAATTTGCACATCTAAGACCAACTCATATACCCAGGGCTAATTTGCATGCCATTAGGTGTGTAAATCAGGTGTGCAAATTTGGGTGTGGGAATTAGGTGCGAGATGCTCCGATTTGCTGCAGCTTTTGCGCTGGGAAGGCATCTGTTTACCATCCCGTTCTAAGTGAATCAGCAAATAATGATAGGCAACAGGACAGCCAATTGATACTACTTCCACGGGCTTCGAGACAGAAAAAGACGAGTCATGAGTTTGTTGAACATACTATCATGTAGCTTAAGTCTTTTGTGGAGGCTTCACTAGCAATTTTTTCAAGTTTGGTTGCAAATCAAACCCATAAGAAAATTTGAATCTAGTATGCATTAACTTGCCCGCAGAGTGGGAGACAGCAGCAAATATTTAAATAGATGCCCACCTTCTCAAATTAATTTGGACCAGAGTTCCACGGCTGAGTAAGCACATGTATACAAGCAACATCGAGGAAGAGGAAAAGCAGCGCGAGAGGCTGGGATCCAACTTCAGGCCAATTTCTTTTTGACAGTCACCGGAGACAAACAAGAGGTTTCTGGAAATGGGACAGACTGTGGTCCATCATATGCCAGATCGAATTTTACCAAATTCTCACTCGTCGCTGCAGATAACATGACGGCTTGCAAGGTCAGCAATGTACAATGTCGAGGCATGATTTTGTTGCGAACGTCAAAAGCTGTTTTGAGTGTCTGTAATCTTGCTTGGGCCTTCGGTTGAGAATCTGGAGGGTCAGTCACTCTTGGATATGTTCGATGGAACATCTTTGCTCACAGTCCTGGTTCTGGCCACATTTCCAACTGCCCGGAGGCCGAGGGGGGCTTGCAGATTTATAATACGCGTATTACATGAACATATCAGTCGGATCAACGCTAAACTGGCTCATGCAGCGATTGGCTTCGGTGAGGGGTAGGATTATCGATGAAGTGGACCATAGTTGATCCAGACCACCAACTCCACAAAGGGAAGAGTATCCTGATGTGTCCCGAGTGGGCAGTTGTATCCGACGCGGCGGCACCAAAATGCGAGTCTACTGTGGGCAGCAAAAGGCTTGGCCTGGAAAGGGGAGGCCCTTCTTGCTTGTGCCTTTGGATGCCGTGCTTTCAAAGGCCCATGGTGACTGGAAAGGACCTCGGCATTTCAACGCTCGCCTCCTTTCCATGGCTCATTTTGCGGACGGGTGGATTCTCGGCGAGGCGCTCAACTTTCTCAAACAACGCCAACTTCTTTTAATAGCGAGATATTCTGCTATCAGCCCTCAGAAGCTTCGACCCGCCAACGTGGATTTGAGCCTAGATACCAACTAGCCCTGGTACCCGGATGGTTATTGATTTACGTCAAAATACAAGCACCATTATCTGTGGCAACCCGCAGCAAGATGGGACTTCGCAGGGGTAGATCATGTACAGATAAGGGATCAGGCCACTGCTATTATTGGGTCCAGGATGGAGAAGGATGCAGTGCTTTGCAGCACGGCTTGCTCGGTTGTCCGAGCAGGTGGCGGCTTGTTTGACAGAACGAGTCGTGTTGGTTGTTGATCCAATGTTTCGTAACGCCGACCAGGCTGTCGTCACAGACATCAACCTACCGGGAGTGTGGGAGCGTGCAAGTCACTGCGTACAGAGACGATCAAAGTGAGGTCGCGGGAAGCACGGAAGACCGACCACACTGGCGGATTGGTCAGTGACGTTATTCTTGTTTTTAATTGTAATGTTGTATCTGCTGTCAAATTGTATACCTGCGGGAGGCTTTGGTACCAAACCAACTCCACCACGTCAGTACAGCACGAGGCTACATTATTGCTAGAGAGACAGAGACTTTCTTGTCTATTCAATCCTCTCACGCAACCGGGAGATGTGTGTTCTTCGGAGGACACGTCTACCGTACTACTGTGGTAGTACAATGCTGTTGGAGTGGACAGAATTGCTCGCGACGAGGCGACAACCGGGCTGTAAAAGGATCCGGATCCGCCACGAGGCAGTGCGATGCGGACTACTACGGTACCTCACCGCAAGAGGACGAGGCGTGGTGTAGGGGACCCCTGGACGTCACGACAAGGTTCGGGAAGGAATTAGCTAATGAAGACATATGCGAGCAACGGTGCACGAATCGGGGTAGGCTCTGAAACCTGATGCGGCTCCACAAGGCGCCCGAAATTCCCAGAATTGATTGGGATCAGCGGGGACTGAGTAGACTAGCAAGGATCTTAAAGATACGCGTACTATGTCGGCTTTCGTCGGTCCTGCAAATGACCCACAGTCCATGGCCCACGCAGCGCGGTTTTCTCTTTTGGCTTCTTGGTCCGTTCTCGCTCCTGACACTATGGGACTTTTGTGTGCCGTGGGGTTTTTATGCATAATCAGATTCTCAAATCTACACGACAGCTGCACTGGGCCGTGTCGATCCCGGCTGAAGCTTGAGAGAGTAGTAAAAGCGGAACAAAATAAAAACCAAAACCACAACAAACATATAAACAGATAAAGGGCTCCAAGCTGCCGGCCAGCCGATTCCTCGCGGCACTGACACGTGTGCGGGCGATGAGTTCCTGAGTTCCTGAGTTCCTGAGCCTGCACAAGCCGCAGCGCGGGCCAGGGACATGGTCACATCCACCCGCCCACGCGCTCGGAATAGCGGGACAGCAGGGTCTATTCATGTTAAAGTTTGTCCGTCCGCAGCTCAGCTCGCCATCCTTATCACCAAGTGACCGGGCACGCCGCGGTTTTGACGTCAACGGAGCCACGAAAATGTGGACAATTAGGTTTCATACCCCATGGGGCACCGATGCATTTCATTGCACGGTAATCGACGTGGACAGGCCAGGACCCAGGCTTGATTTGAGGACAAGGCTCAGAGATAAACCGGGACCAACCGTCAAAGCGCCGGGAAATGGCCGAGGTTAATGCAGCCTTGTGTTGTGTGTACATGTCCGCCGGCCTCCTGTGTACATGTCGATGCAATACCCACTACAAGCCGGCACGCCGGTAGGTACGTCAGACATGCAGACGAGCCGCCCAGCTGAGGTGGATCCAAGCCACCGGCCAGGCATGCGCTGATGGATCTGTGTATCCGCAATCAAGGTCCAGGGACATCTGTCTCCGGCCGGGGTCACTCCAAAGGGTTGTGGGGGGAAGCCGATTCAGGAATAAAGACGAGATTCCCCAGACTTTTTCTGCTCTTAAACTCAAGCCTAGACTCGCTGTCTGTTCATCCTGTCTGTGACCGACCATCCATGTACCCCGACGACAAATCCATCCAACATGTCTGAGAAGAAAGATATCGCACGAGCACCGCCTTACGACGAGGGCGAGCAGGGCGAACTATACGGTGTGAAGACGAATCCTGCGACCCAGGGCGATGCTGTTTTTGGCGAGGTCTCAGAAGATGGTCCCAACTTCAAAAGTGTATGTGTTCCAACTCTGGACCGCGATTCCCGAGGTATGTTTTGTGTGTGAGGCTGACATTGTATCACTTTATCAGTTAGGATGGATTGGCGCGGCCGGCCTCATGACGAAGGCCTCGATAGGCCTCGGTGTCCTGTCCATTCCCACCGTATTCGACACATTGGGCATAGTACCGGGCATCATCTGCCTGGTCGCGGTAGGGACCATCATAACGTGGTCCGGCTACGTGGTAGGCACCTTCAAGCGTGCCCATCCCGAGGTCTACGGTGTCGACGATGCCGGGGCTCTGATGTTTGGTCGCATCGGACGTGAAGTATTCGGCGCCGCGTTCTGCCTATGTATGTGGATATCACCTCCGTCTCACACGCCTACTGTTCCGCGAGCTCCCTCTGCTTACACAAAGTCACTGCCAGATTGGACCTTCATCGCCGGCTCCGGTATGCTCAGTGTCTCCATCGGCTTGAACGCAGTCTCGAGCCACGCAACATGCACAGCCGTCTTCGTGGTCGTTGGCGCCATCGTGGGCTTCCTCTTCGCCAGCATCCGGACCCTCGGCAAGATGAGTTGGCTCGCCTGGGTCGGCGTCGGCACCATCATCGCTTCGAGTATGTTGCATCCTCGACCCATTGGTCCCGACTTTTGCTGACATCCCCGCCAGTCCTTATCCTCGCTATCGCTGTCGGCGTCCAGGAACGACCTGCTGCTGCACCACAGGAGGGCGTGTGGGTCTCTGACTTCAAGATAACCAACACGCCCGACTTTGCCGGTGCCGTCTCCGCCGTGTCGTCTCTGATCTTCGCCTTCGGCGGCATTCCCGCCTACTTCAACATCCAGGCTGAGATGAGGGACCCGCGTCTTTACACTCGATCGCTGATCCTGTGCCAGTCCACCGTGTCTGCGGTGTATATCACAATCGGTGTCGTGGTGTACTACTACTGCGGGTCTTATGTCGCCTCACCTGCCTTGGGCTCGGCCGGTCACACCATGAAGAAGGTGTGCTATGGTGTCGCCCTCCCTGGATTGTTCGTCTCGACAATCCTCACCACTCACGTAAGTGTGCTCGACCGCGTCTTGGCATCTCAGATGATTGACTGACAGTCGAATAGCTGCCGGCCAAGTACGTTTTCATGCGTGTGCTTCGCGGAAGCAGGCACCTGACCACCAACACCGTGGTCCACTGGGGAACCTGGATTGGATGCACCCTCGGCACGACGGTTGTGGCCTACGTTATCGCCAGTGGTATCCCGGTCTTCGACGGACTCGTCTCCTTGGTCGGGGCCCTTCTTGGCACCCTCATGTCATTCCAGCCCATGGGCTGCATGTGGCTGTACGACAACTGGTCCCAGGGCAAGGCTGAACGCTCAGTCAGGTGGATTCTGATGGTCTGCGTCAGCGTGTTCGTGATCGTGTCAGGGACCTTCCTGATGATTGCTGGCACGTACGGCTCGGCCGTGGGCATCGCCAACACCTACAAGGAGACGGGCGGGTCAGCTGCATGGTCTTGTGCTGATAACTCAAAATCGTGATGGCTACGAAGGCCCACGAAGGTACTACCTAGGCAGAAATTAGTTTCAATGATTTTTCCGACATCTACTTCAATGAAGGCACGTTATATGATTTTATCGCGATTGCACATGTCACCGTTGCACTGTTCATCTGCACGAGTAGGCAAGGAGGCTCGGATGGAGGGGATGAACACGGGTGCCAACTTTGAAAAAGTCGGCAAATCATGGTCGACTTTCTTCTGAGAGCCGGCTCCAGTTGGCACGTCTGTCTGATTGAGACGACGGAATGGACTTATTTAGCCAACACCTGCACATCACTTTCTTTGCCTCCAAACTAGTCATGTCCAATATCTTCCACAGCTGTGGCCAGCTAGTCTCGGTGTGCCAGGTTCTTTTGGTGCAAATTCTCCAGGGAATGCCCTTCAGCTATCCGTCCAGAGGCTTCTCGACTCACTGCTTGGGTCTGAGACAGACAGCAGCTTCAAATTGCTCGACTTGAGCCCTGTTCAGATAGGCAAAGATTTCGTTGGATTGGTATTTTCCAACTTCAAGGCCAATTTTCTTGCTGTCGGAATTAACCCCCAGGTAGGTGAAAGCATCTGTTCGCCCTGTGTTAGCCAACGAAATTGCTCTCTTTCGTGAAACCTGGCCGGTCAGTGTTGTACACCTACCTGTCTTGTAACAGATCTGTTTCTTCTGTTCCTCGCGGACGAGACCAAGTTCCTTGAGCTGGTTGAGAACCCTCGCAACGTCATCCTTGTCGTTGAAGTCGCGCGTGTAGACGCAGACCAGACGCTGACGGTCAGGCTCCTCTCGTGGAGAGATCTTGGCAGCGATGCCTAACTCGCCGTTGGCTGTGGCGCGGGCGACCTTTGCCCACACATCATTACAGTGCTCCGGCGCTGGCCAGATGATCCACTGGTCATGTCAACGTCTAACTAGGCACCGGGAACGCGACCAGAGGTGGCGACCCTGGGAGGACATGGCCACTCGCCTTGCCTTCAGTCACGCCCAGCTGGCCTGCCAACTTCAGTACGTCACCAGTGAACTCCTTGCCCTCCTCCTTGATCTTGGCAGAGATTCTCCCAGTCTTGGTGCGGTTCTTCTCGACAAAGTCTTTGTACTGGTCGAATCTCTTCTGTGCTCGTATGATGAACTCGCCTGTCATTTCGCCCCCACCGACCGCGTCACCATCTGCCTGGCCCGGGGCCTTTCGGTCGGACGGAACGAAAGGGTTCCAGATGTAGATCCATGGACAGTTGAACGTGACTCGTGTGGTGGCAGGTGGCAGACGGGCGAGGAACTGACCCACCGTCTCATCGAGCTGTCGTGCGCTGACCACACCCTCATACCCATTGTGGCCCTTGCTGTGTTGACTCCAGTACTTGCCTACATTGAAAGCATCTGCTTTCTTGTGAAGAGCAGCTACCTCTTGCTCGTTTCTTAGCGGAGGCTCATCTGATCAGCATCATAGGAAACAGGAAGGCAAAGATGAAGTCGCCCCTAGAGCGCGTGCACTCTTGGCACTTACCGTAGAAGTCAGACTCTGAGCCATTGTCCAAATCCATGACTTCAGGCATATTGTGCAAACGCTTCGGTGATCTCGTTAGGGCTGTTGTGGATGCCGAGGTGTGGAAGGACTGGGAAAGAAATGAGTTTGTTTTGCACTACGCAGTACGGCACCAGCACTGGAAGGAAGTGACTTTGGGGTTCACTGAGCCCAACTTGCTGCCTCATATGCCATGTGAACCATGTGCTTCGGGATGTGAGGGTCAGCTGTGGGAAACTCCAGGTGCTTAGTTCAGCCTGGAAATCAAGGCTGGCTGATCTATTTGTAGAGATAGCACCGCATGTGCAAGGCGATAGCCTATGTGTGACTGCGGAGGGAGATGGTAAACAGCCATGGGTGAAAATTGCAAACAAACAACGCGTGCTGCCTACATGTAATACAAATAGGATGACGATGGCATGGAAGAGGCAGGGACGGCACAGCGTAACAATGTACATATTACAAGTTGTTTGCTTGTAGTTGTCTATGGCTTCGGCCTAATCTGTCTGCCTGGTAAACAACTCGAGGTGGAACAAGTACAGGCAGAAGCTATTGCCTTGCGAATGATGTTTCCCGAACCGCTGCATTCTACCTGTCCTTTTTCACAGATTGGATTGTCCATTGACAATAATCTCATCAACAATGGAATCACACTGACATCAAAGGGCGCGAGGAAAGTACAGTAGGGAATTAAGGGAATAAGACCCTGGGACGGAGATGATGTACTAACAGAATAGTGTGAATCTACAATGTGTTTGTGCTAGAGAACTATCAATCGCCGCTTTGACGGACCGCAATGTTACGTAACTCTCTGGGATTGTGTCCGACGTCACCTCCGAGTCCTGAGCTGCGAGGGCCATTCAACGCCTTCAGCTGTTCCCGTCACCGTCGAACGCCGACTGCGTGTCGACGAACATCGCATTGTGAGCGGGACATGGGATGCTCATCATACAACAGGAAAATACGAAATGGCCTACACAATCGCTTTCCACTCGAAGGATCTCCCGAGGCACGCCGGTAAGCACCCCCCGCCTCCACCGCCCCCAGTCACAATCTCCGCCCGGGCGAGAACCCATCACTGACTCTGTGACAGATATGACCTGAATCGACTAGTGTCCCCACTGCTTCGACTCCCCTTCGAATTGCGGCTCCAGATATATGAGCTTGTCCTCGGAGACCGACAGATTCACATCTTCTTCGTGCCCTGGCAGCACAAGCAGCGAATCAAGAATGGCCAAACGTACACGGAGACCATCAAGGGCGGCTTCCGCTATGAGGTCCTTGACAAGAGACAAGACCCCTGGAAAGTGGATCGAAGGGATCTCCGGAAGCTGGCCTCGGCCGCTCCAGACTCGCCCGACAGGGCGCAGATTACCCTGCTGTCCGGCGTCTGCCGCCAGCTGTACCACGAGACGGCACTGCTGCCGCAGCAGATGAACACCTGGTCCTTCGAGACCATGCACGTGATGGAACGGTACATACTGAAAGAGAACAGGATGCCGCTTATGCAGCGGCGGGCCGTCCAGACGCTGTACTGCAAGGAGAGGCTGCCCAAGGTCCTCGAGAAGAAGTTTGGCGGGCTGAAGGCCATCGTCTGGAAAGACGGCAAGAAGCTGCGCTGGCAGGACCTGTCTCTGTTCCCGGAAGTGGGATGGAAAGATCGCCAGGAGCTTCGCGAGCGTTCGTGGCGGTGGTGAACACGGCAGGACGCGCAAACTCCACGGGCTCTCCTGGCGAGATCTTGCTGGTCTCGAGCAGGCTGTTCTTTCTGCTTTCAGAACAAGACTGTCTAAGATTATCAGGGGTCCTGAAAGCCCTCAGGTTGCCGAGCCTGTAGTTATATATTGCTCAATGGTAGGGTTTCTGCATTCGATATAATCAAGTAAAGTGCACGCTGCCTTCGACCTCGACTTCGCCAGCACCGCCATGTGTCATGGTATCTGCTCTGCCGTCAATTCACAACACGGTTACGTCTTCACAGCACGCCTGGCAATTGATCTCTAACACTGCCTAAAGATGACATCGTTTCCCAGCTCCCTGGCACGCCATGTCGTGATTGAATTTGTACACCGGTCCAATATTGGGACAGACAGGTTTTCCAGTGCGGATGACTGCGACTTCTGCTTAACCTACTGCTGTTTGGCCAATGTGTACAGCTCGATTGCCTGAGGCCTAGCTGGAGCACCCATCCGCTTTCCCGAATTTCCGATCCCCTGCCGGGCTTCGCACCGTGATCTAGAAGAAGATTTGCAAAACAAGAATGCCCTCGAATCTTAGTGAAAGACTAGAGGCGTGCTCAAATTCGGAGCGTATGAAGCGTCTCTCACCTGTGCGTGTGTACCAGTACATCGACGCCGGCACACAGTGGCAGATTCGGCAGCCTGAGCCACGCTTTCACTGTCAACGGGGTAGCCATATTGGGTATGTTGCGGGAGAGGGGCAAGGGAACATGATGTCTGCAACTGTGTCAGTAGCTAGACAGATTTCAACACCTAACACAATTCTATTGCTATTTTTCATGGATTGCCGACGAGGAAAGAGGCTCCAACTACAGAAGATCACCCTGTCGGCCCAGACGCTCTGTTGGAGCAAATTTTCTGTCCATATTAGATTGCTCTGTTGAGAAAACGGGGAATGAAGTTGCCCGATTAAGAGTAGGAGAACCTTGCTTAATCTCAACTCTCAACTTCAAGCACACCAGCCACCTGAAGCTACTAGCTAGCCAGCTGGAATGAGAGATTAAAAATTAGGAACCAACTATCCAATCAGTTCAGAAGGTCTGAATTAAAAGAGAGATTTTGAAAAGGACAAGAGAGTGAATTCCTCTCAGCTAAAATTCATGCCCAAGGGTCACGGGAGTAGCCTCCGAATATTCTCAAAGAAAGCACACCCTACTTACAAATACTCTGTCTAGAGAGAAACCCTCTTAACGGGCCATATGTTTGAAATCTACCTTCTACTTAAAACAGACCACCTCGCGTGTTTATTAGAGTGTTGGCAAGCCTGTTGAAGAAGGGTTAATCTGGCGAAGTTTAAACACACTGGCTCTCTGAGCTACGCTTAAAGATATCAAGTCCCCTGCCCCCCCCCCCCGGCAAAGTTGTTACAATACTGATATATCCTTACCGTAATTACCATTCTATCCTGTAGAACCAACATTCTTCATCTGAACATGTGACCCTTGGTAATTTTTGTTCAGCCTGGGAGCGCCATAATCCCAAAGGGAGATAGCCTTGACTTCCACTCCGTGCCTGACACCATAATTGTTCTCAATCCCAGATCTTCTTTCTAGTATGATAGCCATGATACTGCATGTCAATCTACTAAGGTAGACGAGAACGAACACACTGGAGACCCAGCGTTTCATCCCAATGGAAGCAAGATGGGATGCCACTTGTGTCGGGAATCCAGCATCAGGATTGGGTCAGGGAGAACTGTGAGAAATAATGGTGTCTTCAGCGTTTGTAGTGGGAAATAAAGTGGAATACGGGCATAATTCACAAATGCGCAAGTGGACTATCTCTAAGTGACGCAGGTGTCTATTCGATATCATGTCGGTTGAGCGTTTGTTCAGTGGTTCGAGGACTGCCGTTGGGCAACCAGTCCAGACCAGAACGGGACCCGACGCGACTTCAGACCCACAGGGCCATAGGGGCAAAAAATCACTGCGCATATATGAAGTAGGTAGGGGCTTACTGCAGGCACTGGGCGACCTGGAAGTTCGTGAAAATAGGTCCCGCCGGACTGTTGGAAAATCACGTCTAAGCCGAAATTAAATCTTCGTCAACACAAAGATATGGTGCTCAGTCCCGTCACCCAGGACTTCTGCTGCAAAGCGGAATAATCGCATGTATTAAAATCCGGTAGCAACAGCCGTCGCCTCAGGGCAATTTATTCAGCTGGGGGCGGGCTCCTCGATCAATGATTTGAACCGGTGTTCTCACAACACATGATAAGGAAATCAGGAGACGGACACAGCTCAATCGTGAAGGCCATAACCATCTACAACCCAGTCCGGAAACACCAGATATTCTAGTGCCTAAAGACCTTGAGATCTTGTAACGTGGTGGGTACGTTGTTCCGAGTAGTCAGTGAATGCGACAAGGATTAAGGATCTGTTTAAAGTTACCTGCCCCACGGCGTTTGCAACAAGGTTTCTGTAGGGCTGAGGAAGAATAAGCACCACGGCTGGACTGATAAGAAATTTGAATAGGAGCAATTACATTCAGATATATAGTCTGTCTATGAGACAACCAATTGTGTACAGCATTTTTGCATAAACCAGGCAATTGGACGCACAGAACGCAGGCCAAGTGATGCCTCGCCCGCCAGGGTTTAACCCAGAGCAGGCAGCACTGCCAGCACGAGCACGACATACCTGCAGCTCCACTCCACACCACATTGGCTCTGAGACCGAGTCACCGTTGGAGAGGGCACCTCCACAGTCAGAATCAAGGAAAACATCCCAGACACATGACGATCCTGTGCGGCCAAGAGCTGAGACACTGGCCGGCCTTGGGCATTAGGCGTTGTTGGATAAGTGCGTGTGTGCCCCCGGCTATTCTCCCTGCTAGTTGTGTAGGAGACGGTGAAGGTGAGCAGGGCCCATGAGCCGCGGATGACCTTGCTAGCGCGATGAATTGACAGCTTCTCTGGGTCTGGCTTGGGATTTCGAGCAGTTGTTGATCCGAATTTGGAGGGTGGCCCCCCAATTTGTCTCGGTCCCAAACCGACCGTCTGGCTCCAGACCTGTCCCTCTTGGGGCCCTGTTTTTTTTCTTCGACGGTAGGCGCCTGCATTATTGCTTGTGGCTTACGGGCCACCGTTTCTCGTGTGTGTGTGTGTGTGTGTGTGTGTGTGTGTGTGTTGTGTCCACCGCCGCCCCGTAGATCAGCCCGTCCCAGCCCATTTCAGCCCCGTGCAGCCAGTCATCAGTCCCAGCGCGTGCTCGAGGTCGAGGTCCAAGGTCCAAGGTGGGCCGGGCACCGACCACGCGACGACCCCCGTCCGCGCCTACCGTCGACCGTCTGCCGTCCACCGACGTCACTGGCGCCTCACACAATCTTTGATCGGGGCTGGGCGCTGCCTGCCTCCTGCCCGCTCTACTCACCCACTCCTACTTGCTCTACTCACACTCCCCCAACCCACAACTCTTCGCCCAATTCCGCTCGCAGGCAGAAGCAACCCAGGTCAATCCACCCCCCAAATACCTGGGAGGATAGGATTGCATGGAATGCATGAGCATGCACCCGCTGACAAAGCCGTGTGCCAGCTAACCCAACCCACTCTCTTGCGTCGCGAGCCAGATACTGACCCTGATCTGATCTGATCTGATCTGGTCCCTGACCGAGATCCAGCCAGCCTGCGTGCTTGTGTCCCGTCCCCTGCCCCGGCCTGACTCCGATCCGGCGTGTCGTGTGTCCAAAGGAGGCCCGACCAGCGCGACGCTGGCTCTGTTAGGAGGCAGCGGGCGCGCGTTCGTCCACTCCAGGCCCCAGTCCCATGGACGCAGCCGGAGGCGGTGACATCAAGGGCAGCAGGAGCAGGAGCAGCAGCATTGTTGATGCAGTCATCGACCAGATGGACGGGCTCGATGCCTTGGGCATCAGGGAAGTCCTCGACGCCGACTCGCGCCCGACCTTCATCATCGACCTGGACCCGGACCAGCCCTCGCGCAGTGTCAGCACCTGCATCGCCCCCGTCTTCTGCAATGCCGCCCTGCGATCTCATGACCGCCTGCTGGACGCCGTCCTGGGGCGTGACAACCCCGGCGTCCCGGCAGAAGCCACGGCCACGTCTGCATCCCCAGCTGCAGCTCCCACTCCCACCCCAGCCTCAGCCTCCATCGCCGCCTCGGCCGCGGGCTCGGCCCTGTCTGGCCTCGACCCAGCCCATCATGGACCGGATCCGGGTGGGAGCCGCTCGCTGGGGCCCAGCCACGAGGTCTTCAAGCGATGGGTGACTGGCGTCACCACCCACGATGACTCCAAGGACGTCTTCCCCCTCTCTTTCATGTACCATGAGATGCTATGGACCGGATCCACCGTGCGGAAAAGGTGGCGCATCATCAGCGGGAACCGTCTGTGGCGCGCCGACGTCCCTGTGGTTGACCTCGCCTCTGGTGCGCCCCTCGAGGTTGCCACGGGTGGCTCGCGCGCAAGCCAGGCCACCAAGAAGACCCCGGAGACCCCGGAGACCCCCGGCGCGAGCTATGAGTCCGTCGCCCATGCCTCCGGTGCGCCCAACGTGGTGTCTTCTTCCTCGCCTTCCGGGCCCCTCACCTCCTCCGACCCCGTCTTCTACCCGAGGACGTCCGCCAATGGCTCGGTCCTCACCGGCGCATCGACCAAGAACATAGCCATCGACCTCTCCGCCCTGCCTGAGAGGGCCACCATCGACTGGACGGTGCCCAACCCGGAAGGCCAGATATCTCAGCATCTCGAGTATGTGCGCGCAGTCGACTGGGGCGCCACCTCCCTGGGCCCAATGGCTTCCTGGTCGGCAGAGTTTCGCCAGATCGCCAACCTCGTCATGACTAACCCCCACCCGGCCGCCCTGTTCTGGGGCAGCAAGCTGACCGTCATCTACAACGAGGCCTACGCCAACGAGGTCGCTGGGAACAAACACGTATGTAATTATCGTATCATCCGCTGTCGCTGATGATGCCCGTCTCTGACCCAATAGCAGCCGACTCTCATGGGGACCGACTTTGCGGATTTCTTCGCCGAGATCTGGGACTACTGCGGCCCTCTGTTTGAGGAGAGCGGCCGGACAGGGATCAGCATCCGCAAGGACAACGACCCCATCTCCATCTACCGCCACGGGATGCTGGAGGAGACGTACTACTCATGGACCTACGTCCCCATCTACTCATCCTCGAACCGGGAGCTGCTCGGCTTCTACAACGGGCCTTTCCAGACCACCAGCCTTGTTCTGAACCAACGCCGCATGCGGACGGTAAATAAGATCGGCGAGCGCACCGGATATGCAAAGACCATCAAGCAGTTCTGGAAGTTTGTGCTGGAGGGAGTCGAGGACAACCCCTGGGACGTGCCGTTTGCCCTGCTCTACTCCGTCGGCGAGGACAATGACGACGAACACTCGTCTACCGCCTCCGAGTTGTCTATTTCCCTCAAGTCATGCCACTTTGAAGGGGCCCTGGGCGTCCCCGACGGACATGTCGCGGCACCACAGCAGCTCGACCTGAGACGCAGTCTTGAGGGCTTCGTGCCGTCGTTCCGGGAGGCGATGCGGACTAGGGAGCCCACCCTCCTCCGTGTCAGGGACGGTACCCTGCCAGAAGCCCTGCTTGAGGGCATCGAGTGGCGAGGGTTTGGGGACCCATGCAAGGAAGCAATCATCTTCCCAGTGCGCCCCACGAATGCAGACACTGTGCTCGCCTTCCTCGTCTTGGGCGTCAACCCGCGCAGGCCGTACGATCACGAGTACCAGGCCTTTGCCACCATGTTCAACCGACAACTCGCAACCTCTCTGGCCTCGACAATCCTGTTTGAGGAGGAGACCCGTCGCAGCAGAGACGCCGTCGAGGCCGCGCAGCTAGAAAGGGTAAGGTTGACGCAGCAACTGGACCTCCAGGCCAGTAGACTGCGCCGTATGACAGAGCTGTCGCCTCTGGGCATGTTCCTGATATCTCCAGAAGGCGTCCTACGGGAGGCAAATGACAGGTTCTTCGAGATGACTGGCCACACCAGAGACTCACAGTATGAAATGTCATGGATGGATTTCATCATGCCCAGCAGCACGCGGACCATGGAGGATGGCTGGCACCGGCTCGTGAATGAGCACCGCCCATGGTCGGGGGAGCTGCAGCTGAAGATCCGTATAGCAAAGCCCCTCAACCTCCAAGGTGAGGCGATCGACTACTGGTGCATGTTCACTGCACAGCCCGAGATAGCGCCGGATGGATCTCTCCGGTCCGTGATGGGGTCCATCACCGACATATCCCATATGAAGTGGGCACAGGGGCTACAGGAGCATCAGCTCCGCGAGGCCGAGGAGACGCGCAGGCAGCAGAACGAGTTCATCGACATCACCTCGCACGAAATGCGGAACCCACTGAGTGCCATATTGCAGTGCGCAGACGACATCACCGCCGCGCTGAGCGAGTGCCGCAAGAAGTCCATCGACCTGACAAAGGACGCACTCGAGGCCTGTCTGGAATCAGCACAGACAATCTCCCTGTGCGTCCAGCACCAAAAGTCCATCGTGGACGACATCCTCACCATCTCGAAGCTCGACTCCAACCTCCTCCTCATCACCCCGGTGGTCACCCAGCCAAAGCAGATCCTGAACCGCGCCATCAAGATGTTTGAATCCGAGCTGCAGGCAAAGGACATCAAGGCGCAGCTCGAGACCACCTCGTCCTACACTGAGCTGGGCGTCGACTGGGTGATGGTCGACCCGAGCAGGGTGTTGCAGATCTTGATCAACCTCTTGACCAATGCCATCAAGTTCACAGCCCCATCCAAGACCCGGCTCCTCACCGTCGCTGTTGGCGCATCTCTGGAGCCACCCGCCTTGGAACATATCCCTGGCTTCCAATACGTCCCAGTCAATACCAGAACCCCAGTCGCAGCACACGAGGACTGGGGCAAGGGGGAGCTGCTCTACATCAGATTCAAGGTCCAGGACACGGGCTGCGGCCTCACTGCGGAGGAGAAGCAGATGCTCTTCCAGAGGTTCAAGCAGGCCTCGCCTAGGACACATGCGCAGTACGGGGGCAGCGGCCTGGGGCTCTTCATCTCCAAAAGGCTGTCCGAACTCCATGGCGGTCAGATCGGTGTGTCGTCCAGTGCTGGCTCCGGCAGCCTCTTCAGCTTCTACGTCCAGGCGAGGAGGGCGGAGCCGCCGCCCAGTGAGGACCAGGACCAGAAGCTCCCCATCGAGCGCCACATGAGCGGTGACACCACCCTGCGCCAACGGCTCACACCCCAACGCCAGGATCTAGCGTCCGCCGGTGGCCCAGCTGCCAACCTGGTAGCGACGAAAGCGAAGCGGACGATAGATCCGAAGACGGTGCATATCCTCGTCGTGGAGGACAACCTGATCAACCAGCGCGTGCTGGCCAACCAGCTCAAGAAGATCGGGTGCACGGTCAACCTTGCCAACGACGGTGTCGAGGCGCTGGTGTTCCTCGAGAATACTCGATTGTACAGGTCGAGCTCTGGAGTGGGAAGTGTCCCCCTGGATGTTGTATTGATGGATTTGGAAATGCCACGCATGGATGGTATGAGACCTTCTTCCCCTTGAGCGCCGCCGTGGTTGCACGCGCGTGCACCAAGCGAACATCTTAAACAAGTCGCTGTCCAGGATCCCAGCTAACATTGGTGTCCTCGACCACAGGTCTCACGTGCGTGAGAGAGATCCGCAAGAAGGAGGAGGAGGGCGAGATCGTGAAGCACGTGCCGGTGATCGCTGTCACGGCCAACGTGCGGGACCAGCAGGTGGCGACGGCCAGGGAGAGCGGTATGGACGACGTGCTGTCGAAGCCGTTCAGGATACCGGACCTGCTGAAGAAGGTCGAGGTGCTGTTGCTGGCCGAGACGGCCCAGGCTGAGGCACACATCCCTTGACATGTGTGTGTGCATGTGCATGTGCGTGCATTTAGAAGTAGGAACATTAAACAGTGCGATCTATAGATGGGACAGATACTTGGTCGCATGTAGGTTTGGGCAAGTCATCGTCGAACCAGGGACGAGGCAGGGATGTCAGGGTGGAAATGATTTCTTAGGTAATATGTGCCATGATATATCAATACCCATTTGATTGTTTATCACCGCTTGGTCTGTCTGTCTTATGGACAATTCAACGGCGTCTGGGCGCTCTTGCCTTGCCGCGGCATGGCCAATGCCTCGACAGCCGCTGCGCCAGCCCTAACCCCGCAAGTGAATGCACCCGTCTGGGAACTACGCTCGTCACTCCCATGGGTGACTTCAGGATATACTCCCCCCCCCCATAACTTCACTCATCTCGAACCAGCACACCAATGCATAAATAGAATATTCATCCCCGTTTCATTTTTGGATTCAAATTTTCTTCCGCTTGTCATCTTTTCTCTTCGGACAATCCATATCCGACACTCCCATAACAATGATGGTCTCCATGCGCGGTTGGGGCCCGGTGCCAAAGCCATTCTCGACGCCCGCCAGCCCCCAGCACCAGTCGCCCCTGTTTGCGACATTGCCCGTCGAGATCCGCCGCCACATCTACATGCAGCTCTGGCTGGACTGCGGCCTGACGCAGCACATCCTGGTCCTCGCCCCAAAGTCGTACCTCCAGAGCTTCCCGTGTGTTCTGAGTCGAGAGGAGCTCGACCGGGAGCCCGGCCCTCCTCCTCGTCCTCCTCCTCCTCCTGCTGACGTGGCTGATGATTCCGACCCGAATGACGAGGATGGTGAAGCAGACCAGTCGCAACCATACGACGACCCGGGGGATATCAACGGCGCGCTCCAGGACCTGAGCGCCGGTGACGCCACGCAGCCGCCCGACACCCCGTGGTGCGTGCACCTCGCGTGCTTCCGGCGCTGGTCCCGGAAGTGGGACCACTCCTTCTCGAGCATGTACACGGCCTGCTACAGGCGCGACCACCGGGGCTGGCGCGACCTGGCGGGCAGCCCGGTCCTCACCGCATTCCTGGTGTGCAGGCGGGTGCACGCCGAGGCGAGCGAGTCGCTCTTCTCGAGCGTGCGGTTTTCATTCACCAGCTTGACTGCCATGAGGGTGTTCGTGAGCCAGGTTCCGCGGTCGCTGGTGGCGAGGGTCCGGTTCGCTGATGTATGTTGTCTCCTCGGCCGGACCCATTGTGCTGTTGCCCTGAACCCCCTGTGGTTTCTGATGCTTCAAGACGTCAAATACTGACATGAACCTTTGTAGATCGTGGCCGCCGACCTCGGGTTCCTATCCGATATGGCCGGTGGCACTGTCGACGACCGCACGCCTGCCCAGCAGGTGTACGAGACACTGAGAGAGTCGTTCCCAAGCCTCCGAGGTGAGTCTGCATGCAAAGCGTCCCATTCACAGGGAAGCCAAATCGCATCGCAGCACACAAACACAAACACAAATCCGACCAGGTGGCTAACCGACCGCACCGCCTCAACCCCACAGAGCTCCGCGTAACCCTGCACCCCAGCCGCCTCGGCGAGGTCATCCCCGGGCCGCACGCCCTCGAGCCCCTGCACGCCCTGGCGCATGAGATGGGCAGCAGCCTGCGCAGGTTCGAGGTCTTCCTCCCGGCCAGGTGCGACGGTGTCGGCAGCAGCAGCAGCGAGCTCTGCTACGGCGAGGCGCCGCCGTCGCTGCGGGGCGCGCCGTTCACGGTCAGGCTTGTGCCCCCCGGCTGGCATGAGGCTGACGACTGCGAGCCGTTTGAGTGCCCGGTCGGGTCTTTGCAGGGTTAGGTCGTTGGTGCAGTGGGACGAGGACAGCAAGGGGCATGGATTCCTGTAGGGATTCGTTCTAGCAGTCCGGGGTTCACGATGGCCCTTCAACTACTGGCTGCACTGTCATGTGTGCTACGCTGGGTGGAGGTATGGTGCTCCATTTCGACGTGGCCTGGGTCGCTGGTAGTATTCCGCATAGAACGGTTGGTTCCGACTCATGCTGAATCTCATGGGGAGGCGCAAGGAGATGGAAGCAACAGAGGGGCATATCAGTCTCTGCCGTCTGTAGTACACCTTCATCTCTCGGCGCGTGTGCTGCCGAAAAGAGGCTAGATGGCGGCGGGTGAGCTTGCGAGCGCAAGATATTTGGACCGATAGGATGAAAAGGATCTTTTTCTCGATCTGGCAAATTCCAAGAAGTGTGCTAGGTACACGTGGTCTTCATTATTTCCCAAGACATCTGGAGAGCATGAGCATGAGAACTTCCCAGGCTTGTGACATCCAGCTCCGTGCCCAACACCGCGATTGCATTGATCAAGGAATGGGCGGGCTTCTAAATGGGATGCCTCGATTTCACGACTTATGTTTTTTCCCGGGAAATCGTGCATACTCCCTATTTGATAAAACAAGAACGTGCCGTACTAGCCCATGGGGACTGGCGTCGACAACAAGCAGCCACGTATCCCGTTACTCTGGCACTGGTGTACCAAAGCCTCACATGTCCAACTGAGTCTTTGCAAGCGATGTTTTACCCCTCTTTCCAGCACTTGAAATAAGAGTAAGCACTTCTGAGTTCTTCTCCCAAGTTGAAATCCTTCCAGGTTGGAAGGCAGCAGCAACGCTCAAATGGGCACCCGGATCTGGCTTATGACCAACTGTAGTTGCTTTCTTCATGATCATACCTCAAATCTTTTGCGTCATGGTATCTAGGACTCGGAGTATCAAGAATGGTGGGCATCGTGCTTCAACTCCAAAGACTGGTGGGGGTTGCTAGAGAGAGTACCTAAGTAAGTAGGGTACCTACCTAGTATTTGTCCCCCCCCTCCCCTTCCCCCATCATGTGCCAACCCTGACCGACTGTCCATCCCTCCCCTCTGCAGTCAGGTTGGTGTAACAGTGTTTCAGGGGCGAACAGGCACCTAAATTGGCGCCTGTTCGGCCAGGCATTGCACTGCATTGACGTCTCACCTCATCAGGGTCCGCACTTATCATCCATCAAGATCCATCCCACCTCATTCCTATTATATCTTCTGTCTCGTTTTCCCCATCGATTCACCAGGAACAATCACACCGAGCACTAGACTCCATCAACAAGACTGTTCATGGCGAGGATAGCCAACCCCCCGAGGAGCTTTGAACGGCTACACCACGTCCGGGCCCGTCTGCGCAAGGCATCGTGCTTGACGGCTGACGCCCACGACGATGTGAGCCAGGACGAGGACAGCGGTGGTTACAGTGACGATGAGCAAAGACGTGCACACCCGTTCGCCCCAGGCCAGTCGCCAGCACCCACAGGAGACGCTCAAGGCGCATCGCCGCCTTCATCAACGCCGGCAGCACCTCAGGCAGTCCCCGTCCAAGAGGCCGACCCCCAGGCCCAATCCGCCTTTTTCAACCGCCTCCCACCGGAGGTCCGCCGGATGGTCTACACCCACGTCTGGAGGCTGTCCAACCCCACCCTGGCCCTGCACATCCACGCCGCCTGCGACGGGGCCCGGCTGACGCACACCCCGTGCTGCACCACCCCGTCGCCGCCGGGCTTGATGTCGGTGGAGGAGGCAGGGGAGGCAGAAGAAGACGACCCCATGAGGACGGACCCGTGGCCCGGGTGGCGGGGCAGGAACCAGCCGCCGCGGTGGTTCTGGCACGCCTGGGGCCTGCGCATGCGCTGGGGCTCGCCGCACTGGAAGTGCCAGGCCGAGGAGATGCTCTCGTGGAGGGCGAGGGCGGACGGGACGTGTGCGGACGAGCGGGGCTTGGGGTCGAGCGGCTACCTGCCCGTGTTCCTGACCAGCCGGAGGGTGTAAGTCGGATTCTCATTACATCTCATACGTGATCGATCACTCCTCATGGTTATGATCCATCAGTGTGGCCCTCGTGTCTGTCTGCTTGCATCTGCTGACCCCGAGCCCAGATACGCCGAGGCGATCGAGTCGTTCCTCGAGTCGACTACGCTGATATTCACCGCCTCGGAGGACGCCTACCGCTTCTTCGTGCAGCACCCACACCGCCACCGCGCGCGGGTCCGCAGCGTGCAGCTCGCCTTCACCCACTTCAAGGACCACCTGTTCCTGCAGCGCATCGAGCCCAGGCACCCGCGCCTGCCCGACAGCCAGCTCGGCGTTCCCGTGTCGTGGGGGGTGTGACGCCGCTGATGCGCTGCGTCCGGGAGGGCCTGCCCGAGCTGCGCCGGCTGACGGTGCACCTCAGCGCCGCGGCCGCCCCGACCGCGCGGGAGGAGGTGTTCCTGGACGTGCTGAGGGAGTGGGCGGCCGAGGGGTACGGCACGGTCGAGGAGAGGGCGGGAGGGTTGGTATACACCGAGACGGGGCGGCTGCGCTGACATGGGTACGGGCAGGGAAGTAGATGGGACTAGATGGGCCGGAATCAAATGCTGGCGTCGCCTATCATGTGGTCTATCAGCTTGAAGCTTATCAAACCATGTCCTCCCGCTGACTCTACTTCATAACCTGCGGCTCCCTCAACATCCCAAGATGGTGATGCACGCCCTCCTTGCCATGTGCAGCCAGGTCAATAGTGAACCCTCCCACCTTGGCGAACCCCAGCCGCTCGTACAGAGGCCACGCCCTGCCGTCCTCGTCGCCCGACGTGTCCAGGAAGACCGGCGCGCCCTCGCGGTCCGGGTACTCGGCCAGGGCCCTGCGCAGCAGCATGGTCGCGATGCCCCTCCCCTGGTAGGCCTGCAGGGTACCGACGTTGTCGAGGAAAAAGTAGCGGCAGGCCCTGCCCGCAAGGACCTGCTCGCGCATGCGGTCCAGCTTCTCCCACATCTCGACGAGGACGGCTCCGTTGAGGCCTGGCATGAGGAGGGCGTGGTACTTTGCGTTTTGCTGCTTGATCTCCTGTGCGCGGGATACCACTCAGCCTCTCACTTTACTCACTTGCACCGAAGGGTCTTCTCTGCCCCGCCCTATGCCTTGCCTGGTTGCCACATGTGCGATGCTTACCTCGTCCGTCATGGGGGCCAGGGCGGGCCGCGCGGCGAGGTTGACGTAGCTGACGACCCTGCGGTCCGGGTGGTCCTCGTCGCGGGCGAGGAAGAGCACCTCGTCCGGGTCCCGGAGGCTCTCGGCGAACATGTCCTCCAGCCCGGCGTTGAACACCGAAGGGTCGACGGTGCCGTGGGTGAGGCGGTTCCAGGCCGTGGCCGGTCTATCCTGGTAGATGTCGGCGATGGCCTTTGCATCTGACGGGGATGCCTTCTCGATTGTGAAGGGCATCATGGATTAGTTCGGGGGCGCGGGCCCTTGGATGGGGTCTGGCCCAGATGCTGCTGTTGGTTATCCGTGATGGAAGAATTGACTGGGACGGTGTTGGACCTTGCTTGCTTGCTTGCTGCAGGGCTGCATGAGCAAGCGGCGCCGGCGCAGGACGTGGAGAGGCCTGATTGCTTCACGGTGAGTCCTCGCCGTGTACCCGCGACGCGCGATCCTCCTCAGTCCCGAATCGGCATGGCGTGAGATCCTACGGTCCTGTAGTACCGGCATCTACAGGGGCTCGACCGCGTGCCCACTCCGGCCGACTCAGCTCGAGCCTAGTTGTGTGAAGCAGCAGCAGCAGCAGCAGCAGTGCTCGCAACATTTCCTCAGGCATAAGAAGGGGCGGAAATATCCAAGGGAGAGGGAGATGGGGGCGGCTCTCTGAACGGATGACTGGACCTCATGTCACGAGGACATAATCCGACGCCGGTCAAGTCGAGGACAGCTCGGATGAGCTGAGTAACATCCCGAGACCGGCCACCGTAGTGTCGAGTAGCAACCCGAGCGTAGCCCACCTTTCAGCTATATTACCTACCTAGGCTACCTGTCTGGCCTGACTGGACTAATGGACAGGGCGGCTTGTCAGAAAGTTGTTGGGCCGGCGCCGAGCCAGTCGAGTGGTTCGATCGGGCCGGGGGAAGCGACGCGAGGCATGGAACTTGAGAAAGCTTCACCGGATGGATACCGCTACCGACCCGTCTGGCTGGTCGTGATCGCGATGGATGGACACTGAGATCTCGCTTGGCCTTGGTCTCGTAGATGTCAGTTCTGTGTCTATTTACGGTCTAGCGAGCCAGGGTTTAGGGCCATGCACGGCTGCCTGTCTATGAAAAGAGACATAGAGACATTAGTCTATAGATGCACCGGCAGGACAGCCGACCGGATGCCCAAAGTTTGCTTGCCACCTTTGGTGTGCTGGCTATTGACCAGACGTCTGGTCTACACAAATCGACAGATCCTGGGGCAATGCTGCTAGCATTCGACGAGATCAACGGCTACGGACAGGCATTGTTGCTTGGCGAACGTGGTTTCTGCAGGCTGGAGCTTGTCGTCTTCTTTCTTTCTTCTGGGGACCGACAGGGGGTTGATTTGACTTCATGAGCCCCTCCCTCATGTGGTGTCAGGATGTTTGAACTTTGACCTCGATAGTACGGAAACTACTCAAATACCAACTACCTAGACAGGTAGGGAGGCTTGTGATCTTGGATCTTCTGGTGATCATTGCAATTGAGCGAGTACGTGAGTGGGCGATGGCCTGACACGAGACACTGTTGTCTGCAACAAAAAGATGGACATGAAGGAAGGAGGGAGGGCCTGGATCTCCGGAGGGTGTGTCCCGTTAGTGCATGTGTCGCCCATTTCGGCAAGAACCGATGGGTCCAGGACAGGGGTGCTGGCAGGGGTGGCTAGGCGAGCGGGCTGGTTGGTTAGTCAGTTCGAGTCGAAGACTCGGAAAGTCGACAACTCGAGGAAGGAGTCGTCCCCAGTGTTTCCCGTTATACCCGTCCCGTCTCCAATTTCCATTCCCCATCCCCCACTGCGGGATCTGACTCTGTCCCCCATGGGCAGCTTATCGGGTGGTGTGTGCACGTACCTGCCGTGCTACTGTGGTACACTCAATCCCATCATGGAAAATCCATGGGCCATTGATGGGCTGTGGACACTGGCAGCAGCGACTTCCCTTTGCAGCCTGACTGCCACTGCCTGGAGTGACGAGTGCACATGGAGTAGATGCAGGCTGTCAAGGAGCGTGGGCAACTCGAAGCTCAAACTCGACCCAACAACCCCCTGACCTGTTCAACATCACTCACCCCTTACTTCAAGATTGTCACCCCATTCTCCGTCCCTTCACCGACAGGGGCCCATCGCGAAAGTGCTCAGACCGTACCCGACATCCCGGCGCCCCGTCTCCAAGATGCGCCGCCATCGCAAGCGCCACACGGAGGCTGCCACGCTGCCAGGGCCCTGATCACACTCGTGTCCCGGCTGTCTGGTAACGGCCATCGCAGCCTACACCGCACAGCATCCCCATCTGTTGCATTGTCGTGACGGCGAGACGGCCTGCCAAGAAACACAAGCGCGTACATCCTCCTCCAGCCCTCCCGACTGGCCATACGCCCCAGCGGCAAGCCATCACCCAGCAGGGCCGACTCCCCGTCTCCAGCTCGAAGTGTCACGCCCACGATGCCTTCTTACTATTCTCTGGTCGGCTAGCACAGATCCTCGATGCACTTGACGGGCTAAGCTTCTTAGCCCTTGGCCCACTCTCCAAGCCTCGAGGCCGAACATGGCATCGAGTGACTGTTCTGCTGTTGGCACATGGCATGGCATCGGGCGTGGCGTGGGCGCCCACCGGAACCGGCAAGCCAGCCTGCCAGCCAGAACCCACACGTGTGGGAGCTCTCAACGGGCATACCAACCATCTGCTGGCAGTCTGGTAGGCCATCCCATCTATCTGTCGCCAGTGCCTGGCCAATGGCTGGTCAGCCCTCGCCTAGCCAGGGGCATGCAGTTACACACACAGTCTGCCTTACCTAGATTATCTACGTACTCTGGTGCAGCTGGGCAAACGGGGGAGGGGGGATGGGGAACGACCAGGCACCTAGGCACCCCACACTCGGCATGCCACTGTACCACCCAGGACGCAGTCCGCAGGCAAGACCAGATGCCATGCATACCCAATCCACTTGCGGCCGTCGCGGAGCCTCTCCTACCTAGCCACGAGTTTGGAGAAATTAGATCCATGCTGGCGTGTATGAGCCGCCTTCAACATGATCATCACGACCACATTCGACTTCTCCAACAGCAACAGCATCCGCCTCGGCACGCCTCCACCCATTGATCGCCCTTGTCTGTGTAGGGCTCGTCTTTAGACAAGACCGCGGCTCGAGGACTCTTCTCGCTCGACCGGAAAGATCAGCTGTTGGATCGGAGTACTGCAGTAGCCATCACGCCAGCGGTCCACTACCCAGCACAATGTGCATCCTCGAGCAGCCCAGGCCCGTCACCCGTCGGCCCATGGGCATTGCGAGTCCTGCCCAGCCTTCCTTCGCTCTGGGGTCCCCGTCGCTGCAGCCAAGGCCCATGTCGCCCACGTCCCTAATCACTGCAGCATATGCTCCCGAACCCCTGTCCTGCGCTTCCCCGAAGGTTGCATGACCATTGTCGACCGCGTTTTCATTTCCCACCAACCGCATGGGAATCAGGCCCGTCTTTCCGCCCTCCACCAGACTGGATGAACCAAAATCTGGGGTAAGCCCAGGGTATCATTTTGATTATTGGGGTACCTGCTGCTACACTATACCCCGTCGTTCATATAACCCTCCACTTTCCCATGCCAGAAAATGCTCCACCAGACTCCCTCTCGACGTGCCACCCAGCCATAACCTCCTCCTTGTCTCGTTACCGTTGCCTATACCAGTGCGGACCGACTGACAAAGTCGAACTCGAGCTCATCATGTCGACCGAGAAGGAAGGCACTGAGGTGCACCACGACATCTCCAACGACAACCGCGCCTCTCACGAAATCCAGTACCCTGTTGTCGCCGAGGGCACTGGCAAGACATTGGACGAGGCTCACGGTGCCAAGGCCAAGGAAGTGCACAATGTAAGTTTCGACGACTGTGTGTTTATCAAGATCACATCTCGCAGCAGCTAATCCGCCTTGATCCAATAGGCCGAGTTCTTCGCCGCTGTTCAGGAGTCCAAGATCGAGAGATGGAGCAAGAACTCCCTCAAGCTATACTTTGCCGTCTTCATCGCATTCTGCTGCGCCTGTGCCAACGGGTATGATGGTTCCCTGATGGGCGCCATCATCGCCATGAAACCCTTCCAGGCCACCTTCGACACTGGGTTGACTGGCGAGAAGATCGCCATCATCACCTCGCTTTACAGCGTGTATGTGCTCAGCCGCCACACTAATCAGGCCTTTCCGGCCATACAGAATGCAAGGCAATGCTGACCAGTACCTCAGGGGCTCCATCATCACCGCTCCCGCCGCCGCCGCCATTTCCGATCGCTTTGGACGCCGAATTGCCATGTTCACAGGAGGTTGTGTCATCATTGTTGGCGCCGTCATCGCTTGCACCTCGAGCACCATCGCTCAACTCACCGTTGGTCGTTTCATTCTCGGTGCTGGCATCGCAATCATGACTGTGGGCGCCCCGGCCTATTGCATCGAAATCGCTCCCGCTCATTGGCGAGGACGCTGCGTCGGTGAGCATCAATTTCTTCTGGTCTGGGCCACTTGACGGAACCCTTTGACTGACCGTGTTTCCCTTGCAGGCTTCTACAACTGTGGGTGGTTTGGCGGCTCCATCCCCGCGGCCTTTGTCACCTTCGGTACCAGCTATATCAAGAACGACTGGTCGTGGAGAATTCCCTTGCTCCTCCAGTGCTTCGCCTGTATCATTGTCCTCTTCTCCGTCTTCTTCTTGCCAGAATCCCCACGTTTCCAGATGGCCAATGGCAAGGAGGAGGAAGCCATCGCCTTCCTGGTCAAGTACCACGGCAACGGAGACCCATCGTCCCGACTGGTCATGCTCGAGATTGAGGAGATGAAGGAGGGTATCCGCCAGGATGGCGTTGACAAGGTCTGGTGGGACTACCGCTCGCTGATCTCCGAGCACAATGGCCGCTGGAGGTTCCTGCAAGTCATCATGATGAGCACCTTCGGTCAGTTCTCTGGAAACGGTCTCGGCTACTTCAACCCCACCATCTTTGCTGGAATCGGTATCACGTCTACGGCTCAGCAGCTCGGCTTCAACGTCCTGAACAGCTGCCTGTCGGCCATCGGCGCCGGTGTTGGTGTGTCTCTTAGCGACAAGATGATGCGCCGCCCGGTCCTGATTTTCGGTACCTTCGCTTGTGCCTGCCTGCTCGCTATCAACGGTGGAACGTCAGCCGTGGTGAACCAGCACACTGTCGACGACGAGCTCAACCCAGCCTACCTCTCGTTCGGACAGACCGCGCTTGCCTTCTACTTCCTTTTCAACGTCGTTTACTCCTTCACCTACACGCCTCTCCAGGGTATCATCCCCGCCGAGGCTCTGGACACCAACCGTCGCGCCAAGGGTCTTGCTGCCTCCGGCATCATTGTCGGCATTTTCGGCTTCATCAACCAGTTCTGCGGGCCTATTGCACTGGGCACCATTGGCTACAAGTACATCTTCATTTTCGTCGGTTGGGATATTATTGAGGCCCTCCTGTGGTACCTCTTCTGGTAAGTCTTCCCCCTCCTGAGCGTCTCGTTACGTTGGTGCTAACATACTACCCCTCCAGCGTCGAGTCCCAAGGCCGAACCCTCGAGCAACTCGAGTGGGTGTACAACCAGCCCAAGCCTGTCAAGGCTTCTCAACAAGTCGAGAAGGTGGTTGTTCAGGCCGACGGGAAGGTCACGGAGAAGATTATTGATACCTCGGCCTGAAGAGCCAACCCTGCAGGTGCCGGTGCGTGCGGAGAGGTGCAGTGGTGGCCGGGCCGCTTGGACGCCCCTTAGCCCGGCTCTGTTGTCAATTGGTGGATAATCCCCCAGTTCGGCAAAGCGCTGGTACGAGACTACTACATGCTGTGCAAGCCGTTGTCGCATTCCCGACGGTAGTGGGTTCTGTTGCTTGATGGCTACTTGGAAGATGATCGGGCGCTTATGATACCTTTTTAATACATCGCTGCCTTCTATGCCATTAATGGCCTGTGGCATCAGCTTGTGACAATGTCGCTCATGATATGCTCATCCCGTTCCAGCTTTTAGGCACTTCCCAGAGCTGGGCATACTCATTTACAATATAGTGGTAAAGCGCACAAGGAATACACACGGGCTGCGTTTCCTTGTCCTATCGATAGTAGCACACATGGATCGACTAGCTCTTGCCACCAGTCCAAGCACGTATAATGTCTGAATGCGAATACAATCTGAATCGTAGGTATGGAAGGTACTGGTAAAAAGTCATGCCGACGGGAAACACAAGTGATTCAGAGTTACGGCTCCCAGTTTGATGATATGAGGTGTCGAAACTACTTTTCTGTTCCGTTCTTAATCGTGTTGGCCCCTGCCCGTTGGAAGAAGATGCACACTGGCAGAGGCCAGACACTAGGGAATGCGCGCAAAGGTGGTGGTGTGCTCCATGTTCATGGTGAGGGTAGTTAAATCAGGTCGATGAGAGTTGATTAGTATTGCCGGATCCTATCGCTAGCCTTTGATATTGTTTACAATGTTTGGTGGCTGTTTTCTTCCGTCTTTTTTTCCCGGTTTTGCCGTGACAAGTTTCAACAGATCATGCTGCATTTGCCATTCTCCAGAATACTAGCGCCCCCCCCCCCGGTCTCGTCTTGACCACCTGCCCTAAAAACGAAAAAAAACACCATTTTGGCAACCTGGATTGCATATTACCATGCCGCACGACGCTCAAGATGAACACCCAGATTCTAACATTCGCTAGTCACTCTTCAGTCGAGAGGATCATAGACGGCCTCGATCCATTCGTGATAGCTCATTTCCGTTCTGCCACCAAGTTAGCATTTTGTCCGTTACAAGAAGAGCAGGGGAACGAAAAAAAAAAAAAAAAAGACTAGGTAATCGGAAACCTACCCGTCAGCGTTATACCAGGAACCATTATCCGTGTAAAACGTCCCGTACCGGCGAGACCGCCCGCCGGACCCGTTGTTGTCGAGCAGGTCACCGTCCGCCGTGAGGGTGAGGTCCCAGGGCTGCGCCTCCTCGTCCTCTTCCTCCTCCCAGCGGACGTCGTCAGGCGCGATGCAGGGTCGGAGGCAGTCAATGATGCGCACCATCAAGATGGCGAAGGAGATTATGGCTATCGTCAAGACGAGCCCGTAGGTGGTGGGGTTGTTGAGTAGCTCGTGCCGCACCTCCTCGGGGTTGGAGTCTGTGCCCCAGCTGGCGTGGTGGTGGCCGGGAACCTCGAGGACATACATTTTGTTTGGGACTTTTGAGTTGAGTGGTGAATTCTGGTGCTTTGTGAGCTAATAATCGTGAGACGGTTTGACTTTGTCAGCCGAGAAAGCTTTGAGAAACGTTTTGAGTGGTTGGGATGAGTTGAGGCTGATGAGCTTGTACATGAGATTGTGAAAGTGGAAGTAGAGGAAAGGAAGACATAACAGAGAGGGCTGTGGTATCATTTGTTTTATCCCATGAAATGGTTGAACTTGTTTGTTTTTGAGCATTTCACAATGAGAACTAGGCTCTTAGCCCAATGAAAATTTATTGGAAGAAATACAACTAGCCGTGTTTATTGGTACATCAAGGTGTAGACCAGCGCACCGGTCTCAAACCAGAGGACCTTGGTGGAGGGCAAGGCGCAATAATTTTCATAGGCCCGATGTGTCACATTTACTTAGTGCTCTGGCGTGAGGGCTTTGATAGAGCACCGTTCTCTCTAGCTAAATGATTCAATTTTAACTACTGTAGAGGAGAGCAGTATTCCTCTTACCTCTGTGGTTCAACACAAGACTAGTATGGGAAGTGATAAGAATATTGCACGCAAAAGTCAAAGTAATCGCGCAACTTTTATTGGCTAGAGTCATTGAATTAAAAATTCCATGACCGCCATAGTCGCACTGACGTGTTTTGTAGTGAGATCCAGTCTCTTGATTGTTTGAGACCACTTGATACCGGCCCGCATATTGTAGCTGGCACTGTCTTCTGCCCCGAATTTCAAGCAGCGTATGCTAATAATCAGTGCTTTTTCACACTAAGTGTAATTTTTCTGAACACTGCCCTGGTGATCAACTGTAGGAAAGGAATGCGTTTTCGCTCAATGTAGCCGCCATCAACTTGAATGTGTGGCCGCTTTGGAATGGGATCTTCCACTGCCAGCTGAAATGGACCAAGCTCAAATTCTAATATCGTAAGTCTGCGGGCATTGACATAATGAGCTAAAATGGCCGGTCCTACACCCTCACTCGCTTATCCACTTCCAATGGTCTTGGTCGGGGATTGGAGTTCCCCGAAAACCATGAACAATGCTAAGTCTTCATGCAAACCTTGAGGGGGTCACGGTATGTGGGCAGATTAGCCAGCTGCATAGGCAGAAAAACATTCATGTGAGAGCATCAAGATACAGAAAGAGCTGGGTGTTGTTGAGCCAAAGGTACTGGCTGTCTGCCTCGGCGTACAAGAATACCATTGCTGATAGTCCTGACATACACTTGACTCTGACATAGCATTCGGACGGCTCTGACAGGTCTGTTTGCTGTTGTTCCGACCACCTGGGCATCCGCAACCCCGCCGGAAGCAATGCCCATGGCGAAGGTTTCTTGGCAATGACATGCTCGTTCGGGAAGTGGCCAACTTTCCGAGCAGTGATTTTGATCCGAGATTCTGGTAGTGGGGACGCAAGGTGGGACGACAAGATGGATCAGGTCGATCATTGCCGCTCCGCGAGAGGCAGACAGGCAGTGGATACATACGTGAATAGTAATCCAGGGGGAAAACAGGCGGAGTGGATGATTACGGGGCGTAATTGCCCGTGACCGTGGAGCGTCTTTGTCCAACAAAAGAAGTACTTTTGGAGGTACTTGACAGCTCAAGGCAACCGTGCACATGAAATGGTGCTACGAAGTTGGAGACCGGTTGTGACCGGAATATATATCCCGCTTGCCTCTTTTCACAGTTGGGACACGCTCGTATGTGGCTGGCGACTTCGTTCCGTTAGCATGAAAGCCTCAGAGAATATCGAGGTACCTAAGTAACAATTGCTTGGTCGAACGGCGTCAGGCATCGAGCTCCTGAGGACGGGCGACTCGGTTCTTCTCTTCGCGCGCGACATGGAACATGGATAATACAGTCGATCGTCTGCATCTCGGAATCAACATCGAGTCCGAAATGTGGCAATGCTGCCACGCGGCTTGGAGGTAGGCCTCACTCAACGCTGCCATTATTTCAACATGAAGCGCGATCAACACGCAGAACCCCAGTTCTGCGTCTTCAACACTGTTGTAGGACCCAGAGGGCTAGTGCGGGTCATTTCCGATCTGCGCATCCACGCAGGAGATGGACAAACGTTGGTAGACTGGCTGATCACTCGCCATTTCTATAAATATCCTCGCCTGTGGATCCGCTCAGGGGCGTGGCTTTCCCGTCTTGCCTGGTTAAGCTTAAAGAGGCCCTGGCAAATAATGAGCTACCACCTCCCGTAGGGCTGTCTCTCTGAAACACCCCAGGCTGTGTTTCTTTTCTTCTGGAAAGATTCAGATTGGGTCTTGGCAAGTGGTCCCGAAATACATGGATACGGTGAATGCTTGGTCCTAAGTAGTGCTCCGCCTCGCAGCCAACTTGAAAGTCCTCACGATGTCCCCAGTCGCCAGCAACCCTGGTTCTGACTCGGGACTTACCCGTTCTTGCACATGAGGAAATTCCCGCTGGGTGGTTATTATGTTATCAGTTCTTGCTGGTGGCAGAACATCTCCTGAAGGCTCGTATTGGCATTGGTATGGAATACAGTTCAGCCTCCATCTCCATCGTCTGGAAATCTCTCCAGATCATCATAAGAGATCGCCATGTAAATCATTGCATTCTTCACTTTCAGTCTCAATCATCTCGTTATTCTTTTCGCAGAGACCACACTCCTTTATTCTCCTGAAATTCTTCACGTACATATCATTCTTTACAGAATTTTCGAAATGCAGATCTCCTTGATTTCTCTGCTGGCCACTGGCGCCTCCCTCGCCTCAGCCGCCGCCATCGCCCCTCCAGCGTCCAATGCCACAGGCTGCACTTCTCTCTCCACTCGTATCGAGTGGCGCAACTACTCTGACAGCGACCGCGAGGCCTTCGTAGATGCCATCGTGTGCCTGGCCAAGAAGCCCTCGGCCGGCGAACACTTCGCCCCTTCCAAGAGCCGGTGGGAGGACATCACCAATACCCACCAGATACTCACCCACGCCATCCACGGCAACGAGATCTTCTTGCCCTGGCACCGTGCCTTCGTCTCGACCTTCGAGGCCCTGCTGCGCAACGAGTGCGGCTTCGACAGGGCACTGCCGTGGTGGGACGAGACCCTCGACGCCGGCAAGTTCAACGAGAGCAGCATCTTCACCCCCGAGGACTTCGGCTCGCTGCCCCAAGGACGACAACGACAAATTCTGCATCACCGACGGCAAGTTTGCGAACCAGGTCTGCAACATCGGGCCGGGAGGCGATAACAACACTGTGCACCGGTCTATCGCGTGCTGGTAACGAGACCATCTCCGCCGAGATCACGACGGATTACATCAAGCGGTGCGCCCAGGTTGATCAGATCCGCCAGTTCACCGGGTGCCTCGAGACTGGGTAGGCAGAGAACCATCCAAACTCCCGGCATACTCTCTCTTCCGTAGATGACTTACTGACTCCTCCTTCCCTTGACAGAACCCACGCCTCCGGCCACAACGGCATCGGCGCCGTCATGGGGGACGTCTGGGCCGCCCCCGAGGACCCCACCCCCTTCATGCACCACCTCTTCGTCGACGCGCAGTACGCCTCGTGGCAGGAGGGCGGCAGCGGCACGCGCAAGACCGCCGCGGGCCTCGCGGGTGGGTGTTACGACTGGAGTTACCCCTGTACGAGCCCCCTGGAGATGGGTTCCGTCCTGAGCCTCAACGACCTCGTCCCCACGAACCTGACCCTGGCGGATGTGATTGACACCCGCGCCGGCTCCCTGTGCTATGAATACGACTACTACTTCTAGGGCAATTTAAAATCACTCAAGGTGTGACTGCTTTTCCAACAAGTCTGCTTTGGGTCCTGAAAACGGGACCGAGGAAGTCGACAGTCCAACCGCATTCGGACTTTCAGTAGAATTGTACATATGGTCTTTATTTTGTCGAATTGTTTATGGTAATCCTATTCTAGCACGTTCTGGTCTAGTCAGACTGGTTACATCTATTGTATGTGCTCTATACATATACACACACCTACCCCATCTCTTTCTTTGCCATGTTCATCGATGTGCGTTTCTATTCCATTTCTGTGCAACCTTAGCTTTCCATGGCCTTGATAATAGCATTCCCTGTCGTGTTACATAGCAGCGGCTTGACTTGGTCTTAAAGGCCGTCGGCGAGCCTGGTAGTGATGCTCCCGCTCGGCTTGACGAGGATATCTATCCGGGGAGTCATGCTTCTGAGATGACTATGCTTTCCCGTGTTCCACGACGGCTGACGAAGTCCCAGATTCCGTGGACAAGAAATTCGAATTTTGCCGAGGTGTAATACCAGGCCAGGCACCCGCAGATGACATACGTTAGAGTCGGTATGATAACGAATGTCGCCACAAAGGCTGGTAAATTTGGGCGCGTATCTTCGCCGTTTGCTGTCGCGTTTAGAATGGGCAAGGCCCAAAATGCCTGCATAAAATATCGTCAGCACTGTCCTTGTTAGCCAAGTAGGTTTTAACTTGCAGTTATAAACCCCAGCGGGGTGTATATTACAGTAACGGCAGTGAATACGTAGATTGCAGGGTTTAGAGCTATTCCTTTTGTCGCCTCTCTGAGAGAGGTCGCGCTGAATAACTGTAAGGACACAATCAGTTCACTGTGCCTCGCAACTGGATTGAGGGATGACGAGGCTAGGGGGCTGTGGACGATTCTTACTCCATCTCGCAGTGACTTGACTTCCTCAATTTTCCTGTCGATCTGGTCTCTGAGCTGTTGAGTGTAAGATTTTAAAACGTGCCAGTGCGTTAGCTCATCTCGCCGATCATACCAAGATTCCAGCACTTCATCGTTGCATTCCACTTCCTCCAAAAAGAGGCGTAGGTCATGCGGCCCAGCATTGCAAAACTTCTCCCACTCGGCAGAGTTCTCATCGATCCACTGTGTAGCGATTCGCAATAATTGAAGCACTGTGAAGTATACTTTGGATAAGTTCATGAAGCCCGTATCATCGAACATAAAGCTGTCCAGCCCGTGATCGTCTTTGTTGTGATCCATCTAGTCATATCGTCAGCGAAGTCTTAGAGTAGCTTACTGCAAATTGAGTGAAAATGATAGAGGGCTTAGAAACCCCTACTTTGAAGCTAACGATTTGGTCGATGACTGTCAAGGTTTCATTCCAGCCTTGGTACCACGTTTCTAGCAGCCGTCGCATTGCGTCCTGAAAATGACCTAGACCGGGTGCCGGTTTAAGTTCTTCCGGAACTTTCAATAGACGGTCGCCTATCCCAGCTGCTTCGTCACGGAGAACGACCAGTTTGAAGGCTCCACGAGGGGCGTACATAATGAGTGATATCGATAACGCGCGCTCTTTGAAATACCCCAATGCTGGATCCTTCTCGCCAGTTGCTTGCGCCGTGGGCCAGATCCATGCAAGCTTCCGCTTACGGATGAAGAATTCGGATAGGTTGCTTTCTGCTGGCGGAGCTCGAGGCTCTTTGGACCCGAGCGGCGAGTAGTAGCGCAAGTGGTATTGGAGAATGAAGCTGGTATCGAATCGTGGTAGAAACAGGCATAAATGACTCATTGACCGTTGTGTCGTGGAATGGAAGAAGTCAGAAAATGCACGAATGAAAGGGTAGAAACCGAAATGAATTCTATGTTCGGAATCCAGGGTAAGGAAGCATTGAATGAGAAATGCAATCATAGAGAGATCTCTTGTCATGGGCTCGATTTCTCCCTGTTCGACTTTCTTGAATAGAGAACTGCTGTCCGTTATCCACCTACGAGTGGTAAGAACAACCTACTCAACAAGAGGGGGGCCATGAGCTCACCAAATGTTTCCAAGAGGGGAGGACCACGTCGCGCGTGCCATGGCCGATTCCTCAACATCCTAAATTTCTCAGCGGCCATTTCAAACCAGATTGACTCTAACTTATTAAATTTCGGAGGATAAACTCACTGCATCATCTGAAACAAAATTCCGTGCAAATACGGGGTACCATCTCGCTCGTTCGCCGGACGCTTTGCCACGGTCTCGACATTTCTTTCGGCCCCTTGACCATGCTTCATCAAACCAGCGCCTTGTTTCTTCACTCGGCGCTGGCTCGGGCTGGAATTTAGCCAAGAGCTCTCGTTCCAGCCACTGGATTCCGCCGGGCTCTTTGAGTGACCTTAGAAACTCCTCTTTGGCTCGTTGCGTTTGCGATATATCCTGACAGGTCTCGTCCAGCATATGAAATTCCTCCTGATATTTCCTTCTGTTGGAGCTCCGCGCGGCGGCACCAGTTTTATCGCGTCGGGGCGTCGGGGCACCCTGTTGCACGTTTGCCTCCGCAGCAGCTGCTGCGGGCAATTCTTTTCTATTTCCCGAGTCTTGACAATCGCAAACACGCCCCGAAGCTTTCAGTGCCTGGGCCAATTGTCTGAGCTCGCCTAGTATATCTTGGACGGTCAAAGACAGGCTTTCCGCACTGCAGAGAAGGCCTATGTTGTTGACTGCGTCTGTGGATCTTGTGACATCAGGAGGGCTGACTGAAGACTGATCTGGAAGGCCTGAATGTGATGCGTGGTCGCTGGTAGATGCAGCCTCCTGATATTCAACTGATACGAGATCTTCGGACATCGTGAACAAACTGTCTAATCTTGGAGAACTTGAGCTGAGGTGAAAAAGAATACATCGAAAGTCAAAAGAAGAGGTCTGCTCAAGTCAGTGCTACCCCTCCCTCCTTGGGAAAATTCGCGTGGTTGGTCTCTTGGCCATGTAACACATCATAGAAACGTTGTGTAACCCTTGTGCAGCAAAGCTGAAAAATGATTGCCTTTTGCGGTATTGAGCTTCGTCAATGTCCGCAGTTGGTCTTGCGTCTCGTCCATGGGGAATAAGGCTCTGCGACACGAAGGCTTTCATATTTTTGTGCGCATGTTAATCAAGACTGTAAAATGAAGACACCAGAGAGTTTAGATCTCAGCGCTGAGTCTTGAGCTATGTAATGATAGCACAAGTCCCTGGTTACTCGGGTCTCAAGGCACAGTGGCAGATCGATTGTCACGACTGGAACTCCAGTATCACCACCACAGACCGTCGATTTGAGCGATAACGTGCGATATGGTGTCATTGAGTGCTGCGAGAAAGATTAACCCGCATATGCACTATGCGTGTCCAATTTGTGCACATCTCACCGCATTTTCCCAGCCGTGTTGAAGTCGGTGTTTTCTCTGGATGCATTCGATGCCACAAACCACGGCTGATCATAGTTGCACAGCATGCCATGGTCAAGAAGCATCAGCGACAGTGGACGAATGAGGAATTTCGTGGACTACAGGCCGGGGTTGAGGCGCAGAAAGGGCGTGTGGGGAAACTTGAGAGGTTGAGAGGTTATAGTCCGAGGTGCAGAGACCACCGCAGAAGTATGCAGGCTGAGCCTGGTGGCGTTCCGATGGATAAGACTCGGTGTGGATAATCCAAGCATGTAAGCCACCATGATGCCGGGATACGGTGGTTTTCTCCCCTCATAAGTCGGACTGGCGGCTCTTAGGCGCTGACTTGGTGGTGCTTCTAGTCCACCAAGCTCGACTAAGCAATTGGCCGCCTTTCAGCTGCACCGCCCTGAACCCAATCTTTCCTGAAGAGGGTGCATCCATCTTGTCAGCTATCATTGGTCTCGTGAGCCGGCCGAAATTCTGACGTATTCCGATTGCTGGTCGATCCCGATAAAGAAGGCTGGCGGTCCGGAGACTTGACCGGTAAGATGAGGCATTCAATTCCATGCTTTTATTCCAGACAGACCAGTAAGCGAGACGTGGTAATCGGACTTTTCCACACAATTTTCGGTTTTGAATGGTTGTATACGACTGATAAATCACAAGCATCGACGTAGTATTCCGAAGGCACGCCGTTCTGGCTAAATTCAACCTCTCCAAGGTGAAGCTGAGTACTCACGAAGAACATGGGCACCTCCAGCGTTCGGTGTCCCGCAGGGCAAGCTATGGGGAAATACAATTTCAGGATTCGACGCGAAATCGAAAGATGGCTGAACCATATAAAGAACCCAGATGGCCCGTCACTGTTCATCAGATTGTGTATGATCGGCCGGAAAGGGGAAAAGACCAACCCGACGATCGTGGTCTGCTGTGCCAGTCGAGAGGCGAGCAAGTTATTCGAAGCATCAGTGAGACACAGCGGCATTCTTGACCGGTATCCGGGGCTCCGATTAACCTCCCATGCCCTTCCACTCGATGCCTCTTTGGTCCCTAGACCCCTGTTTGACAATGAACGCCGAGCTGGAGACCCAAACACCTCCACAGTCAACAGAACAGGGTCGAAGGCTTCAACTCCTGGTGCAGATGGTATATCAGGGCCACAGATGGGCAGAAGGCTTGAGTTCATGGTTTCTTCCGAGGCAGGATTACGCGTTCAGCATGCCACCGGCGGATTAATCGTCAGGATCGGCGAGGAACTCTACCAAATAACCACCTTCGATTCCATGGGAAATATGGTAGGGTTGAACCGGACTTCGCAGCCACCCCGTGATCCCGAAAAATGCGAATTCGACAGCCACTCAGAAGCAGAAGATTCGGGCTATGAGCAAGCCTTCACAAGCGAGAAAAGCCTTCTGTTGGAGACAAGGATAAGGCGAGAGAAACCACTTTTCTATGGACAGCATCCTCCAGGTCTAACGGAGCCCCACCCATGCCAAATCGTCTGCTCCCCACTGCCAGTAAGCGACGGAGGGATCGAGCATTCTTTGATGTGGAAGGACCAAGACATGGCGTTTCCAACGCCAACTGCCACGAAGCTAATTGCCGCCAGCCGCAAGGAGAGCTCGCACTACACTCTCGTCAAGCTACCAGAGTTCGAAAGCAGCGAAGCTAGCAACGTTTTCCTTGGAGGTGACGGCTCAGTGCCGCCGAAGATAGCGGCCCTTGACGTTGCCAAAGTCGGCACGGAGCCTGTCAGCGTTCTCGTGATCACTTCTCGCGGCCCATTCTCCGGCACCGTGCTGCCAGACGTGGCCTCGCTCAGGCTTCGTGGCTCAGAACTCTTCCAGACCGTTCACGCCGTCATACTATCAGATTCAATCGAGCCGGGCGACCATGGCTCTGCGGTAATTGATGCTGCAACAGGAAGTTGCTACGGTCATATCGTCCTCGGAGTTGAGGGAGACGTCGTGTGTTATATGGTACCGGCACCTGATACTCTTGCCGATATTCTCCTCAATTTTGGCAGTCTGCCGTCATTACAGCTAGACCGGCGCGCGGATACGAAAAGTTCTCACACGGTCGAAAGATGGAAATGTGTCAACCCAAGAGGGAACGCCTTCTGCCACCCTCTGGCCCCACTGGGAAAGTGCACGTCCTGCAGCTCGGGAAAGCTATACAGTGATCGAAGTCGGGCAGCTGCGCATTTGAGGAAGAACCATTTTCCTAAAGAGACAGCCAGCCAGGGCGACAATGGGCGGCGGAAGGACGATGTCAAACAAAACCGGCTGCCCGCAACAGAGTTGAAAAAATGGACCAAGGAGATCACAGTAACGCCTCTCTACGCACGGGTGATGCAGGCCGAGTCGGATTCGGAATCAGACTATGATAACGACGTGGATGACACTGACGAGGAGCCGGAAGATGAGCCGTCATCGGCAACATCTATGAGTGCCATGACAGACCAGCAAGCCAATCTTGAGGTGGAAAATGAGAAGCTCCGACATCAAAACCAAGAGATGAAGCGCGAGATGAGAGTCCTGGAAGGCGACATTGATGTGCTCATGGAAGACAGAGAAGAGCTTAAACAGGAGTTAGAACACCTTCGCAGAAGACTTCGGGAGCAAGAAGAACCAGTACTTGGCTAAGGCTTAGCCGGGTCTGCTCTTGCGGAACGGAGACAGACTGCATTTCCAATAATTCTGTGAGCCGATTCAATTCAATTCCAAATCTGAAGAAAACGCCGAGCTGTTTAAGCGTTTCTGGTGGGACAGTTTTCACCGTCCGCGCGCGTGACTGTCGCTGGAGCAACATGTTTTCAGCGCGAGGAAAAGAGGCACCAGGAGCCTGGGAGCGTTGTTCAAAATGCATTCGCGTCGTAAATCATAACTCTCTTATTCTGTAAAGCATTCATTGGCCTCGTTGATTCCGTTCGCCCTTTACGTGTATTCCAGTCCATCCATCAAACGCCTTTGCTATAACCGAACAAGAGCATTCAGCCCATGATCACTTCCTCGCCCCGCCAGTGTCGCATGCATGACCACCCGGGCTATCGCCTTGTTGACCGTTGCCTTCGCAACGCTGGGGTCGTTGGCATCTCGCACGGGTGTTCATGTGTCGTCCATGGGACCATGTCTAGGGCAGGGGCTCGTAGGAGCCGCCGCTGTTGTGGTGGGCGCGGTTGGAGAAGAAGAAGTAGACGATGAGGCCGACGATGGGGAAGACGAAGACGCCCAGGCACCAGAGCAGCTTGTGGATGGGAGGGCGGTTGGACTTGAGGACCTCGACTGTGGAAGGGAACCGGTGGGTTAGCAGGGAGACTTGAACAGGGCAATCTATGGGCGAGAACGTACTGAAGACGATGATGTCCAGAACCAGGACGATGAAGCCTATGATGCCACCACCGGTGCCATACTGCCAGCTATTGTTGATGTTGCTGGTGGAGATCTCCTGTGCGACGGGGGCGGCAAAGGCGAGGGCGGCCAGGCAGAGCTGGAGGAGGAAGGTGTAGACGTGCTGATACATGATGCAGGCGGGGTGCTGTTTGTCGTCAGGGCTCAGGGTGATATCGTCTCGAGAGGATGCTGATGGTTGATTAGATTGTTGTGTAGGTTTCCGGGTGGGTGGAGAGGTGGGGGGAACAAGAGTTTGGGTCAGAGCAAGGCGGTCTTGTTTGTCTTTGTACGAAGGCGAAGTCGAAACGGCAACACAAACCCGGTGTGAGCTGCTCTGGTGGGCTGGAGTGGGCTGTCAGGGCGACGTCAGCCCCACTTGGCAGCATGATGTCATTGCATCCTGCCGCGTGATTCGCGGCCCAGGGAGTAAGGCGGGGAGCTATTGCTCCGCTCACCTTACCCAGTACGCGCTTTCCTCATGCAGGTCACTGTAGTCACGGTAAGCGCGCCTGGTCACAGTTTGAAGAGGGTTAACCCTTGTCTGTTGATGTTGGACTGCGACATTCACTTGAACCTTCGATGACCCAGATGGGACCAGCAACGCCATTGAAAATTTACTAGGCCCGTTCTATTCTCAGGACCTAGGTAGTAAATCCAACAGAAATACCCGCATCTCCAGGTGGAGGTCATGCCGTCTTGCTAGGAGGAGTGCCCCGGCATCTGCTAGGTACTTGTCTGTAGCGCATCCTGAGAATGCTGTCACATTGTTTCCGCACTAATCGCGCTTCACTGTGCATTGCTACACGAAGAATGTATTTATGTTCTGTAGACTAACATGTAGGTCGGATGCACATCGGTCACTGGTGGCTTCCTCATAATTGGGACGGCTGTTGCCGCTGCAGGTCGTCGTAAAGAGCAGAGGACGCACTTTGGCGGTGTGGACATGTGCCATTATTGCCGGAGCGAAAGGGTATTTCAAACAGTATTGCTTTAAATTAGAGTCAGTATGAGACATGTAGTTCGTATATCACTCATGATACTTTTACGAACTAAACGAACCAGGTAAGATCATCTGAGAGTGTATCTAATCACCCGCCGAAGAGACTACTAGTATCGCGACGACAGAGAAAGGTACCAGAATAGGTGGACCGAACGGCCAGAAGGATAGTGACACCCGTCATAATTGACACCGCTATCTTCGATTCATATTGCCGAATCATCAGTCCTGTTTGAAATGATGTGCATCTAAGTTTTCGACAGCGGTAATCAGTGAAAATTCAAGGATTCAAGTGTGCATCCGAACCGAGTATGTGGCCTATGGTGTTGGTTGCACGCATAGCCGCGGCAACTTTGTCCCAGTCCAGTTCGATTCGGCCCACATTGGTATGCCAGTGTCCACACTCCTCCTCTTTGACCACTTCTTATAATTTTGTGCTTCTATGGATGCGCTCAATAATGAGGAAAGTGTTGCTTGGTATTGGACAGGGTCTCCAACTCCTGCGACAGCCTCCGAATAAGACAAAAGTATGGGCAACTCGCCAGACATGACCACCACACAGGTAAGGGACATGGAGCCCTCCATGGAACCGGTCCTCACCCGTGTAGTCACTTCTGATGCCCATCCGCTGCCCGTCGATATTCTGGGGCCTGCCGGGGCGGAGGTGACTCTCGGCAACAAGAAAAGATACATCATCACTTCCCTCATCCTCCTCTGTAATCTGACCCAGGTACGTAGCCCAGACACTAGGCATGTTACCACTAACTCCTGATTACCAAGATGGCTGACGGAAATTTACCACTTCAAAGTTCATCTCCATGTTCTCAACAGTAGCAGGCGGTTTCGAGTTCAGCAGACAGCTTGGACGACCGGTCGGCCCAGGCCAGGCGAACTGGATGGCCTCAGCGTATTCGTCAGTCGTTTCTTATCAGACGTTTCATCCTTACCGCCTGGACGTTTTCGTCGCTTTTCTTCACCATTCGGCCGCACAAGCTAATCATATTCTCGGGAATCCAGCCTTGCGCAGAGTGCCTTTGCCCTCGTCAGCGGCCGGCTCGGCGCCATATACGGACACCAGAGGCTAATAATGCTGCTGGGAGGAGCCATCATCATCCTGTTCTCCATAGCCAACGCGTTCTGCCCGACATACGACTCCTTCGTTGCCGTACGAGCTCTTACTGGGGTCGGAGGAGGTATACTGATGCCCAACGCCGTGGCCACCAGTTGATCCTGACCATCATGGTCCCTCTCGGAAGTGCCCGCAACATCACACTCGCCATATTTGCGGCTTCGTCACCCATCGGGGCCTGGATCGGAGCGATGATTGCAGGGGCGTTCCTTCGATATTCGGAGTGGAGGTGGCACTTTATTTTGCTGTAAGCATGGCTGGGCGAGACTTGAGAATTGAGCTGCGACCGTACTAAACGTCACATAGTGCATGCTTCGGTGCAATTGTTTTTGGTGGACTCTTCGTGGCCCTGCCTCGCGAAGACCCCGTCGACAAAGGGGGCGGCATTGACTATGTCGACGTGGTCGTTGCCCTGGGTGGCCTCTTACTCTTCAACCTGGCGTGGAAGTAAATCAACTCACCAGATCTAATGCATAGGGAAATGCTGACAAGTCTTAATAGCCAAGCTCCATCACTCGGGTGGGGAACTCCGTAGTATGTGATTGTCCTCCAAGTAGTCTCACTTATACTCATGGCCGTGTTCGTGGCCTCAAGTGGGAGAGCCGGTTCGCGCAAGACCCCGTCATGCCGCTTTCTCTTTTCAAAGCGCCGAGCTTCGGAGCCCTGGCGGTCGCGGTGCTATTCATCTACATGTCCGTGGGCATCTGCCTCTGGTACATGATCGCCTGGCAGCAGATCATCCGGGGCTGGACGGTGCTCCAGGTCGCCTTCGGCTGGGCGCCCTACGCCATCGGGGCCTCCATGTCCGTGGGCCCGGCCGCGTGGCTGATCCCGCGGTGGGAGGCGCAGTACATACTGGCCAGCGGCTGCCTGGCGTCGATAATCGCCCTGGCCCTCCTGTCGTGCATGCCGGAGCAGGAGACGTACTGGGCGCAGGTGTTCCCCGCCACGTTCCTCGGCAGCTTCTGCGCCGACTTCTTCTACGTCGCCGCCCAGATCATTGCCAGCAACAGTGTTGGGAAGCGGGAGCAGGGGGTGGCCGGGAGCCTGATTGGTACGCTGAATCTGTATGGCAACAGCCTTGGGCTGGGCTTTGCTGGTACAGTGGAAGCGCAGGTGGCCAAGAGTGCCGGGGAGGTGATGAGCTTTCGTGCAGCTCTGTGGTTCGGGGCCGCTCTTGGGGTAATTGCTATGGTATTGGACTTGGTGTTCGTCAGGATGCCTAAAAGCAACCAAGAGGGCTGGAAGTCATCTGGGTCCTCCGTGGAACGCGGCATTGATGCTGTTGGGCTGGCTGAAGTTAGAGGCACAAGAGAGGTTTAAAGAAAGTGCTGAATTTTCATGGTATGGGTAGATCTCAATATTAGGTATTCAAAAGGTTGCATCAGAAAAGGTCCTGAGGAATTCTCCAAGGCAGAACCGGACAAACTCCTGGACCAGACATCAGCAAACCTGCTTGATAGGCGTTCAGACCTTGTTGAAAATCGAGATATGAAAATGCAAAAGCGGCTATATGGAGTATTTCAATGTACAATTTGGTACTTCCACTTTTATAAAATCACTCCTCTTCGAGGTTAATGATCACTTCTCCCTACCCCCTCCCCCGAGCATGCCGGAGGATGCCAGATCGCATCAGATCTAGTAATGGAAAACTCCAGAGCGCTTCGCAAGACCCAAAACCATCTTCTATCATGTCCAATTATGTAAAATTAAATTGACTAGTGACTGCTTTCCATTCTGTTTTCCATTCCTTTCTTGAATTCCATTGTCTCTTTGCATAGGCTTGTTGATTGATTGAATAGGCCAAGTCAGAAGAGACACCCATGAATGCTTTCCGCTGTACATTGGACCTTAGCTTCGACTGTAGGCCTGAAAATCGAATCTTTGGAGCCATGAATCCAAAATTGCGTGTTCGAGGCGACCTGAGGCAGGCTTGTCTTCGGTTTCTCTTGATACCCGTCCGACTTTAGTTTCAAGTCGATTCTGTCCGAGTCTCTCGGATTTCATCGTTTTTCGTGCTCAAAAAATTTTGCGAGCTTATAACGGATGTAGCCTCACTGTTGGCGAGCAAGGGAACCGTATCACGGGGACCATAGATCGTAGTTTGTCGCAGAGACTTTGGTGATGATGGAGTCTGCTCCGTTCGGCGGCATCGGAGTTCTACCCAGGACACGTGCACAGCCTTGGATAAATGCGCGCTTAAGGTGTAGTTGACCGCCATTGGGATGATTTCAAGGCTCAGAAGAAGCTGAGAGTTGTAGCTGTCAGAGATGTATTGAGCTCGGGACCTTTCCCTCCGCCTGCATGACCGGCAAAATGCTTTCATGAGCGATGCCGGGATGTCAAGACCACGACAGCGTATATGTGAATGATATACCCTAGAGTCCTTATGCAAACCCAGCTGTTACTATCTTTCTCACGTTGGAAGCACCAGCAGTTGGTAATGACCGGCCCGAATTGCCCAGGTGACATGCTGATGCCAGGAGGCACTAATTCCCATCTAGTGTAATCTAGGTAATCTAGTCGAACATACTGACGACCTTGGAAATGCCAGTCTATATCTAGAATATCTTGCAAACGGTATGTCATGCCAGCTCTCGAGACTCAAGTAAGACAGGATGATGACAGCACTGATGTTTTAAAACCGTGTAGCACATATGGACAATGATTCTAGTCTATGCACCACATGTGCATGTTGAGACAAACACTGCTAGAGGAGCATCCGAATCCATCAGAACAGTCATCAGCTCCCCACGTAGAAACTTGGCTGTGGCCCCATATAGCTATCCTTGAGGCCACCCAGGTCGATGGCGACGTTCTCCAATATCAGATTCGTATGCAGCAGCCGGACACGGAGTACGTGCTCGCCTCTCGCGACTGCATCTGCTTTCAGCTCATGCCGCTTCTTCCACGCGCAGTCCTGCACCGCCGTGAGCCACCCCTCTGGAGAAGGCAGCTCCGGGTCTCTGGCCGGTTCAGGCTCGAGAAGGCGTTCCCGACAGATGGCTCCGTAGTCGATGCAGTACTCGTATACCATCGGATCAGAAGGGTCGAAGTCGAGGGTCATGTTGAAGGACAGGATGAGAGCTGGCGGGCTGGTTGTTTGCGTGTCAGAAAAGACAAAGAATTTGTAGTCCACAAAGCTGGGCGTCGCTTGTCCGCTGTCTGGGCGGAGCGTAATCGACCCACGTGGTGATCGGCCCGTGTCGGCGAGGAAGTTATATGAGGTTTCTAGGTTCCGTCCTGCCGGTGCTGGAATGGATATGTGTCCATCCGTTTCCACATGACCGCCCACAAAGTCTGGGGGGAGCAGACGGCCCGTGACAGGAAGATGTATCTGTTCGAAGTCGTCTTCCTCAGAAGACAGGTCGATAAGTACCACTTGATCAAAGTCACCCGGCACTTGGTTCACTTGGATCTGAATTTCGATCCGTTGGTCGTCGTCTCCGGGCACCAAGGTTCCAGAGTCTTTCGAGAATGTCACCCAAGGATAAAGCGCCTTCAGCGTCCAGTGAACCGTCACAGGCCCACGGGTGAATAGCTCGAACCATCTTGTCTCGGGGCCGTACCGGGACATCAGGCCTAACGTAATACCAGGCACCAAGTCACCACGGCTTGGGTGGGTGAAGTCACTGTTCTCGTTGGTCAAGCCCGGCCTTACTCCCTCATGGCCCTCAACCATTACGCCCAAATTGCCGACAATGGGGTTTGACTTCTGCCTTCTCTGGACATAACAGAGCCCACTGATCATGTCCCGACTCGGGGCGTGCCAGGTATCCCAGAAGCCATAATGTGGCTGCGAGAGGATGTTGTTCCACTTGCCCCCAAGCAGGGTATGGTACTCCTCCGAAAGATCAAAGTCAGAGTCGAAGAGTTCGAGGACCCGCTTCGCCACGAGATTCGCAGAGTTCCGCCTCTGACGTGCGTACATCTGGTTTCGCGCCAGGTTGACCTGCAGACGGACAAAGATGGCACTGGCCTTGATGGGGTGCAGCACCAGCTGGAAGACGGCAGGCTTTTGTTCGTCGGTGGCACGGTCGTAGATGGACTGCGCGAGCTCCAAGAGTGATTCCCACTGCCCGCAGATCGTTTCAGCCTCGTTGCAGTGAAGAAGGGAGAACGTGGTTGGTTCGATATGCTCGTGGCGGCGCAGAGTGACGAGCGTATCGTACCCGCGCCAGGCTTTGGCGATAACCTGGCTGAGGTCGAGGCCGAACTGTCGCGCAGCGAGGCCTGAGAAGAATTGGGGGATGCCGTCTGGCTTGACTGAGTTGATGTCCCAGGCCAGAGACATGGCAAATGTCAAGGGCACCTCGAGCGGCTTGATATCTCCCACGTTGAACACCCAGATCTGCCTCGCCCCTCGACTATGGGCCTCCTGCAGCTGGTGCCACGTCTTGCCCAACGAGTTGCTGTTGATCCACTTGTAGCTCCTTGGCGTCCCGACGTACTCGAGGTGGTAATAGAGCCCCGCGCCTCCTTTCCTCGTGGACTCGTGTCCATGCGGGAGTCGGCGGATGGTCCCAAAGTTGTCATCAGCGAACAGCAGCGTCACGTCGTCGGGCACGTCGAGCCTCCCACTCTCGTACTGCATCTGCACCTCCTTATACAACGCCAGCAGTTGCGGCACTGCATCTTCGCTTCCGTGAAAATCCCGTATAAGTGACCTCTGCGTACGCAGGACATCCTTGACAACAGCCGCTGGGTCATCACCTTTCATCGTCGTGTCGTACTCGCCCCTCATGCCCATTGTGAAGTAACTCTCATAGCCCTTTGCCCTCTCCACGCCTTTCTTGAAAAATTCAGTGATCTTGTCTTTATTGCTGATCCAGTCCCACGTCCCCAAGGGATTGCCGTCCGCCAGCCACTCGTTGCTCAATCGCTGCATCGGCTCGTGGTGGGAAGTCGACATCACGATCCCGTGCCTGTCGGCAGCTCTCTGGTTGTCCTTGTCATCCGTGAAGAAACTTGCTCCCGGATTCGGGTAGCCCGGCCACATGGCAGGCCACAGGAAGTTCGCCTTCAGCCGGAGTAGAAGCTCAAAGACCTTTTCATAGAACTGGACGTTGTATCCGCCGAAATTCTCTCGCACCCAGCCAGTAAGCGCTGGGGCTTCATCATTGATGAAGATGCCGCGGTACTTGATGCTAGGCGGACCGCTGATGGTGGTCTTGTGAGTAGCGAAGATCTGAGGGTGGTGTTGTGGTGGTACATCCGCCCACCAATACCAGCTTGAAATGATCAATTAGTTCATGGATGTGGCTCAAGTTTGACGTATAAATGAAGCAAGGAACAATTAACCCGGTGCAGACGGGCAGGGGCAACCTTACGGCGAGACTCCCATCTGCTCTGATAGTGTGTAGGTCCCATATATTGCTCCCCTTTTGTCACTACCAGCAATGACAAGGGCCCAATTGCAGCCGTCGAAAGGTTCGTGGACGAGGCTCGTTTGGAATGACTCCCACTTGCCACGGATTCCAGAGAAATCGACCTTTCCGCTGCTTTCCAATCGCTGCACAAGAGGACTGGAATCGACGCTCCCAACGACAATGGCAACAGACCCAGGGACATCAAAGCGGGCGTCGTTGCTCCTGATGATTGGCCTCGGTGACACCTTCGTAACCCGGGCGAAATCTTCAGCTAGGTTTCTGGCCGCGATGTGTACGCCTTCATGGTCGCGCTCATCCACGACGATGACGGAGCTTTGTAACTCAACAGGGGCATTGGGGCCGCTGGCGAACACGACGAGATCGTCGTCAGGGGTCGCTAGGGCGAAACCGGTGTGCGGTCGCACCAAGTTTTGTAAGGGCATCTCGATTGAGCGCAAATGTCGATGAGTCCAACCGGTAGGTTCACTTTGGGGACCTACGCGCTGGTTACACAGGCACCTCGGCGGCCATTTCCCCGCGTCACCGGAGGTCGTGTGTGCAACAGCCGAAATATGTGGATAGATGCATGATATGCAGTAAGGCAGCATCATGCCTTGTCGGGGCTTCTATGCTCACCTCATCTCCAATAACTCTGAAATTGAAGACGAGTATGACACAAAACATAACACGTTTGAACGTCGAGTTTGGGGAGCACTGGAGGTATTTGAGGTGCAAATCTCAGTTGAGTGTTGTCTGCATTGCTTGGGAGTGGCTCGGACAAGTCCGCATCTACGTATGCATCCTCGTTTTCGTGGGATACATGCTTACTGAGGCGGTAGGTTCACACTTGCAATATGCAAGTTGCTGTTTTACACCAACTGCTCGATAACCACAACATTGTTCAGCCGTCAACAGACCACAGTCTCCCACATCAGCCAGCAACTTCGCGATGCGGTGCATCTTCCGCGGACTGGCGGCTTCCAGGCCACTCATTGGAATGCACCAATGTTCCCGGATCTCACACCTCTACCCTCGTCCTCAATATCCCAACAAGTGGTTCTCACGGTCCTCGAAGCTATGTGCCCGACCGAAGCATTACACGCCCGAGCAGCTTGCCGCCTTCACCAACCACTATGCAGTCCTCGGGTTGAGTCAAAACGCCGCCGATAAGGACATTAATAGAGCCTTTCAATCGCTCTGCATGAGATTCCATCCAGACATGATACGGAATACAGATAGCCAGGAGTATTGGGACAACCCCCGCCGGCCCGAGTTCGTCAAAGTAAGTATACCTTCTACGATGGTCTCCCACACGCAGAGCGTCACGCCTTTTTCACTGACAATTAATGCATATTGATCAAGATCAAGAATTCGAGGGACTTCCTCCTGGACCCAGCCAAGAGGAAACCATACGACGCCGAGTACAACGACGTCCTTCTGGCGCTTAAGCGACTCCTGGCAGAGCGCGAACCACGGGATGTTGACTCGAAGAAGACCATAGCTTCACATTTAAGGCTGGACCACCCCGCAACCTCCGGAGACGGACGGCCAATACGTGACCATTGTGTCGTCCAGGTACCCGGCCTGTCACCTCAGGTCACCGTCGCCGACCTCGTCAGGGCCATTGCTGAAATGAGGCCCGTCGGGCGGGTCATCGACGCGAGGCTGATGCAGCCATCGATGGTCAACCCGCACCGCGCGGCATTCGTTGAGTTCCCCGACGACGCCAGCGCCCAGCGCCTTGGACTCCTCGCATCTCGCTGCCACTTCAACGTCCTGGGCAAGCGGGTATGGCACTGCAAGCTCGTGTCCGTGAAGCAGGGGAACTTGCGGGCCCCCTCCGCCCGCGGCCGCGCGCGTCTTGCTCATTGACGGCCCAAGGGACCACGAGTTGATGACCATCAGCGCTATGGGGGGCTTCTTTAATCGCAAGATCAATTCCTTCGACACGAAACAAGACAGATACAGTGTGATGGACAGCGCAAAGGGGCCCGACTCGGTCACGATTGAATGTGTCTTCGTGAGCTGGAGGAGATGTGCAGTCTTTGCCCACGCGGCACTGAGGCAGGAGTATCCGGAGCTCACGGTCACCTATGGGCAGGACCCATGCGAGTGAGCTGGCTTGTTTTACGGTCGCCCATTGACCACGCGCGTCACCTCTGTGTGTTGATCAACATATTGTTGACGTCGTTCCTGTTCAGTGTGCCCGAGCACCTACCGCGAAGCCGACAATGGACAAGACTCGGAACTGGCAAGCCAGCCGTCGGCATTCAGCCCGCGGCCTAGGGGACTGGTTTGGGCCATTTTGACAGGACTTTTGACCAAGGAGACATCGGTGTCTCGCATAATCGTGTGTTGAGCGCAGGACTTTTCACGAAGCCTGTTGTCAGGCATTTGTCTGGGAATTTCCCTGATTGCATTCTCAGCCGTGTAGATCAATTGAGATTGAGAATTCTTGTGGGCTGTGAGACTGTGTATGAAGCTGCTGCCTGAGGAAGTCATGACAGATAGAACTTGGAAAATGCTTGAGAAGGTCATTGCACTTGATGGCAGGTGACCAAATTGGTTGTATTTGTTTTTGGATCATTATAAGTTGGTCTTTCCCAACACTCTATGCCACATTACTGACCACACCCTGCCTTGTGCATCTATTAACGCGTCTCAGGCCTTGTTTGGGATCGTTACGGAGTCAGCATCGAGGTGCTGCACACCAGCGACATCCTTCTCCATTAGGTCTTCCGGCCTCTCGACACCAGACAACCCAAGCTGGGCATAGATACGGTCCATCCTGGCCTTGTCTTCCTGAGCAATGGTAGTGTCATCGCCTCCAAAGTAGATGTCAAGCTCCTCCAGCGTCTTGTCCTTGGTCTCGGGGACCATCTTCCACACAAACACAGTGCCCATGGCGCAGAAGCACGCGAAGAAGATGTAGGTCCCGTACTTCATCGACGCCAGCATGTCCTTGGTGGTAAGGCCAATGACAAAGTTGAACATCCAGTTGGTGGACGCGACAATGGAGACACCCCGGGACCGCAGGGAGTTGGGGAAGATCTCTTGGGCCAGGACCCACGAGACCGGCCCCCACGAGTACGCGAAGTTCACCGCGAATAGCCAGATGAAAACGATGGCGACCCAGCCGCCGGCGCGGTGGGAGGGCCAGTCGTCCTCGAAGGAGCCTTCGACCGCGGCGACGACGACGTGGCAGGCCATCATTCCGAGGGCACCCGCCATGAGGAAGGTCTTTCGACCAAATCTGTCAAGGTATAGGACAGCAGGGAAGGTGAATAAGACTTGAAGAATTCCAGTCACTCCAGTAGCCAGAAGGGTTGTCGTGGTGTCGGTGAATCCAAATGTAGCGAATATCTGAGGTGCGTAGTAGAGAACGGAGTTGATACCAGTCTGAGAATAGAGCCATTAGCATCATGTTATCCCTCATAGAAATTTGCATGCACGTATATCAGCTTACAAATTGCTGGAAGATCATGATCCAGACACCGATCGCAACACGCTTCAGCATATTCATCTGGAACATTGGCTTCCAGGTGCCAAGACGGCCATTCTGGGCAAGCTCCGACTCGACCTCATCGTCGAACATGACCGCGGCCTTGATCTCCAGGAACTCGGCCTTCAGGACCGGGTCTTCGGGTGTAAGTCGTCGGAGCTTTGAGAGCGCGGACAGGCAGTCCTCGTCGCGGTGCTTCATGGCGAGCCACCGGGGGCTAAAGGGTAGGAAGAACATGCCAATAAAGAGGGTCCAGGCGAAGACGAGCTGGAGCGCCAGGGGGAACCTCCACGAAATGTCCTTCTCGCCAGAGCACAGATGGCCGTGGGCGGCGTTGTAGTTGAAGGAGCCGTCCTCGAGGTACCAATCGGCCTCGGGGACTCCGTAGGGCTTGCACTCGCTGCCACCGACAAAGTGCATACCGTAGTCCAGCCAGAAAGCAATGGCGGTACCGATAGTAATTGAAAGCTGCTGCAGAGATACAAGACCGCCACGGAGCTCCGGGGGCGCGATCTCAGCCTGGTAGAGCGGGACAACCATGGAGAACATGCCGATCCCGAAACCCCCAATGACACGGCCCGCAAAGAGGTGGTCGGACTTGGTGGCGGCGAACTGAAGACAAGTTCCGGCGGTGAAGATAACCACAGCAACCATCATGGCGTACTTGCGGGAGATGGCGTCAGCCAGCCAGCCGCAGAAGAGGGCACCCGCCCAGGCGCCGAGCTCGAGGGCGGCGACGAGCCAGCCCTGGGTGGTCGAGCCCATGAGGTCCGGGAACTGGGCCTGGAAGTTCTCCATGACCAGGATGGACGACATGACGCCCTGGTCGTAGCCGTACATGCAGCAGCCGATGCTGGCGAAGGCGCAGGTCATGAAGACGTACGGGTTCTTGAGCATGCCCACGATGCCGTGCTCCTTGTCGGCGGCCGCGCGGCCGACGGCCGACTGGCTGGTCACGGCTCCTCCTGCGACCATCTTGTGTGTGTTGTGATCGGAGGTTGGGGGGGGGGGGGGCTGGGAGTTGCAACGAAGTATAGGAGTGACCGACAAAAGGGGTTCCGATATGCTCGAAAGCAGGTGGTCAAGGACTGCCCTTTTATCTACAACATTTCTCGGTCCATGGCTCAGTCCTATGCCTGTTCTCTCTCGTTGACCACCTGGCCCTTCACCACTTCGTATCTTTGGAGCGCCGTTACGCTATCTCCGATCCGTGGTGTCCACGATCATCTCAAGGGTCAGGCAGGACTCCCGAACCACAGCCTCTCCGGGTCCTCGAAACCAATCAGCCGCTCGGCAAGGAGGCATGATTCGCGGCGCAGGACCCCCAATCTCGAAGATTGTACAAGATGGGCCGGAATGCGGCCGATCCGTAGACCGCTTTGGGCTGCAGTAAGGCTCTGGTGTCGTATCTTATTGCAGGCCACACGAAGCGGGTGGCATTCGCCCTCTACGAACCGAATAGGGAACCTGTAGCGTTGTGGCTGGCATCCACACAAGTCCACCCTCGGCGGAGGCCTGTGTTGCGTGAAGGCCTGGGGAAAGGCAAGAATGATGTTGCCCAGGCTGACTGACCCCTGAGTCGTCTCCAAGCGAGCCCACTGTGAGCCTGGGAGACTTCTCTGGGGTTGAAGCCTTGAACTCGGCCGTACTCGCGGTGATATTCTGGGGCTAGGAGGGACTGGTCCCGGAGGATCGGGAACGGCGAAGATTGGCTAGGAGGAGGATCTCGGACAATGCAATGGATGAGAACCACAATCCACACCTTGGGCAGGGTTACTCAGCATTCGTCGGACAGATTTGGGTCCCGTGTGCAAAACTGTGTGTGAAATGAAGTTGACCCGCGATTGATGACTCGTCTGAAATGTTGAGCCCACGCTGTCAACGCCGTCCAGGGACTTGGTTATAAGGCGTGGGAGTTCCCAGAATATCAACGTATCTATCATTGATGCGACGTTAACGGCCAGGATTTATGATAGTGCGATAGCAAATATCAGGGTGTGATTGCTGACAAGCCAAGACAAGCCATCAATGCTTGATGGCCCTTGGCAGAAGCTTGGTGAAGTTCCCGACGCGGCATCCGCGATGGCCCCGCGGCTCTGCTCTGGTAAGCCATGCCAGGAGCGTATCTCGTTCTCCACAGTTCGCGTAGCCATACTGTCGGGACGAGAGAGGCACTGGGATTTCCTATGGAGCAGCAGAGGTCGGGACGATCGGCATTGGTTCTCGGCCCGATTGTGGATCCAGGTGGGATCGGCGTCGGCTTCGGCCAACGACGACGTCGCTTGCAGAATTTAGCACGAGGTCCTCCCCCCGGGGAATCTGGAGTAGTGTTCTCGAATCATCCCAATGCCCATGGGGTGAATAATGGAGGTCTGCAAGCTCCTCTTTTCAAGCTTAGTGCGCTACTGATAGTCACCAATGGACTAATAAGATACCCATTGAAGTCCCTGGAGCACATTTTCAAGTGTCCACCGCATAAGGAGCGGAACATGCCCGAAACGTCACCCATCGCTTTGGTAAGCCTAGGTCAGCATAATGACAACTACTGTGGTACCCGGCGTAATTATTACCTCCCTGCTTTGTACTCATGGTCTGTGCTTCTTGCAGCACGCTTATTCAGCAAGTACCCTCTCCCTCTCAATTATTGCAAGCAATACAGTGGGCCCACTTCGGTACGTACCTCTTTTCTCCACTGTAACTCCACTTCGACTTGCTAGGGGGATTTTATTTCCAGGGGACACCACAGTATTCGTTGCCAGGTGTTTCTCGGCAACATTTCTTCGGGTTCTTCAAGAGCACACAAAGTCAGCATCTCGACACCATTGATACTCCGGAGCTATGCCACCTATTTCAGTGGACAGCGAAGTCAGTGGAGCCACCGTTTCTGAGATAGTAAGGCGTAGATATGATCAATCGTGATTACAAGTGCCATTGCATGTGTGTGTGCTCATAGCACGGTCCAGCTGACAATGTGGTAACTAATTGAGAGTAAGTGAAACCAAAGACACCTGGCACGCTTCCGAAGCAACTCCAATTCTTGAATGGCTTCCGATAATTTCATACCTCTGAAGAAATAGCAGTGCGTCAACGAGCCTCGATATTGTTACTCTTGCTACTCAAATTGCTCAAGTGCGCCGCAATCGCTGACAGCGTCGCTGGGCCTTCATCGTGCGCAGAATAGGCATCATACCCCGACTTAGCAATAAACACACTCCTCAGCCCCGACTGTGTCCAGGCAGAGAGCCAGCCTTGCACTGTGGAATCGTTACATCCAGCCAGAGAAACGTCACGCATGATAAACGACGACTTCTGCCCTCGATTGCTGGGAAAGCTCTTCGCCAACACCGTGTCGTCGTAAGCCCATGGAAACTCCTCAAAGACAATCACGGTGTCGGCTAGGCCATAGTACTCGGGATGCACGGGACCCGCGCCGGGGTTCAGTGCGATCTTGGGGCCCTCGAGTCCGTACGATGCCCATATCCTCTCGGCGTAGATGACTGCAGTCGTCATGTAGTATACGTCGCCCTCGGCCTTGTCCGTATCCGGGTTGTTTGGGACCTTATCGATGAAGATCCCGTCGAGAGCAATGGCTTGGTCATGCAGGTGCCAGCGGGCCCAGTAGCTGATGTTGCCCGCCACATCGCCGAGATATGGAGAGTTGTAGGCGGCGTGCACATAGCCCCAGGTCTGCACATTGGTCTAAGACTTTAGAATCGAGATTGCGTTGCGCCACTCGTCGTTGTAACCCGGCTCTCGGCTGCCCGGCCCGTCTTCGACGTTGAGGATGACATGGAAAACAAGTCCGGGATTTTCACCGATCACTTTGTAAATGTAGTCCCATGCGCCTGCTGTGGGAAAAGTGGCCCGAATCGGGGGGTAGCCCGAATGTGGGCCACTAGACTTATACTCCTCCCTCTTTGTACCATTGAACCTTAATGGAGACCTTGTTGCTTCGTTCGTCACTCCGAATCCCCGCTCGCGATGGTGTCCTATCTTACGAAGGCAGAATTGATACGGACATAGGCCTTGCGAGTTTTCTACAAGATATGGGCGCATTATGGCCTATTCCATTGTTACGATTCCCAGTGTTGTTCGTTTTATTCGCCGCTTCATATGAATGTCTGTGGGTTTCAGAGAAAAGTTCGATGACCACGTCATATATCACCGGGTATTTATCCTATACAGGGGGGACTCATTGTACATCTCAATGGCCAATGGGAGGTGTGACCATGTGAGCTCAGGAGCAGTTTACCAGATATTTGTTTTCAATGTGAAGAGAGGACATGTCAGAACAATCTCAATCCTAAGCCCTAGTACAGCGCTACATTTAATGGAGCAATAGTCCGTGAAGTTTTCGCATCACTACTGGGATGGAATGAGATACAAATGAAAGCGTATTAATTCCAGCCTATCAGATGTTCCTATCAAAAACACAGCATCCCGAGCGTTATGGAATGAATGGTTTGGGAGGGGCTAGAACAGCGACGGAATAATGAGTGTGAGACTGCGCACGATATCATGTGATTACCACCAAACAAACATGCAAACCCCTCGAAGAACGAAAACCAGTCAAAAGAGTGAGAAAACGACGACCATTCAATGACCATGAGTGCACGTTTCACCACGGATTGTCGTTGGTGGTAGCGAGATAATACTGCCCCGAAGCCGCCTTGACGGCGCCGTTCACGTCCTTGAAAGCAGTCTGCACGGCGGCGCTGTTGTCATAGTTGGCTCCAGAATAGCCGTAGATGATACCGTCAACTTTTATCGAGTCCACCAGCTGCTTGACATGCGCGGAGTCCCCAGCCGCGGTAGTCCACGAGAAGACCTTGGCAAACTTTCCCGACGAGGCAGCCGCCGTCAAATCGGCGACCCTGTCCGCGAACCCGTTCCTGATGGTGGGATCGCCCCAGGAGTAGACGCGCCGGCTCCTGTCTCCTGGGCCGGTGCCGTCGAAGCCCTGCTGAGCCCACGCGAGGTTCCCGTCGAGGTTGACCGCCTCGTTCCTATTGAGACTGTTGGCGATCCGGGAGTACGTGTTGTACTTGTAGTTAGTCCCGTAGAAGCCATACAGGGCCCTCACTCCAACTGGCTGCAGGATCTCGCGGGCCAGGTCCCGGAGGGCGGTGACGGAGCAGTGCACCCACTTGGGGTCGTCGGCGTTGCACCAGTCGGCGTTCTTGATGTCGAACCACACGAACGTCACAGGCTTGCCGGCCCTGCGCTGGTCGGCAACCGCCTGGAGCACGTCTCGTGCCGTGCCGCCGGCGCTGTTCTGCTCCCCGTCGTGGTCTGCCCACCAGCCGGTCTTGCTCCAGGGCTGGAAATCTATCTCGATTGCGTTGGCACCATGGCTGGCGGCATCTTTGACGCCCTGAACAGTGAGAACTCGGTGGGCTATGGCGTAGAAGGGCTTCACTGCCCGTGAGTGCAGGAGATTATCCGACTCAAGCTCGCTACTAGGGCTTCGCAGATCGAAGGTACGATCCCTCGAGACGACGTCGGGAGTCGATGTTGGGAGGGCACAGGCCGGCATTAGCTGGCTGGCGAGCAGGACACACAGGCCAAAGACGAGTCTCGTTGTGAATAGCATTGTTGAGAAATTGGCTAATTGATTGATGATAGAGCTTCTGAACTATCTTGTCTTCTCTGAACTCGAACCATCAAATCTTTATACTTGTTCCAACTGCTTGCAAGGCAAGACTCCGGTGAGCAGGGCGTCTATGTGTCATCATGAGCCATAGTCGTTGCTTACAAGAAACATAGATCACATCATTCATTTTAAGAGACATACGATGAGGCTTGAACGGCAGAGTGATCTCACACCTAGGTATAGAAGCATGAGTCAGCCCTGTTGCACCGCGGCTGAGACACTGGCTAGGGAGGCTATTCAGCTCGTAACGTAGCAGGCCAATGTCAGTTAGAAGCACCTGGCGTCATCTGATTGCGTGTTCTACCATTCTTCACATGAGACACACAAGCTTATTAAGGTCTATTCATCTACCGCTCTGGCAGGTAATTTCAACGGAAGTAGGCACCCAACCACTACACTGGACAATGGAGAAGGCCTCGCCCAGAACCAGACCTTTCCGGGCATGGCTTCAACTGTCATTTGTTGACAATTAACACAACACAATTACGAGCAGCTGACGCTGGAATGAGTCCAGTGCCTAGTAGTGCTCTAGCCTTATGTGCATTTGAGGGTCACCGGCCTTCCTCCCACATTAAGCAAGCGCCTCGAGTGGCCAAGACCCGCTATGCTCTGCGTTCATCTTCAACTGCTTCCACGTTGCACTTCTTCCTTGTCAATTGAATTGCTTCGACTAGAGAACAGACAATCTGGGCTTTGTCACCTCCCAGCCATAATTAGGACCGCTAGATAGCATCTTCTCTTGCCCAAGAGACTACTTTTCCATCAGATTTTGGCCAACATGTTCTCTGCTAGTAACGCGGAACTTGTATTGAAGGAGTAAGCTGCAAGGAACAGAAACAGGGGTTGCACAACATACCACAAGCCGCATGTACTGCAGGATTCGGCCAAGGCCCACTACCGTGCTGACGACCCACCTGCCGACATGTCTGCCTGGGCAAGCTCGTTCACGGAAATCTGACAGCACAGCAGCAACAAGTCCCCATGCATGTACGAGGCCGCCATACACCTCGTCACCCACGAAATGAGAATCCAGCAACCTCATTCCGAGACAGCCTCGGAGGAGACGGCTACAACCAAAAGCTCCCCTGGACCGTCGCTGCACGAAGCTGCGAAAAATGGGGATGTCCGCAGCCTGAGAAAAACGCTCCGCTCGCTCCGAATTGGATGTCAACGAGCTCGACGATGAGGACAGAACCGCTCTACATTATGCATCCAACTCGCTGATCGCGGAGAAACTTATCAACGCCGGTGCAGTTATCGACATAGAGGACGCAGAGGGTTGCACGCCCCTGCACAGGGCGGTGGCCGAGCGCCGACTCGACGTGGTCTGGCTCCTGCTCACTCACAACGCGAGGACCGACACCCGTGATGACGACGGCAAGACGCCCATGGCTCATGCCAAGGGCTGTCCACCGGCAGAGTCGATGCTCCGCCACGGGACCTCGACCGCTCTGCTCCGCGCCGTGGAGGCCGACAGGGCAGACATAGTCGAGGCCCTCATCGGCGCCGGGGCCGACAAGGAGGTTAGGGACGGGAGAGGCTTTGTCGCCCTCATAGTGGCCACCTTGCGGGGGTCCTGGGATGCAGCTCGCGTGCTCATCGAGCACGGCGCGGACACCGACGTCTACGGGGACATGGGCAACGGCGTGATTCACATGGCGGCCCATCGTGGGCCAGCGGACTTCATGGAATTTCTCCTCGACAGAGGACTGCCCATCAACTACCAGAACCACTGGGGCGGCACACCCTTGCTCGAGGCCGCGGAGCGCGACGGCCGGGACGAAGTCATCGCCCTGCTCCTCGAACGGGGCGCCGACCCGGCGCCCAGGAACAACGCAGGCTACACGCCGCTGGGGCTGGCCGCGCTGGCCGGCAAAACCAAGGTCGTCAAGATGATACTGGACCGGATGAAGGGGCGCGAGCTGCTGAGGCCCCGCAGCAGGTCAGACCCGGGGCCGGCCGGCTGGTCCCCGCTGGCCGAGGCGAGCCACCACGCGCACCCGGAGTGCGTGCGCCTGCTTCTCGAGGCCGGCGCTGAGGTCAATGTGGGGAATCACGATAACACGCCTCTACACCTCCTGCTCTGGCCCACCAATGCGGTCCGCAGGGTCACAGACCGGGTTGAGGTCATGCGGCTGCTGCTCGAGGCCGGGGCGTCGATCGATGCCAAGGGACCAAGTGAGATCACGCCTCTCGCAGCAGCGTGCCGGTGGGGGTCGCTTCCTCTGGTCCAGGTGCTCATCGATGCTGGCGCGGACGTGGACAGCTTATCTTGGGCCACGGAGGGGTCTGAGAAGGAGTTCGGCTACACGAATCTTATGCTCTCTGTGGCGTTCGGGGGCGATGACAACCTCGACGTTGTCACGGCATTGATAAAGGCGGGGGCAGACGTGAATAAACGAACATATGGAGCGAAGAAGTTGAACGCGGCGGAGATGGCGCATAATCGAGGCAGGATGGATATTGTCAACATCCTTGAAGATGCTGGGGCGATTCCTGACAAACCCCGTAATACTTCTGTAGGCCGAGGGAGGCGTTGATAGCAGTTGCATAGTTGATGCCGCTCGAGAGATTAGGTGCACATATCAATGTCACCTTGATGTGAGATGGTTCATATCGCATCTTTGAGGGTATCTACTACAATGATGGAAATTAGCAAGAGATTTGAGTTATGAGGATTGAGTTGTGACAATTATGTGAAGCTCCCAGTCATACATCTGACACAAAAGACAAGGCTCTTTTCCTTGCAGGCTTTTGGGAAGCCAAGGTTTGAATAAAAAAAAAACATTTTATAGAGAAGAAGAAAAAAAAGAAAACGGAGATTCGCAGAGTAGAAAACAGAGGGTACAGAGGTACATGCAGGTCCCTAATGCACGAATATTTCCCACCACCAAGAACCACCTACACCCAACTTACACACTCGATTTACATACCCATTTGCAACTTACTTTATACTTAACTCATGAATACATTATACTTAATTTACCTAAATATGAATATAGCTTTAAGTACATAAATAAGGTATAGGTATATAAATTGGGTATTTGAATTGGCTATCTGAGTTGGGTATGTGAGTTGGGTGTGTAAATTGGCCTGCCCTGGTGTTTGAATTCCGTGTGCGGTGTGGGAGTTGTATACCTCTATACCCTCTGTTTGTTGCTCTGCGAATCCCCGTTATCAAAGAAAAAGTTAGCGTGTTTGATTCTGCTACCTCTGGAAAGGATCAGGATGGCATATGCACTACCGGCTGTTGAACAGTTGATACTGGCGTTTCTGTAGGGTTGAACTTGACAATCCTGACAACGCCAGTCTCGTGTACAAGAGCAAGCGTCTCGCCTCTAAAGACTGAAGCCCTTGAACGATATGCCGGTGGGAGCCATAGAATTCTCTCAGGCCCCTGATAAACCCATTGTGATCCCACAAAGAGACAATCCTGTGCATCTTCCAATTGGTCCTTCGAGTCCATCTCCTGATCGGGTAGCGAGGACGGGACGGGTAGTCAACCTTGGTCGCACAACAAGTATCGGTCATCCAAAAAGGACAGAGGGCCGATCTCCTCTTTAGTGGAATACCTACCAATCTCCATGCCAGTTGTAGTGTCCCACATCTGGACAGTCCGGTCCAACTCTCTCGATGATGCAGCCACGAGCTTTCCTGTTGTTGAGATGGCCATGCTCAGGAAAGTGTACCACCTGTCAACCGGCCCATGAAGTTTGAACTTATGTTTCAAATTCAAGGAAGCAGTCTCGTAAATGTTGATATAGCGGTCAGCTGAATCATGCAAGTGAGGGGGGTATCGTTCTTCAACCGCAAAGAGGTGGCTTTCGGGGTGGAACACCAGATCGCGCCTTGCCCAGGTACCCGTTCTTCCTTCCCTGTCACTAGTTTCAAGAGTTTCCATGACTCCTCGCATTCACATTGGAATCCAACCACTTGACCATTGGGTGAGATATTCACTGTGTGGTTTTCAGAATCCCACAAAGTCGTCAGCAAAAGTCGCTTCCTGTAGGGCAGGTTCCACAACTCGAATGTATACTCGTCGGTCTCAAGGTCGACTTTGGAAAGGCCGACAATCTGACCGGTTGGTGAAAATTTGATGCCATCAAAATTGAATGTCTCCCATGACATCATCTCCTGAAAGGTCGTGCTGTTGACTATCCGAACTCCACGGTCGGTCGAAATCAGGACCATATAATTGCTGTCTGGCGAGAAGACAATGTTTCTCAGTCGGTTGGATTCCAAGATTTGTGTTGTCATGCTCTTGTTCCAGAGCTGGCAAATTCCTCCGTCTAATTTTAGCACTATATATCTTCCGTCCGGGGAGGAATCGATCTCCCTAACATGGTCGATCGGCAGCGACTTCATACGGCCATCGGTCGCACCCCATATACTGCCCACTCCCCCCCCCTGTTGATTATCAAATTTTCATCGGATGAGAAGCGGAGGTTATGAACCCGATCAAAGCCTCTACCAGGTAACTTATTCCCGACCGCAGTCGAGCGCATGTCCCAGAAACTAAGGGTGTTATCACTGCCTCCTGATACTAGCAACTCGCCGTCTCGAGAGAGTGCAAAGCATGTGGCTTTGTGAGAAGTGTGGAATTTCCTCACTATTGACCAGGTCTTCACATCACGAAGCTCAGTGCTGCCGATGGCGGTTCCAATGAGCACAAAATTCTCGTCTGGTGGCAGCAGTGAGATTGATGTGATAGGATCATTGTAGGAGGCTTCGAGCTTTTGTTTTCCTGTTGAGAGATCCAATAGACAAACCTTCTTCCACGGTGAGATTACTGCGGCCTTCCCGTCCATGAATATCGCGACTGTCTGGACGTAAGTCGTGTCGACATCGTCGAACGTCCTGACGCACTCTCCATTGTCCACATTCCACATTGTCATACTGTCACCTCCTCCCACTATCGGAAACCGGCCGTCTGGCGTAAACTCAGCCACTTTAGGCGGTTCATCTCGTACTAAAAAACAACAAACATGAGTTGTCTGTCTTTCGTCGATGTTCCATATTCGGACGGTGGTATCGCAGGACGCCGATGCTAAAGTCTTGTTGCTTTTTGGCGAGAAGGCCACGTTTGATACACGGTTGTTGTGGCCTTCCAGGTCGATTACATTCCCCGTTCCAAACTCCCTTACATTGATGAGCCCATCATCCGACCCGAGTGCAATTGATCTTCCGTCTGGCGAAAAGGCTGCGTAGAGGTACCACTTTCGCTCGTCAAACCTGAAGCGCTCGGTGCCTGTAATGTAATCCTAGAGTCTTGCTGTTCTATCGTATGAGGTGGAGACGACGAGGTTGTCGGTAGGGGAGACGGCGACAGAATCAATTCCATAACTATGCCCCTCAAGGACGGAGAGTTCGGGAGTCCAATCTTGCTCAACTACCGGCCTTTGTGTCATCCAAGGAGGCATGTGATGTTGAAATACAGACTTTATCTTGCTAGTCGTTGGACTGAAGACAAGCGCAGAGGCATAGATTTGCAGTGGTGCATGATCGATAATCCATCTGTTCCCGAGTATGAAGCGCTTGGCGTCGTAAATCGGAGAAGATAAATCATGATGTTCGGAGTGCTAGAGATCCGTGAGACAAAGGACTTGGTTTCTTAATAGAATGACTTACCACGACCAAAGTCTGCAGCTGATTAACAATGAGTATGGCTGTTGGTATCTCCTTGATAAGGCTCATCGCCTCGAGCCAATACAGGAAGCATTCCTGAAGAAACGCATGGATCTTTCCACCGTCCATTAACCCAGCTTCCCTAAGATGGCTGTTGTCCAACTTAGCAAGATGATCAACCCAGTACCGGCATGCGTATCGCAAATGCTGCGGGATGTTCTCCTCGATTCGAATGTGTGGTATCTCCGAAGCCATCTTTCCTGGAATGACGAGTCCGCAGATGTCCCGGCAAAGCCTCGAGGACATGATTTCAAGGCAGCGAGAAAACAACTCTTTGTGCATTTCGGTCTCGTCAACCCGGAACTTCAGTTGCTTCGATCGCTTCTTGCTGAGGATGAAATCGCGAAACGATAAGTGGACCAAATCAAGGGATGATTTATCGTCCCGGGGGACGCCGACTATGGCATGAAGTTTCTTGAGCAATTGAGCCAGGCTCACCGGCAAGGGTGGGAGCAAATTCTCAAGCGCAGAAGTAGCGACAGGCTCGAAAAGAGCTGCGAGAAAGCCAAGAGTCATGCGCATACCGTCGTAGGTCCTTTGTCTTGTCTTTGGGGACATTTGTTCGCGATCGGGAAATGACAGAACCTTGAGATAAATCTCATCTACTTTCTGCTGGGGAGCATCGGCCTCCCATTCATCGGTTTCCGAGTCGTCGGTCTCTGAATAATCCTGAAATATCTGGTCCAGTCGCTCTTGCCTAGCTTTCTCATCAGGGAAGTCCTCGGCATCCAGGAAACGACAGGCTGTCGCCGCATAAATGAACAGGCCGTCAGCCTTCATCCTGAGCTTGTTGATGCTGGCTTCATCGATACAGTCTTGCGCGGCGCCATGCTTCTTGGCTATTTCAGCTATTGTGTGCGAGAGATAGAATTTGATGTCGTCCTCTGTGCTTTGTCCCTCCGTGTATGGTTTGATCTTGTCAAGAAACACCGAGCGATGTAAATTCTTGGGTAACTTTCCGAAGCTTCCGAGGATGTGCTTTTCGGTTCTGCTGGTGATCAGGAGCCGGAGTTGCACACCTGATGGAGGTCTTCCAGAGTCGCCAGCATGCTAAGCAGCTCCTCAGCTTCGGTTCGCTTCACACATTCGTCCAGACCGTCTACCACGACCACCAGTCGTATGGGTAGGAAGGTTTGGCCATCGAGGGAGGAGGGGCCTGGTGATTAGATATTCGAGCTGCTGCGGAGGGGCTTTCGTCCCAATTGCCAGGTTCTCATTGATTGCACTAGCGATGAGCGACCTGAAGTCCATAAATACGTCTGCCAGGCATCTGGCGAGAGTCGGGAAGAAAGCCTTCGCGCTGTTCCTGGTTGCATCGCCTTGCTTAAAGAAAAAGCTGGCGCCGAGGAATGCCGTTGCAGGGGCATTTGTTCTCTTTGTGAATGGTTTTCTCTGGTTTAAGGCATCGGCGACGGTCAAAGCAACGCTCGTCTTTCCGGTGCCAGCCATACCATGTAGCCAGAATATTACTTCCCCTGCAGGATTCTCCGCCCAGTCTCGGATTTCGCTCAGAATGCGGCGCTGAGTCCCTTCCAAACAAGGCGCTTCGGCGCCTAAGACCTCAGCTGAATCAAACGTGGCATTTCCAGCAAATTGCAAGGACAACAAGAACTCCATCTGCGTTCCAGTGAAAGGATTCAACATGTCAGTGTGAATGAGTTTCTTTTGGAAATAGGATTACTCACCTCCAGTGTGGACCTTTGCAGACCTTTAATCTCCTCTGTTCTCGCTTTGATTTCATTTATCGCTTTCCAGGCCTCTGACGTGCGGATACCAACTCGGTCTTGGATACCTTGATCAACAAGCCGGCTGGTAGACTCAATATCGTTCCACATTCCTTTCCAGTCGTCGGCGCTCACAATGTTTCTGACATTACGAAGCCATTTAATCCTCCCATATTGCAGAATGAATCGAATCTGGTACACGTATACTTGGGCGTAGACGCTCACAAGTTTGCTTCTGATGATTGATAGGAGCTGGCGAGTAGCTTCGGTTTGGCTGGAAGAGTTAGTTTTCCTTCCAGTGTAGGCTGCTAGTTCTCCTTCGAAACTGAAGCTTACCTCGGGTCTTCGAACTCATCAGACAAGACTGTTTCCTGGAGTTGTTGGTATCGAACTAGAATGAACAGAATGTTGTTGAGGCCATTCGCTGCATGTTCGTCTTGCTGGTATAGGTTCTCTAGCATCTACCAAGACTTGTTTAGCACCAAACGATAAGACCCGAATTTAAGACGAGACACAAAAATGCATGGAACTTACGGGTAGGATAGTTAGAATGCAACCCCAAGCCAAGGCAGCGTGCGGTTCAGCTGAAACGGCTTCGCTGACGATGGGCTTGAATGCTTTCACCGTTCGAATGGCTTTCTGGACAAGTTCTCGAACAACAATACGCCTTCCACCGATTGAGAAGGCGGTTCGAGCTTCTGGAAGCTTCTCAAGTTTCGTCTTGGCCAGCTTTTGGATCTCCTCAAGTCGCTCTACACCCTCAGAGACGGTGGAGATATTTTCTAAACTCTCGTCAGCTGCATCTATTGTGCGTCAGCCTTTTCATAGCAGTGGACGTCCGTGGATTTCAGTGTTTCTTCAAGATACATACCATGCTCTGCATTGCGCAGATACTTTTCAAACGTTTCGAGGAGGTGAGAATACTCTGGATCGTTTTTGATAGTCCTATAAGCTTCGGCCCAGAGACTTTCCCAGTAAGCTGCCCGGCCTAGGCCTACCTGCATAGAGTACGCAAATCGGGCTCGTGCCAGACTTGAGACTTTGGAAATTGTGTGGGGTTAGAAAGATTAAGTATCCATTGTAGAGTCCAGTTCTGTCGGCCAGGGACAATCTCACAGAGAGTACAAGACTGGGCTCGGTCGTACCTTGCTCAGTTCCTTGCTGAACTCACAGCCCCTAGTCCGGAATTCTCAGCCGTTGTTCAGCGACTGCTCAGCCTAGAACTGCAGCAACTCAGCTCTGCGAATGGAGATATATTTTGGTGTAATGAGCTTCGTCTCTAAGCATTTTGGTACATACTTCCGACAATGACATTTCTCGAGGTTCAAGTCAGTGCTGTGTACAAATCCTCCATTTTGTCAGAACAAGTTGGAAACAGCCAAGTGTTATTCTGTGTACACTCATTCGACAGAGTTCACTACATCATTATGTTGTTACGTATGTACAGAGTTAAAATTATTATCAGTTTCATGCACGACTACTCCGTGCTCCCAGACCACTGAGCTGGAATAGGGAAGGGGTCAACGCTCGTCAGCGTCGGCACCACCGCCTCAATCAACCCAGTCTCCGAATCGAATGTCAGCTTGTCGATGGTAGTCTCACGGTGAGTCCCGTCACCGTCCGGGATATGGAACCGATGATACGCGATATACCAAACATCCGTGCCCGGAACATTGAGGATGGAGTTGTGCCCCGTGCCCAAGATACCCTGGCTCGTATCCTTCTGGAGCACAACACCCTGGTACGTCCAAGGGCCGGTGACGGAGTCCGATGTCGCGTAGCCAACGCGGTAGTTCTCAGACCCGGTGTCATCGATCGAGTAGGTGAGGTGGTAGATCCCGTTCCGATACACCAGGAAGAGGCCCTCCCTGAAGTCGACAAGCCCGGTGATGTTCTGGACCGTGTCCCAGTTGATGGAAACCATGTCATTGTTAAACTGAGCAATCAGTGGCCGGCCGTTGCCCCATAGCAGCCAGTAAATCCCCGTCTCCGGGTCTTTGAAGGTCGCCGGATCGATGGCCTGGCCCGAGGTCAACTTCTCATTGTTGAGGATCATCGCGGTCGACTGTGCAGTAAATGGGCCGTCCGGCGAGCTGGCGAAGGCGGCTCCAATAGTCTTGCGGTTGTATGTCGGGTTGTGGCCACTGAAGTAAAAGTAGAACTTCCCGTCCCTCTCGATGATGGTCGGGGCCCAAGCGTTGCCGCTCGCCCATGGAACATTTCCCGATGTGCCGTTGAGGACCAGGAAAGGCTCTTCCGACCGAGACCACGTGCTGAGGTCCTGGGACGACCAGGCGTAGAACGTCTGGCCACCCCACCCAGGGAAGCCATCGCTCGTCGCGTAGATGTAGTATGTCTCTCCGAATGCCGCGATGTTAGGGTCAGCGTTCAGGCCAGCCAGGACAGGGCTGTCGCGCGGCGTGATCCTGCTCTTGCGCTCCTTTCTTGCCGTGGCAAGGCCGTCAGCGGCGGCCGACCTGGGCTTCGCGGAGCTGGTTGTCAAGGAGGAAAGCTCGGCTGCCGTGACCGGGATGACCGTGCCATGCCTGGGGCTCGAAGGGAGGTCGTAGGAGCTCGACACGGCCCACCGCGGGTCCGCGATGTCCGCAGTCTCCAGGGGGATGTATCCACGACCACCGTACTCATCCACGAACAGGTAGAACTTGTCTCCGTTGACATCGCCAGTGTTTGCCCTGAAAGCCGTAGGGCCTTCGACAGCGCTCGTGCCCGCGTTCTTGCCGATGCAGCTGGTGACGGTCGTCCATGACTCCAGCGTTGCGAGGAGCGAGTCTGATCGCTCCTGGATGATATCGCTGCAGCCCGTCCCGCTGGCCCCCTCGTCCTTGGTGAAGCGGTAGTAGATGCTGTCCGACTTCAAGACGGTAGAGTCGATCCGAGACATGCCCGCATCCTGCCAGATCTTTGTCTCGCTGAACGTGATGAAGTCCTGGGTGGTTGCATACAGCATCCGGTGGTAAGTTGCCCCTGTGCGGTTTGTGTCGGCTGCGTCGTAGAGCGATGATGCCCAGAAAACAACATAGGCGCTGATATCCTCATCGTAGTATGCCTCCGGCGCCCAGGTGTTGCCAGCTTCTGGTGGGGAAACCTGGACATGGCGCTGACTCGACCACGTCTTCAAATCGCTCGACTCCCAGACCTCGAGGTATCGGCTTCCAAACCGTACCGCATCCGACCATGACGTACCCGACCCGATCGAGAGGTCAGTGGCGACGAGGAAAAATTTGTCCCCTTGTGGTGATCGGATGAGGAAGGGATCGCGTAGACCTGTCGTCCCCTGGGAAGATGTGAGAATCGGCTGGCCGCCGTTCAGCTCTTGCCACGACAGGGCATTGTTGCCATTGCTTGCCGCCAGAAAGATGTTTTCGCCAGCGCGGGAGTTCCCTGTAAAGTACGCGAAGACATAGCCCTCGTACGGGTCCAGGGCCGCAACGGTCTGGACAGCGAAAGCAGAGGCCAAGGCCAGGAACGAGCCTGTGGGTCGCATCTTGCTGGAATCTTGAACAATGTGAGGCCTGCAACGAAGACATTCGCGTCGCACGCGCCCGAAAGCGGGTGCCCTGAACTTATGTGCACATGCTCACGAACCTGCGGCCCCATATAGGTTCACGCTATTAGGGCGCATATGCGGATCGCTGCATCTTGGTGGACTCTTTCGGTCATGCATGATGGTCGGCCGAGTTCAGAAGACAACAGTCATGGCACCTGCCTATTCGCCGCATCACGCCCCGAGTCGATTAGATTCTTGCGGGGAAACGTGGGGACCGCGGCGTGGAGAATACACGAGCAAAGTCTTGGCTTTCCGGCGTCAAAGTGCCGGGCGGGCAATATTGCGACGACATCAGTCGGGCTTATGGATGCTTAACGGTGGAATTTCTGCGCTAGCTAGGGGCATACTCTAACAGAACCAGTAGCAATTTATCATGTACAGGTCAGCCGGTCTGTGGGGACTGCTCGACCTAATTATAGGCGTCTTGGCTCACGAACCATAATTATACCTTGTTCGTTCCCCAGGTCCGAACGCTTCAATACTACCTCAGCCTTGATTTCGCAGGCATGAGTGGAACTAACCGTGACCAATTCTCACTGTTGTACCTTGCAGAATTACAGGAACAGCTATAGAATAATAAAGGACGGACGACATTGGGTCTTTGGCACCCGGGTGCGTCTGCTGAGAGCGTGTTAACAAGACTTGATAAGGACGGGCTGTGTTGGAATATTCTAGATATCTAGGCTATTATTAATACGGAATATCCTTTTCCCCATATGTTTGCCACTATATAGAGGATAATAACTATAAATAGGGGCCTTTCTTCCCGTAAAATAAATGTTAGCTAACCTAATTAACTAAGCATTTAACGCTATTATTTTAAAGGTTATAAGCTTTAAAGCTAACTTAAAATAGCAACGCTAACTTAATATGGAAAATATATATTACGTAATACCCTTAATTACCATTATTTTTAAACTTTTTAAATAAATAAGCTTTATACTTTAAGATAAACTTTTTAATTAATTATTTAATTAAGTTAATTAATAAGCCCTTAATTAATTAAATCGCCTTATTTAATATTATAAATTAACCTTATTTCTTAACTTAAAGCTTATATATAAAAACCATACTTTCTTTATTTAAATACTTAATTATTTTTTTATTAATACTTAACTTATTTATATAATTTATATATTATTTAAGAGCCCTTATTAAGAATAATGTTGGCGGGTATAGGGAATTACATAAGAAATGATACCATATTAAATTCCGGCTAGCTATAAAAAGCTAGCTTTTATACTTATTTTAAATATTTTTTTAAGAAATTAACTCTTTTCTTTTTATATATATTTAGTGCTTTAATTAAGCTTTTCTTATTTTTAAGAATTTTTAAAATATTTATCTTTTCCTTTTCTTTGGTTTCCTTTTATTTCTATCTTTTTTTTTATTGCATTAAAGCTCCTCCTTAAGTTACTCTTAAGAGGGTTTAGCAAAATCTATTCCTTATTATTTAAGTAGCTTGTTTTTATTAATAATTTAGCTTAGGTTAATTTTAGTTTTATATATTTTTAATTAATAATGAAAAAAATAAGAAGTTAGCTATAAGTTAGTTATTTATTAATTTTTTTTTTCTTATTTTTATATTAAATATTATTAAATTATTTTATATTTTAGCCTAAAGCTTTAATTAAAGCTTATATTTATCTTTAACTTATTATAAAGAAAAATTAAGTATAATTAAACTTATAATAATATTATAAGTGCTTTAAGATTATTTTTTAATCTTAAGGTACTTTTTATACTTTTAATATTTAAATAAAATATTACCTTAATTTTATATTAATATATTATTAAGCTTTAAACTTATTTTAAGTTTTTTGCTAAAGATTATATTTAAAATATAGTAGTAATATAAATTTAAAATTAAAATAATAAATTTAAACTTTATAAATATTACTTAATATTAATTAAAGGTGCTTTAAATTCTTAATTAATATTTACTATTATTATTATAATTTTAAGTTTAAAGTAAAGGGGGTTATAATGCAAAATTAAAATATTTATTTTGCTTGCTTATAAATTTAATAAATAGCATTATATTATATATTTTTATATTAATTAAATTATATAAGAAACTTAAACTTAAAGTATAATCTTGCCTAAGCTTTAATTAAATTTAAATTTAATTTATTAAGGATTTAATATAATATTAATAAGTAAGGCATTAAATATAAATTTAAGGGGCTTTTTTTATTATAGCCTTATAATTCTTATCTTTTAATAAAATATCTTTTTATTAAGTTTATTTTATTTATTATATTTATTAATATCTTTATTTTTTAAATTTTAATTTAAATATCTTATAATAATATTAAAAATAAATTCTTTAAAAATAATTACTTTAATTAAAGATATTATTCCTTTTAAGTTTTTTTTTTTATTATTATCTTAATAAAAATTATTATAGTATATATATTATATTCTTAAGCTTAAAGTCCTTTTAAATTTATTCTTATTTTAAAAGTATCTTTAAACTTTAAAAATTATTTATTTTTTTTTATTTAAAGTTAAGAAAGAAATTTTAAGAAACTTATTAAAGGAAAAAAGAGATTTAATCTTGCTTATTATTAATTAAAGCATTAACCTTGCTTTAATTAAATTTTATAATTTATTGCTAATAATAAGTTAAGAATTTAAATTAATATTTTAAAAGTTTTATTTTTTATTAATATAATAGTTTTATTATAAATAGCTTTATTTATAATTTATAATTTAAATACCTTAAAGTTTAATAAAATTAATATTATTAAAATTTTAAATAGCTTTAAAATTATTACTTATTAATTTTTTTATTTAAATAATTAAATCTTAAAATTACTTAAGTAACGCTATATTACTTTAAATTTAATAAAAGTAATTAAAAGCATTATTATTAAATAATTTATTTAAAAAAATTAAAAGAAAAAGCTTTTTACTTTTTATAAATTTAATAATTAAACTTATTATATAAACTTAATTATAATTATTAAAGATATTATTTATAATAACCCTTATAATAACTTAAAAGCATAAAAAGAAAAGATTATAAAATATAATTAAGAACTTAATAATATAAATAATATTTTTTTTATTATAACTTAGCCCTTTTATAAAGTGCTTTTATTATATTTAAAAAAGTAGCTAATAAAAAAAGGGATTACTTATAAGTTAACAAGGAATATTCTTTAGCTAAATTTTAAGCATACTTTATTAAAAGTTATTAATTAAAAACTTAAATATTTTAAATAAAATAAGTATTTATTTATATAAAATAATTTTAATTAAAATTTATTTAATTTAAAAAGGCTAAATTTCCTTTAAGAAAATTAAAATAATTTTAATTCTTTAAATTATCTTTAAAATAAAAATTTATAAGTTTAATGATTTTTATTTAAATTTAATTATATTAATATTATTAAAAAATATAATTAAAATTTATAAAATATAAATAAACTTATTAAAAGGTTTATAAAGTTAAAACTTAATTTAATTAAGTTTAAAAATAAATTTAAATTATTTTAATAAGATATTAAAGCTTTTTCTTATAATAAATAATAAAGTAATTTTAAAATAATTAAGCTAAGGGCTATAAATTTTATTTAATAGCTTTTAATAAAACTTAATTAAAGTAATTTTAATAATAATAAGGCATAAGTTATAATTTTAATGCTTTTCTTTAAAAAAAATAAATTATTTAAAGTTTGCTATAATTATACTTCTTAAAATTATAATATATATTAATGCAATAAGCTTAAATAACTTTCCTTAAATAGCTTATTAATAGCTTTTAAATTAAAAAAATTATTAATATTTCTTAGCTTATTTAAAGATACTTAAGTTAACCTTTTAAAGTATTTAAATCTTATTTATATTTAATTATATTATAATTAAAGTAATTATAATTTAAAAAAATATATTTATAGCTAATTAAAATTCTTATTTAAAAAAAAAAGGTTTAATTTACCTTATATAATTAAATATTATAAGCTTATTAAGGTAAATTCTTTATTTAAAAAAAAGGCTTTATTAAAAACCTTAAAAGTAATTTAAAAGCTTAATAATTAAAAAAAAATTAATTTAATCTTAGTAATTATAAATTTTATAAATTATATAATTTATATTAAGAAAAAGTTTATAATTATAAGTAATAATAAGCTTTTTTAAATAAATATTATTATAATTAAAAAAAAGTATATAATTAAGGATATTAAAGATTAAAATAAAGTTATAAGAATTATAAAGGCTAATTATACTTAATTTAAAGACTTTAAAAAGGTAAAAGATAATTAATCTTAAATTATTAATAATAAGTTATAGCTAAAAAATAAGAAAAAGGTAAGGAAAAGGAAAAATTTATTTGCTAATTAAAATTAAATTTAAAAGAAAAATGCTAAATTTCCTATAATAAAAGCAAGCTTAATAAATATAATAAACTTAAAATTAAAAAAGCATATTATATAATCCTTATTATTTAAAGAAAAAGCAACTTAAGTAATTTTAATTATAATTATTAAAATAAGTATTATAAATATTTTAATATTTAATAATATTAATTTAATCTTAATTAAGCACTTATTAATAATATAATTTAAAGCATATATTTTATTAAAGGTACTTTTTAAATTAATATATTTTAAGGATTATATTAAAGACTTATCTTTTAAAATTAATATAATTACTTTTTTAAAAAATAATATTAAGGCTAATACTTTAATTAATTTATTATAAATTATTTAATATTAAGTTAACTTTATTATTATATTTATTATAAATATAATTAATTAAGAATATTTTAATTTAACTTATTTAATAATTTATATAAGAATAAATAATTATTCTTTATAACTTATTTTTTTAAATATTAAAGTTAAAATAAATCTTTTGCTTTTATTATATTATAAATATAATAAACTTTTATATACTTTACTTAATAATATAAACTTAATAATATATAA